TTAATGCACATTCAGCTTAGAAATTCTGGTTCGTGAATTTCTGGGCGTGACACCACGCCTGAAGGCGTAGCCACTGTTGGCCCAAAGAAATTGCGCTAAGCTTTCACTCGGAACCCCCAACTGCCGTGGTTCGTCGCCCAATCCGAATCCACCATCTAAACATCGCGTCAACAGTGGCACATGGCTTCCGCCACACCCGACCGATGCCCTTCCGCCAGCTAGCTTCGAGTCCTGCCAACAACAAGACTGCCACCACACCGCACCGACGCCCCTCCGTCGGCCGACTTCATCAAACCGCCACCCTGAGAGCTGGCCCGGCTAGCTTCGAGTCCTGCCAACGACAAGACTGCCACCACACCGCACCGACGCCCCTCCGTCGGCCGACTTCATCGAACCGCCACCCTGAGAGCTGGCCTGGCTAGCTTCGAGTCCTGCCAACAACAAGATTGCCACCACACCGCACCAACGCCCCTCCGTTGGCCGACTTCATCGAACCGCCACCCTGAGAACTGGCCCAGGACCCCTCCGTTCCACCACCCGCCGGCCGCCTCGCCAAATCTGGCTGAAGGAGAACCCGGGACTGGGTGGCACTGCTTCGGTACCCTGAGCTTCCCCCGCTAATGAGCAGCCACCTCAATCCAGCCTAGAAACTCCCCGCAAAGAAGGGGAGGAGCTCCAGGAAAGGCGAGGGTGCCGACCGGCAACGAGGAAGACGACCAACCGCCGCCAGCTCCCTTTGCACTGCCATCTGGCCACCAGCGCCCCCGTAGCCCGGCCGCCGCACCTCACGTAGCCATCGCGGCGGCATTAGCAAAAACGGAGCAAGAGGCCGCACGCCGGCAGTAGCACCCATGGTGTGCACGTGGCGGGCGTGCTCTACCGTGGCTGAGAAGGACAAGTAGCAGAGGGCTAGGGTGCCACCCCTAGCCGCCGAGGACACGGCCGGCCGCCGCGCCCAGGCTGCATCGCTGAGCCGCCGCTGCCCTCCGCTGAGCCGCCGCCGCCGCCCCCAGACGCCCACCGCGTCCGCGCCCCGGGCTGGCCGCACGCCGCCACCACCACGGCCGCACACCGCCAAGCCGCCCCTAGCCGCCGCCGCACCGGATCCAGGCGAGGGATGGCCGGATCCGGGCTTTGGGGCACCGGATCCGCCTCCCTACACCTCCCCGCCGTCGCCAAGGACAAAGCCGGTGGAGGCTTCGTCGCGCGCCCTGTCCACGTCGCGCCGAGGAGTGAGTCGCCGCGAAGAAAGGAAGGCCTCACCGCCGGCGAGAGCTCCGGCGGCAGTGAGGTGGGGGGAAGAAGTGGAGGCGGGCAGCTAGGGTTTCGTCACCCCCGAGCAGCCCGCGCGAGAGCGACCGGGGGGGAAAATATCCGTGAAGTTTTGTGATCAAAGACAGCTTTGGTTCAGCTATCATCTATCGCCAAGTATATGAATACAGATACTACCTCAGGTAATTAGTTAGTTAGTTTCCCCGCAAAAAAAAATTAGTTAGTTAGTTTATTGTATTATTTCTTAAAGAAAATGCTTGCTCCTGCCTCCTGTGATTTGCATGAACCATCTATCGCGTTAGTATGATTTCCAAGTATATATGAGTCCATATTGTACCTGGTTAGTAGTTTATTGTGTTATTGCTTCAAAAATAAATGCCTACGCCTGTGACTTCCATCTGCTCAGCTTGCTTTTCAATAAACTTTTTATCCATTACAATTAGTAATGCGTGAGAAACACCCATGGTTTTCTGGCTAACTTGTGGTAAGCTCATTGGTCTGGATTCGAAGTCTCACCCCTTCTATTTATTTGGTATTAGGCCATTCCTTAATATTCGTCGTTGCACCTATCAGTGAAAATGCTTTTGTTATTATCTGTTTGGTTATTCTACATCTCTCTCTCCAATTGTTCTTTTAATATTTGCAATGTACCCATTGGTAATAATTTCGTACTGATCTATGGTGGTAGAGAGTTACCATCACCACCTACTTTTTAAAAATCTTTTTTAAAGGTTAGTGTCACTACATTTTTTTTATGCAACAAAATGGCGCAAGATAGCATGTTGCTTGAATTAATCGACCGGATGATGAAGCGAAGTTATATGGTAACAAACTAACAATTGCAGTTTTCTTCTTGAGAAATTAAAATCCTTACTCGCTGATTTGCAAATACTTGTGGCATATATATACATGCAGGGGATAACTTTTATAAACATACAATGCAAATATTTGACTGCATAGACATTGACACATATTTTAAAAAACGCACGATTACTTATGGAGAAGGAATAAGTCTAGGAAAAAGTCTAAATATCCCCCCTTAAACTTTAGATGAAAGTCCGTTTAACACCATAAACTTTAAAACCGGACATCATCCAACCCCTTGAACTTTGTTATGCCATCCATATACCCCCTAAGGTGGTTTGGGTTTTGGATGATGGTTTTGCATGTTTTGAAAGCTTAAACGACCAATTTTGAATAACTAATATAACTTATTTGCATATCATCAGTTATAAGTCATTAATTTATCCTTATACAATGATATCATGCTATTATTAAGTTGGTACTTGTTTATAAGTGAGAGCCAATAAGAAGCATGTGATCAAACTCATCCAACTTATATACAAGTTAGAAAAAAAAACCACTATGCAAAACCACCTTAGGAGTTATATAAATGGTATTATAAAGTTTAGGGGTTAAATGTCCGGTTTCAAAGTTCAGGGTGTTAGATGGACTTCCATCCAAAGTTTAGAGGGTTATTTGGACTTTTTTCTAAAGTCTAATATAAACATTTTACAACTTTTGTAGGTTCAGGATTCCACACTTATCATATTAAGTACAATAGGCACTTTGTGTTCATCTTAAGAGTTAATATTAAAGTATTAATAGTATTAAACGCTCCCAGCACTATACCACCGACCATTTTGTTTGTGTTACTAAAAATAATAGAGCCAACAGGCCCAATTGTAAGAAAATCACTCGACTCTTTGGGAAAAAAACTCTAAATTGGGCCCATATACTTTTGGTATGATATATTTGACCTCATTGCTAGCTTTGCATTCCTCAATTAACATCTTTCAACTTTATTTTTAGTTTGCGGCACATTACATTATACCATGTGTGATGTGTCTATGTGTTTCAACTCCGCCTTCGATGGAAAAATGGTTTTATAAAAATTGGTATTATATTTCTCTACTACCCACATTCATCGTCTCAGGACCAATCTTTGGAGCTCCGTTTTTACATCACCAATAGAAAGTTACTTTCTATCACTTTTATCATAGCTAGCTGCTTTAGACCCATTTTTATTCATCTGATTCGATGAATGTGGGATGAAGTAGAACCCCAGGGTTTCCACCACACATAGCCACAAGGATTTGCCATAGGCTTTACTTAATTTCAAGAATTGAATCTTGAGATCTATGAGTGGAATTTGGAAGACACGAATGCTCACTTCTCCTTTTCCAAGGACCGGAGAAATGTTCCTAGATCTTGAGAAGCCAGATAACTGTACTTATCCACTGTACTGTGACATAAAATAAAATTATACTAATTGGGCCTTGCATTTATTGAATTGGCATGGGAAGCTCAGCCCAATAATGTAATTGGTCCAGCACCAGGTAACCATCAAAGCCCACAAATTTTCAACTTGATTTCTTACATTTCTCGATTGTTTTTCCTTGATGGTCCCCATTTGTGATTTATAATATTGAGATTTATGGTGTGGTAGAGTTATCACCACCTTCAACTGAAAAAGAAAGTTTAGCACCGCCTATATATTTTCAAACAATAAAATGAAAGAAGAGCCATGTTGCTTGAATTCACCGGACACTGAGGCGAATAAGTTATCTGGTAATAATTGCTGATTTCTTCTAGAGAAATCATAATCCGTACCAGTTGATTGGCAGTACTTTGGACGCACACAATATTTCACAATGACATAGACATGCAGATGATAACTTTTTGACACATACAAACCGGTACAAATGACAGCATAGAGCTGACACACACATATTAAAAAACACACCACGTGATTATTTATGGAGAAGAAAAACCTTATATTATTATATATATCAAGTCTAATATAAGTATTTTATGACTAGCCTTTTGTAGGTTCAGGCCTCAAAGCTTTTCAAATTAGGCACATATAAACACTTCCTATTCATCTTAAGAGTTACTCCGTCTGTCCTAAATAACTTTATTTTTTATCTATCCCACTCGTATCAATAGAAAAAATAAAATACCCCTACTTTATTAAATCTCAATGCAACTAATTCTCACTTTATTTCATTCAGTATAATTATTTTCCACTTTCACAAATTTTGATGCGATGATTAGCTAAGGCATGTTCGGCTGGCAGGGCAACCAGCTACAGTAGCAAGCAACACAGCCGCGCACAACATACATCGCCGCAGCGCTGCCACATAAACGGCTACCAAACAAAGAGACAGAGGACGTAAGATTATAGATTTAAACAGATTATAGATTTAAACGCTCCTAGCACTATGCCACCACTCTTAAGGCTCCTTTGGATTGAATTTTTTTTTAAGAAAAGTAGTAAAAACCAATTAATCCAAAAAAATAACTCCTATGTATGTTACTTATTTGGTATATAGAATTAATTCGAAGGAATTTCAAAGGACAGGAAAAACTTCTCCAAAGGGTGCCTTTATATTTCTTCTCTTTGATAATTGGCATGGATCTAATTGAAAAACAGTTGGAAAAAGGAACCCATATGGATTTGCCACTGCCAGCCATACCACGTAGTGTAATTAATCCATTGAACAAAACTAGCTGACTCCCTCGATGGTGACAGGTCTGAAGAAGCTTGGATTAATAGGACAGATCACAAAATTGTTCATTGGAAAACTTGACCTGACATGCATTGGTATAAGGCAGATATATATTTAAAAGTATATATATGGCCCAGCTAAATCTTCTGATAGGTGATGGCCAACTCTAAAAAAATGCAGAAAACTCCTCCTTTTTCCTCTTCTACGTTAACAAAAACATATTGGTTGTGTGCCCAGGACGGTAAGCGAAAGGTACTTCCATTATTAAAAATTAAGATACTGTTTGTGCAATCATGTTATTATTAATCTGAGCTTAGTGGGCTTCCTTAATTGTACATGTCTCTCTTCATTCTGCTGCATCAATGATATTTATGTGTGTGACATGTATGTCGAGTTCGTTAACCAACTCGTCTGCAATGGAATTCTGTGACGATTTGCTCGTGGAGATTCTCTCGAGGCTCCCGTTCAAGTCGCTTGCAAGATTCAAGTGCGTCTCCCGCTCATGGCGCGCGCTCATCTCCGGCGGCGACCTCCGCCGCCGGCTCCCGCTGCTCGCCGCCGGCTTGTTCGTCGGCGACGGCGGCGGCGGCGAGCCGAGGTACGCCACCGCGTGCTCCGGCGATGGTGTTGAGTTCTGCGACATGAGCTTCTTCCCGCTGGCGGAGACGGCGGCGAGGGTCGTCGACGCGTGCGAGGGGTTGCTGCTGTACAGGTCGCTCGCCGCGGCGTCGGCGATGTACGTCGCCTGCCCGGCGACGAGGAGGTGGGCGGCGCTGCCGGTGCCGCGGAGGGAGGCGCAGCTCCCGCTGCTGGCGTTCGACCCGGCCGACGGCGGCGGCGGCTCGCCGCGCTACCACGTCGTCTGCTTCGTGGCGTGGCAGGAGCGCGGCGCCACCGTGGACGTCTTCTCGTCGGAGACCGGCGCGTGGGCGGAGCGCGACGCGGCGTTCGGCGGCGTCGAGGCCTCGTCGCTGTCCCCCACCACGCACTACCGCGGCGGCGTCCTCCACGTGCTCGCGTACCCGGACCGCGTCGTGCTCATGGACCTCGCCGCCACGACCACGACGACGACGTCGGTGGCGCCGGGCAGGCTCGCGCCACGGCTGCCCGACGACGTCGACGCCGGCGCGCGCCTCGGCCACTCCCGCGGCCGGCTCCACTACGCCAAGTGCGACGGCGAGCGGCTGAGGGTCTGGGCCCTCGACGTCGACGCCGCCTCGCCGGGCTCATGCCAATGGATCTTGACGAACACCGTCTGTGTCAACGAGATGACCATCAATGGCGGGCTCTGGGCGGCAAGCGAGGTCAAGTTCTTGGCGTTCCACCCGGACATGGCCGACGTGGTGTACCTCTCGTCGCCGGAGGGGAAGGTGGCGAGCTGTGACATGAGGAGGAAGGAGATGGTGAGCTCGTGGAAGCTGGGAGCTGAGCACCATGTCGTCAGGTTTTGGTTGCTTGGTTTCTCCTCGGGTTTGATGAGCTGCCTGGGTGGCGAGCAAGCATGCCAGATTGCCGGTGCTAGCTAGCTATAGTATACTAGTATATTTTTTTTCTGCTATTTCTTTTCCATTTGACCTTCGATTTGATTGCTTCAGAACTCATATATCAAAACGCAGTTTTGAAGAAAAAGTTAAATGGATGGTGGCGGCGTGTGGCAACGATAACATAAGCCCTTTTGAATTGTGCTTTGGTTTGGGTCGGATAGGTGTTGTGTGACTTAGTGTTTCTTGGTGGAGTTGGAGTTGCCGATCACATGGGTGATGGTGTGATGATAATAACGTCGCGTTTTTGCCAGTGTGGGAGTTTTGTTTACTTCTTGCTTGTTGCTTGGCTTTATCGTTCTTGTGTTGAGCAGCATTGTTAAGTGTTGCGCTTGCCTAACCTTGCTTCATTGCGTTGGCAGGTTAAGTTTCTTGGAGTATTTGCTGCTGTAGTTTTCGCTCAATTTTTCTTAATTAATTATCTGTTTTTTTAAATGGGACATCTTCTTCTTCTTATATGTAAAACATCGGCAATGGTCTGTCCGTTCGTAAACAAATAGTCAATTATTTATCAAAGTTCATACATTTCAGCAGTGTTATACTCCCCCTTATAAAATATACTATCTCCATTCTCGTCCACAAGTGAATTGTCTTTGTTTTTAAAAAGGAAAAAGTACGAATTACCCCCCCTCCAAAAAAAACTAGCGCGGTCGTCCGAATTACCCCCTGAACCAAAAAAACCGGACATTCTTCACCCCTATCTATGCAAACCGGACGAATTACCCCCCTCGACCTAATCCACAATGGTTTTGGTCTACGTGGCGTACGCGTGGCAGTCCAGTCAGCATTTTATTTATTAAAAAAAATGTGAGACCCACCTGTCATACTCCTATTCCACTATTCCTATCTGTCACTCTTCCCCTCTCTCTCTCTTCTCTCTCTATGTCTCACTCAGGCGCACGGCAGTAGGCGGGGGATAGGGAGCGGCGGCGGCAGGGTGCGGCGGAGGAGGCGAGCGGCGGCGGGAGCTCACGCTGCTGTTGACAGAAAACACGAGGCCTGGGAGATCTGCTTAACTCCAGTGCAGGTCCAAAGCTCGCCTTCGAATGTATGAGCGTGCCAGTTGATTTGATCCTGTAACCAACAAGAAATAGAGACAAAGAATTCGTGGTTAAATCTATAAATGATAGCCGATCGGCTAGGTGCCGATGACAATCATTTATCTTTGAGCCGATGTCATTTATGAATCGATCGGCGGTTATAAATAGACAGTAAGGAACTAAATCTATTCGATCGGCTGTAGATATTAACGATATATAGTTCTTATATTAATATATACTTAAATCAAGTGATTGGAATAGATCGGTCACCATGCCGAGACAGTATAAATCACTTAGATCGAAATATATATTAATAACAGGATTATATATGTTTATAGCATAGCCGATCAGATAGATCTAGCATGTATCAGCTAATACTCCGATACTACTCTATATAAAGATATCAAAACAGGTATAATATACCAAACAAAAGCTTAATATACTTAAATGCAATAAGATCTTGACATAAAGGGCGGATTTAACATGTCACTGAAGCATATAGATCGAATATGGTTAAATTAGATAAGATCGGCTGAAACTCCGATACTACCCTAATCGGCAACCAGATGACAGGCTAGAGATTGATATTCTAAGCACGACTTAATAGATCAAACTCAACTGATGCAGCATTAAGTATGAAAAGAAGAACAATATCTAGACAATCAAGCCGTTGGGTGTTTCATAAAGTGGCAGATATCTTATATAATCTAGGACAACGTCGCTATTTAACCTAATCGGCTGTCTTCTATTAACAGATGTTAGCCGATTGTAGGTTAGATGACAATATTGCCAAAGATTATGTAAGACATATGATAACTCGACGAATTATATAGACAAGATTAGAGTGTCATAAAGATGGAAGTACTCATCTCGAGAACACAAGTCGTCATAACAAGTTTTACCTCTTGTTGAAGATCGAAACCGATGCAGCTCAACCCGAAAGCAAGAACTCGTCGAAACAAAACTAAAGCAAAAAGGTGGCGATGCGCCGAAATTGTATTGAACATGTGTGTCTTAAAAATTACATAGGGCTCGGGGTCTATTTATACCCGAGAATTACAAGATATGTCCATACCGGACACGACCACTATCTCTAACAAACTCTAAGATACCATAAGTCTTTGCGGCAGACTTTTGCCCAAATATATCTCTAAGGAAGTTACATAAAACATCCTAATTAATAGATACAATTGCCTTCTTAGGACTCTATCCATGTGCGGCAATCATCTTGAAGCACCTCAATTCAACCCGATGTCATACACCAAATTACACTGTCGGAATCGGCTGCATCGGCTTACCTAGTCCGACTCGGACCTAGCCAATCCTAACCGTAGTCGATCTGGACTTCAGCCGATTCTTGCTCTATTCTCGGATCAAGCTCCGCCTTCGACTCCACCTCGATCTAATCTCCTTTTCCGATGCTGATATTACCAAATTTGGTCGTTAACAGCTGCTCAAGGCAAGGCGAGGCGGCGGCGGCGGCGGAGGAGGCAAGGCGACAGCGGTGGCGAGGCGGTTGGCGGCGGGAGGACGACATCGCCGCCTTCTCGTCTCGCGTCGCCTCCTCGTCTCGTGCAGCTGCCTCGCCTCGCACCGCCAGTCGCCACCCAGCCGCACCTGCCCCTGCGCCGCCGCTCACCTCGCCGCCGTGCTTGCCTCTCCACCGCCCCGCCTCCTCCGCCGCCGCCTCGCCGCTGCCTCCTCCGCCGCGCTCGCAGCCTCCGTCGTCGCCTGGAGAAGAGAGAGAGCCCCGCCGCTCGCCTCTTCGCCGCCCCACCTCGTCCACCGCCACCTCGCCTCGCCGCGGCCTCCTCCGCCGCGCTCGCTGTCTCTGCAGTCGTCCGGAGAAGAGAGAGAGAGAGTGTGTGTGTGTGTGTGTGTGTGTGTGTGTGTGAGAGAGAGATAGAAGAGATAGAAGAGAGAGAGAATGATACGTGGGTTCCATATTTTTTTTATAAAATAGAATGCTGACTGGACTGCCACGTGTACGTCACGTAGACCAAAACCATCGCGGATTGGGTCGAGGGGGGTAATTCGTCCGGTTTACATAGTTGGAGTTGAAGAATGTCCGGTTTTGTAGTTCAGGGGAGTAATTCGAACGACCGCGATAGTTCGGGGAGGGTAATTCGTATTTTTTCCTTTTAAAAAAGTTTACTTTTGAGAGTTTCATAAAAATAAAGACGCGTATATTATGGAAGGATATATTATCAAATAATTAGAATGGGTGAGACTTCAAACACAAATCGTCTAACCTAGAAACGCTCAGGGCTCTTCCGGCTAGCTCACAAGCGTTTCTCTTCAGCAGAAATAAAGATTAACGAGAAAATATAAGTTGGGATTGAGATGAGAAAATGAGTGAGAAATTAAATAAGAACTATCCTAGTCAGATTTGTATATATGATTTATATAGAAAAGTGAACTCTCAGAAGGACGGAGGTAATACATATTTTTGAAAGTTTAGTAGAAAACCAAAGTTAACGGAAAAATAATTGTAATTGATTGAGATGAGCCAATGAGGAAGGAAGTAAACAGAAATGCTCGATAGGGTAATAGCAAGTTTATGAGTCTGATCTTAGAATTTGGATCAGATTAGAACATGTCCGTTCCTTCTATCAAGCAGTGATTTTTCTTCAGAAGATTTTAACAACTTGAGTTTGATCCAGTAAAGATATACTATTAACAAAATCTGCACCATTTATTGCATTTACAGTTACCAACAACATGAACACACGCACAATGCATCCAGCTACACGTCGGTGGCGTAAACGATCTCTCTCTTTACACTTCGCAAGCAACAAACTAAAATAAAATAATTGAAACAGATTTACAAATTAATTAAATCATCAACACTTCACGGGACAATGAGCTAAGCAATCCGATAGGTAGCACGACGACGGCACGAGCCACGCCTTGACGACACGATTCCTCTCCCCCTCACCAAACTCCCAAGCTTGGCAATGGCAGGTCGTCGTCTTCCTCCTCAGATCGTGCTCCACCACCTTCCATGGCGACCACGTGTACACCACGTCCTCCTCCTCCGGGTGCATCGCCAAGAACCTCACCTCGCCTCCTCCATGCGCGAGGTGTTCCACCTTGACGGCATGCTTCGGCCGCCATTGGTCGTCGTCGTCGAGCTCCCAGACCTTGAGAAGCTCGCCGTCGCGGAAGATGTAGTGCAGCCGGCCGCCGGAGTGCGCGACGTGGGCGTCGCCGCCGTCCACCGGCTCGGGGAGGTCGATCACCGCCGCCGTGGATGAGAAGTCGGCGAGGTTTAGGGAGACGAGGCAGTCGGGTTCGGAGGCGAGGATGTAGAGGATGCCGTCGTGGTAGTGCATCGAGCCGGAGAGCGAGCTCGCCGGGACGCCGCCGAACTCCGTGTCGCGCGCCGTCCACGCCCACGTCGCCGATGAGAACACCTCCACCGCCGCGCCGCGGTCGCGCCACCCGGTGAAGTTGACCACGCGGTAGTCCGGCGAGGTGGACGGGTCGAACGCCAGCACGGACAGCGTCGCCGCCTTCGCCGGCGCCGGGAGCGCCGCCCACCGCCTCGTCACCGGGTCGACGACGAAGAACTCCGGCGTGCCGGGCGATCGACAGAGCAGCAAGCCATTGCAGCCGTCGCATACCACAACGCCGCCGCGTTCCGGCAAGAACCCGAGGTGGCAGTCCTCGAGGCGGTGACCATCGTTGCCGTCGGACGCCGCGCACGCGAACCGCGGGCCACCTCCACCTCCGCCGCCGGCGGCGACAGCGTCGTCGTCGGGGAAGTACACGGTGGTCATGAGCAGCGGCAGCCTGCGGCGGAGGTAGTCGTCGGAGACGGCGGCGCGCCAATCCTTGGAGACGCAGGCGGAGCGCGCCACGGATTTGAACGGGAGCCTGACGATTATCTCCGACAGAAGATCGTCGCCGATGAGGGCGATCTCACTGTCAATTGAACAACTCTTCAGAATTGCCATCTCTTACTATCTCTCTGTTCGATCTGTGTGTGTTCTGTAACGAATTGAAAGGATTACTTGATCAGCAGCAAGTCTCTCCGAGTAAAATGCAACTGGGCGTGCCAATTTTATACTACTACTTCGTACTTGGTTTTCTAGATTGGGGTATACCGGTGACGTGTCCAGGTCGAAGCGCTGCGTGTCCTGCCAGCAAGCTGCCACGTGTCCCTCAGTAGTAGCCCAGCTAAAAATGAGACTTGCCGGGTGGAGGAGCATACCTGTAAGGCGGTAACCGTCAGATCTCACGTCGCGCCACGCGTATAGCACACATGCATGCCCAAATTTGGCCGGTTTCCACCAGTCAAAAGTTATAAAAAGAATTCCGAGAAAAGAGGGGATAGCGCCCGCAATCCAGTCCCTGCCGTCGGTTGTTATAGGTCGTAGCGGTTTATTAGTAATAAAAAAAGTTTATGATAAGTTAAAAAAAAAGTTTATGATTATTTTTATACCCCCTCCGTTTCTAAATATTTGACACCGTTGACTTTTTAACACATGTTTGACCGTTCGTCTTATTTAAAATCTTTTGTGAAAACTATATGTATATATATAAGTATATTTAATAATAAATCAAATAATATAAAAATAATTAATAATTACTTAATTTCTTTAATAATATGAACGGTCAAACATATTTAAAAAAGTCAACTACGTCAAATATTTAGAAACAGAGGGAGTATATTTTTAGCCGCTTAGAAATCTATATCCATATTTCTATCTCTACTATTATAAAAATTGAAGATGCTTTTACTAAAATTTGGTCCCTCAAGTTTATTAGCTAATAAACCGTTTTCAATTCCTACTCACCTCGTTGTTCGTTTCAAATTCATGTGCGTGTTCATCATCGCCTGCGTGGGAGTCCCGTTCAAATTTTCGGCGTCGTTCGTGTATGACGGGGTCCTCTAGGGAGTAGGGACGCGGCATGCAGGCACATGCAAGCCTTCAACTGCATGCCATCCAGAGATCAAGCCACTCACACGTTCAACTGATTTTGCATGTTCACAAGTTCGACTTGCATGCATGCGGCTTTGCACCTATTCAAAGGTAAAAAAAAAGTTCAAAATTGAAACAGGCCAAAAGCTAAAAATATATGGATATTTCATAGTGTGTGTGAATATTTCAGGATGGATCCAAAATTAAAAATAACTAAATTACTATAAAATCATAAAAAAACAACTATATGAAAAAGAAATATGCAACCTAACAAACACAAATAATTTTGATTACAAATTTAGTACTCGCAGTACGTACAAGATATTATAATTTTGTTTTAAATTCGTTCATTTTTGAAAATATAGTAGCAGTCGTATAAGAAATTTCTTTTAAAAAAGTTAACTTACATGCTAACTTTAGATGATCGGGCTCCTAATTATAGCTTATGATTTCATGGGAAAAAAATATATATCCAAGCGAATTCTTATAATGAATTTCACCTTAACTAAACCATATAACAATAATAAAATTAAAATAACCTTCACCTGTTACAGCGCACGGGTATTTTTTTTCTAAGTCAATGTAAAAGTTTCTTAAAAGCAAATTTAAAATTTGAGATTTTCTTTTCAGCAAACGATGGGGCCCGGAGAGGGTGTCGTGGATGAGCATGCACCGCCGTTGTGATCGGCAATCCAAAAGCTAGTATTGGAATTTGGGGAGAGAGAGACGGCGCCCCTCCAAAAATTCATTTTAGAAAAAAAAAAATTGTAAACGTGTTAAGGATTAAACACGAAACCTTAGAATTATGGGTGGCGGCCGGTGCAAACGTGGGTTTGGATGAAGGCAGCAAGGGATCGAAGCACGGGAATCGTGGGAAGCCATGTGCGTTCCGGTGCCGTGACATGACATGGGTAGTGCTTGCTACAGCGAGCAGAGCACGAGCTGCCGCTGACTTGGAACGCGAATGCGTCCCCAAATATTCAACGGGAAAACCCTGCAATTAAGGGAGAGGGTAATGATCATTACGTGCACCGATCCTAACCCACTTTAATTAATTAATTTCTTCCCGCTCCTGACACTGGATAATACTACTCCCTCCAGGCTGATAATACTTGTCGTTTTGGACAAGGGTGAAATCTGTCTTTTAAATATGGTGACTACATGTGTAGATTAGTCTTAAAAAGTATTTTAATAAGATCATATATTTGTTAACAATTTTATATATATTATAATAAAAAATAATGGTCAAAGTTTTTTTTTTGATACCGTGCCCTTGTCCAAAACACCGATGGTATGGATGGAGTAAGCATGACTCCTGTGATCCCTATCCGGTCAGCTATACTTAATTAGCGCGTTAATCGCATCGTGCAAGCGACATACTCCCCCCTCCCTCCGGTTTCATTTTAATTGACGCTTTGGACAATAACATACTCTACAAGATATTCCTTTGACCTTATTTTTCTATTATAATATATACAATAAATAAATACATGTTTATCTTTATTATAGTGTTTTGAAAGACAAATCTATATATGTTTTTTCTAGTTTTTTTAAACGAAATATTTTTAAAGTTATTGATGGTTAAAGTTATAAAAGTTTAACCTCAACCTTATCCAAAACGTCAATTAATATAGAACCAGAGGGAGTATATAGCTCTTGCCTACAGGTTGATTATATCATTAGGGCATCCACAATGTACTCCAAAAGTGGTCCATAAGCAATATAATATTTGATTCAGCCACCTAGCAACATTGTGGAACTAGTCCATAGGAAAGAAATAACAAAAACTACCCATAAGCATATGGGATGCCCATAGAGAATAAAATATATTATTTGTCTCTATCTCTTCTCTCCTGCTAATACTATTTGTTATCCATATACATTGTGAATGTTATAATAGTTAAAATTCATATATGTGGGTCTCATCTCTATGGACTACTTTTGCCATATACATTGTTGTTGCCCTTATAAGCGTAACAACTTATTAACGATGAAAAATGATTTATAAAGTAAGATTTTTTTTGGTATATTTTGCAGAATAAACTGAATACTGTCATGGGCTTAGATTCTTGGGCCGCTTGTCACCATAGAAATCTCGGGGAAATCTCGGTTTATGACTAGTGAGGGTGTTCGGAGAATAAAATTCCGAACCTCCAGGGATCGGTGCATTGCTTAAAATCTATAGCAAAGAGTAGTACTAGTCCTACTCAATGACGACGTGATTATACGCACCGAATGTCTGAATTCCATTTTGTGGAGCTCCCTTATGAATGTATTTGCTCTCATTGAATCTAGTCACATTCTGAATCTCTTTTCCTTTTTCCAGTGTCTGATCAGTCTTTAGTGCAAGGATCTGAAGCATTCTGCAACAAAGTTGAGAAAATGCATTTGTTCTGATCAATCGTAGAGAGATCTTTGTTCTTGTTTGCTTTCTTCATCTGACGAGTGTTTCTGAACATCTTATGCCGACCATATATTAGAGCTCTTTAATTTGTTTCATGTTCAGTACGTTCTTTGTTCTGAATTTTTTTTCCCCCGGTGTCTGATCAATAGCAGGAGACTAGATAGCTCTTTGTTCTTGTTTGTTTTCTTCTCCTGACCAGTGTTTTCTGCACATTATGGCACAGTATGGTGCTGTATGTTGATTATATACAGGTTGAGTGCAACCTGCATATAGCCGTATGCAGTTATGCCGATTGGGCGATATCCAAGAACGAGCTAATCACCAATATCTTCAGGAGTCAGGACTAGCAAATGGTAAAGCAGCAATTTTAGCCATTAGCCAAACGGAGCCTCAAGCCGTCACCAACCGTTGGATTAAAAACGTGCAGCTGTTGTACATACAGGCCGCGGCCCACCGATCAGCCCAGCTTACTAAAGCCCATCCAGGACTGACAGCCCAAAAAAGCCTCACGGCCTTTGCTTGGTCTGACTTCGTCAGACACGAGATTGGCAAAAACGAGAGGTCGCCATCGCGTCGAACGTAGAATGGCCCACATCGTCTTCCTCCGCGCCTCCGCCGCCGACCTCACCGCCGGCAAGCCGCCGCTGGCGGGCGTCCCGGCGTCCGCGCCGCTCTCCGCGGCGGCCGCGGCCATCCCGGCGTCGTCCGAGGCCGCCGTGGCCGTCTGGCGCGTCGACGGCGCCTCCCACCACCACCACCACCGGGCGCCCACCGCGGCGGCCACCGTCGTCGGCCTGCTCAGCTCCATCGACGTCGTCGCCTTCCTCGCCAACCACCCCGGCGGCGCCGCCGCCGCGTTCATGACCCCCGCCGGCGACGTCGTGCCCCACGAACACGCCCTCGTGCGCCAGGTCCAGCCCGACACGAGGTCACCATCAATTCATGATCTAGATATCCTGCATTGCAATGCATCCATGAGATAATTGCGACTATGGCCTTGTTTAGTTACACGGTTCAAAAGTTTTAGCGTGTCATATCAAATATACGGACATATATTTGGAGTATTAAATATAGACTAATAACAAAACAATAGATTTCGTCTGTAAACTACGAGACAAATTTATTGAGTCTAATTAATCCATCATTAGCAAATATTCCCTCTGTTTCTAAATATTTGACGCCGTTGACTTTTTAAAACATGTTTGACCGTTCGTCTTATTCAAAAATTTTAAGTAATTGTTAATACTTTTTCTATCATTTAATTCATTATTAAATATACTTTTATATATACATATAATTTTACATATTTCACAAAAGTTTTTGAATAAGATGAATGGTCAAACATATGCTAAAAAGTCAACATTGTCAAATATTTAGAAATGGAGGGAGGGGGATGGATTCTAATAGCTCGAGTGGACGTCCACCCATTTATTGCATGTCAACTAAATGGCTACGAAAAATTTTCAAAAAAATTGGCAAGATAGATCAATATGTAATATATCACTCCACAAACATGCAAGTTAAAATTCAACTTCTACAAGTTGTAACAAAAATAACAAATTTAACTGTAAATATACATATAGTAATTTGAGTTTTGTTTGTTATTTTTATTACAATCTGTAGAAGTTGAATTTTAACTTGCATGTTTGTGGATTGATACATTACATATTGATCTATCTTATTCATATTTTTTTAATTTTTTTCATAACCATTTAGATGACATGCAATAAACGGGTGGACATCCACTCGAGCTGTTAAAATAGTTTCCCATGGAGGCGACATCCACTCGAGCTGTTAAAATAGTTTCTCATGGAGGGAGTATTTACTGTAGCAACACACTGTCAAATCATAGAGTAATTGGGCTTAAAAGTTTCGTCTCACAATTTACACACAATCTGTATAATTAGTTTTATTGTCTATATTTAATACTCTATGCATGTGTCCAAACATTCGATATCACAGGGTAAAAAAATTTTACATGGGAACTAAACATGGCCTATATTTTTGTGATTTTTTGTGATGAAGATTGATAGAAATAGTGGAGTTGATGAAGCAGGGAGCGAGGCGAGTGCTGGTTGGCAAGAACATCAAGGAAGGATGCGCCATCAACAAGCAGCCATTCGCGCCCTTCTACAAGGCCGTGCTCAAGATCACCGGGACGCCGCGGCGGAATCCGTCGCCGTCGCCGTCGCCGGCCACCAGGTCGCCGTCGACGACGTTGGGCCGCGACAGATACTGCTGCCTCACGCGGGAGGACATCGTGCGCTTCCTCATCAACTGCCTCGGCGCGCTCGCCCCCATCCCGATGCAATCCATCGCCTCCCTCGGCGCGATCAGCCGCGCCTACTCCCACGTCGAGGACTCCTCCCCCGCCATTGGCGCCGCCTGGGAGCTCCCCTCCGACCCGCGCGCCGTCGCCGTCGTGCGGACTGGCCACGACGGCTCGCGGGTGATTCTTGGCGAGATCTCCGGCCACAAGCTGTGGAAGAAAGACTACGCGGCCGCCGCGGAGGCGATGGCGACCATGTCGGCGATGGACTTCGCCACCGGCGTCGACGAGAGCGGGCCGTCGCCTACCGCCACCGCCGCCGCCGCCGCTGGCAATGTCGGCGGCGGCGGCGCGCGTGCGCGGATGGGGAGCGTCGAGGAGGAGATCGCGCCTGTGCCGAGGCTGACGAGGTTCAGCAGCAGGAAGATCGGGTTCTCGGCGAGCTTGGCGAACATGATCATGGTGAGCCACCGGAAGAACCGGGTGCTGACCTGCAAGGCGACGAGCTCGCTCGCCGCCGTCATGGCGCAGATGCTGTCGCACAGGGCCACGCATCTCTGGGTCGTCGAGGATGGCGACGCCGACAAAGGCGCCGTCTTGGTTGGCATGATTGGGTACATGGAGATCCTCAGGGCGGTCACTAGAGGTGTTGTTGTCCCTCCGGCTTGACTGCTGGCTGCAAATCCAGTTTGGATTAAACAAATTTTGGTAGATTTTATTGTTTGTTGAGATGTTTTTGGAGATGGTATTGTTTTCTTGTTTGAGTTAGTAATTAGAATGTGTTAATTAGCTGTACAGTTATTATAATTGTTTTGCTTAGATGGGTGAGTGATGAACTGACTAAGTGATCTGAATTATAAAAGGGATTGCCCAATGGGCAATGGCAGCTGTTTTTGTAACTGTGAAGTTTCTCCATATTTGAGCAGATATTTCAGTTCTGTTATCTTCTGACTATTTCAGACAGCTTGTTACTCGAGCTTCATTCAGGGGTTCAGGCAATGCAAGAAAAATTCAGTGAGCAATTCAGATACGCATAGTTCAGATAGAAAGACTACAAAATGTCTTACGTAACCACTTCCGTAATAATGGTGAACACTGAATAATACAACGGTAATTTAAATACATCTGGCAAGGAAAAGGCACATTCTGCTAGTAACTGAATGGTATTGTTGTTGCACAGGTACGAGGTGGTTTGATAGTATCCCACGCTAATCCTTCCTTAGCTCAATGAACTCACGGTGAGAGCCGGCGCTGTTGATGACAACAATCTCCAGTTTATCTCCCTGCAAAATTCATGGAACAAAATTAGAATTTGAATCAATACTGTTTAGTTGGCCACTAGTGATTAACTTCGAGCAACCAAAGAGATTTAAATCATCATACAGTGTATATGTCTCGTTCTGTGGCTGATGCAAAAACGTCCTTAACCAGATCGACAGCATCTGATTGAGATAATGGTGTCACTGCATCCTGCATAATAACAGTGAATTATTAGAGCTCTCATTCGTCAGAAGAAACATACTTGTATCTCATAAACGAATTATATTGTTTTGTTTTCACAATTCTTCTAGAGAGTCAAGCACTAGCTGAAATTATATAACTCACCCGAGCTGGAAGTAGTAATGGGCTAGGAGATTTTAGCTGATTGTCCAGAACAGGCATCATCAAAGCTGCACCTGTCCCCTGAGCACTATAACCTGTCCTTTCATAAGACCCAACAGCATCATATGTGAAGACACATCCTTTACCTGCAAAAGAAGAAAAGATATTCTCACAGGTCGTGATCATACGTTCATACTGATGAGCGGCCACTGTAAGAGGTAAAGAAGTAACCCCAAATCATACCTTCGCTGTCAAGTCCACCCAACACATTGAAGGCATAGTATGGGAAGAACCTTTTGTAGTAGAGCGTGTTGGACAGTAATTGCGCCATCGCAGGGCAGCTCATTTTCTTGTTATGGTTGTGTTCATAAAGCTATAAAAGCAGAAATGATCATAAGCTTGTACTGAATAGAAACACTGTTCATGATCAAAACTTTGAATAAACAAAGAACCATGTAAAAGATCAGATAATCTTCAGGGTCAGGGCAGATAGTAGATCAGATTATTGCGATAAAGTTGTCGAAAATGTGGTTAATCATGAAAATTTCTTGCAGTTACAGATGGTTTTAGAGAATTGTTCAGACTTACCAATTCCTTGGCAGTAAGGTTCCTCTGCAAAGCTTTAACATCACCTTGAAATCCAGATGAGGCCAAAACACATTTATCCGCTCTAATTGAAGGTTTAGGGAAACGGCATTAGCACTTTATTCAGAAAAAAAAAGAGAGAGAGCTTTCCAACAAATATGTTATGCGCAGCTGCGTCGTGATTATTTGGTAGCAATATTTTAAGGGATAGTTTGCAGAAGTTACTATAGGAAAGTTTGTGCACTGAAACAGAGGATTTGGGCTGAACCTTCATCCAACGATACATTCAGATTCAATTTACTCCTCACGTATAATTTCGGGTGCAGAAAATCAACATCAGTAATACTACCCAATAAATTCATGCGCACTCCACAAAATTTCAGCTAGGCCTATTTTATTTTTTTCAAATTCACAACATATGCAGTCTCTTCCCTTCCCTTCTAAAAAGAAAACATGTGAAATCTCTGTCTCTCTGGTAATTAAAAACCACAAATTCATCCCTAGCAACGCATCCATGATTGACTAACTGACTAACTAACAAACTAACTATAAGCGGGGGATTAATCAGAATCGCCGAATCCAACCGAGTCCAATTCGCAAATCGGACCACACATCATCAAACGTGAGTAGGTAGGTAGGAAGGAGGGTTTGGAAAACATACAGGTGGGCGATCTTGGAGCTGTCGCGGCTGAGGATGCTGTATCCGACGGAGAGGCGCGTGTCGGCGGCGACCACGCAGTAGTCGGCGCCGGCGACGGCCACGCACGTGCCGCCGTTGTTCTCGTACACCTCGAACCTCGCCATCGATCTCTCTCCCTCGCTCTCGCTCCTCCTCCTTCTCCCGCCGCCTCAGCTCCCTCACCAACCTCAAACCTCGGCGTCTCTCTCTCTCCCTCAGGCTGGCGCGGCGCGGTGGCGCGGTGCGTTGCGGCGAGGCGGACGGGCGGCGAGTGCGGCGGCGATCGGGCGGGGCGGGGCGGCGCGGCGTCGCGGGGAGGCTAGTTTTATTTCGGCTCGGCTTCTTCTTCTTCTTCTTCTTGTGCTGCAAGAAGAGGGAGACCGGCTCGGAGGTTGCTTCGCCAGTGGGCCGAGTCCGAGTCGCGGAAGAAGCTAAGAGAGGCTCGGTCCGGCCCGGAACGGCCCGTCTTGGAGTTGGCTGGAAAACTGGGGGCCGTAAGAGATGTTTGGGCTTAAAAGCCCGGCCTACAATTGGGCCGGTTTATATGCTCTTCATCGGCCTAGGGGAAGCTAGCTTAGCCCATGGCCATAGATGAACGTTTTTGCTTGTTTGTTTTTACTCTTTTAACATTAACCGATTTTGCTATCGATCACTAGCGTGATTTTTTTTTGCTGACATTTCACGTTTTTTTTGCAGCCTCGTCAGCTGGCGTGTCGGACACCAGCACGTCAGCCTTCGTGTCTGTGTCTAGCTAGCCCAAGCGCACACGATAATGGAGATTGGAGAAGCACGGTAACACAGTGGCCTCTGACCGGCGAGCCAGCCGCCGGTAGCACGGCCAATACTGATCAGCGAGAGACACCGTTCCTCTCGTCATAGTCATGAAATATAAAATTACAGTCCTATATAACTAAAATTACATTTGTAAATTTAGTTGATTTGATAGGTAAGTGTACTGTAATTTTGATAAAAAATAATGTGTAAGTAAATATGTACTTATTATTTTCTTTAAAATATAAAATTACAGTCCTATATAACTAAAATTACATTTGTAAATTTAGTTGATTTAACATGTAAGTGCATTGTAATTTTGATAATAATAATATGTAAGTAAATATGTACTTATTATTTTCTTTAAAATATAAAATTACAGTCTTATATAACTAAAATTACATTTGTAAATTTAGTTGCACTGTAATTTTGATAATAATATTGTGTAAATAAATTTGCATTAGTTATTTTATTTCAAATATAAAATTACAGTCCTATATAACTAAAATTACATATGTAAATTTCGTTGATATGACATATAAGTGCACTGTAATTTTGAAAAAAATGTTGTGTAAGTAAATTTGTATTAGTTATTTTATTTTGTAATTCGTTGGATGCAAATCCAAGGAAAGAAAAAATCTGGGTGATTTTATCTCAAAAATCACCCGAGTGATGCATAGGCGGTCCCAACATTAACATTTTATTATCTCGGTTTTCATTAGCATACTCTTTAAACTGCTAAACGATGTATTTCATGCGAAAATTTTCTATACATAAGATACTTTAAAATATTAGATAATTCAATTTCATGTTTAAAATAATTAAAACTCAACTAACTATACGGTAATGACTTTCCCTTATGTGCCCATAGTTCATCTTTATCTGACATGAATTCGAATGGGGCTAAGTTACTAAAGTTTAATAGTAGTAGTAGCTTATTGATACCATTCGTGTAAGTTGCAAGATTAATATAGTCCCACTTTCCTAGGGCAAAGACAATATAAGGTCCCTTATTAGTTGTATCGTTTTGGGACAATTAAATTTTGCAAGAATTTCACATGAAAACCTTGATTTTTTTTTGGTATGTACGATATGAAGTTTAGATTGGATAACCCAGATTAATCTGAGAGCCTCATCGGTTGCCTGTATTACCTAATAAGCCAAAACAGTTTACTAGGAAATAAAAATTAATTTATAGGTAATTTTTTTAATATATTTGTTCATAACGATTTAAAAGTCAATGCTAAAAATAGTTTGCATTGAAAACATCTTAAAATCAACTTCAGAATTAAGTTTGAAAATTCAAATTTTAATTTTTGCTTTGGCTTATTATGCCAACCGATGAGGCTCTGAAATAGGGGCTTTTAACTATTTGCCACTTTTAGATTTGGCAAAAAACTACTTGTCACCCCTATCTCAATGACATGTGGGTCCACATGTGTCTATGACATGTGGGCACAGTGGCAAAAAGTTAATTGCTGCATCTAAATGTGGCAAAAAGTTAATTGCTGCATCTAAATGTGGCAAATGGTTAAATATCTCCTGAAATACGTGCAACTCAGTGAATTTTATGTAAACCAGCTGGGATGTTTTCATTTGATCAGCCAAGGCGTCCACCTTGGTACGCACACAGCGATCATTTTCTTTTCTAAAGTGTATATGACTCTATGAGCAACTGGGTTGAGGTCCGCGTCACATCGAGTGGGCAGAACGGTGGAACAGCTCAGCTCCCCTGCAGCCAAAAACAAATTCAGTTCACCAGCAAAAGAACACCTGGGTTTAAACAACTCCGTTCTTTAACGTCAAAGGAGATTTACTAGTCTATTTCTCGAGCCATGACGCCAACTGCTTTCTTTTGCTTTAGTTGCCAGGTTTTAATCTTGTCCGTGAATGGAAAGATCAAAGTTTGTGCTAAATTTGGTTTAGAGGAGCCACCACTGTTAAGTTAGTGCGCTGACCTACCTGCAGGCTAGCTCCTCTTTAAAATTCTCTCCCTTTTTCATTGCCATCCAACATGTTTTGATCAGACTTCTCTTGTTTCAGGATGAAAAGATTGTTTGCCAAAGCAGTAGCCGTCTATATATGTGCTAGCTTACTTGTTTCCGTTCATCTTTTCATTCTTTTCGCTTCACAGAATCTCTGAGTTGAGTCTCATTGTAAAGTCACCATGCTTCATACTAGTTTATAGCCCTCATTTTAAAAAAAATCTCTTGGTATGGTAAAAAACAGCTAGAGCCGTTGTTTGCATCTTGTCTTTCTCTCTCTGTTCTTTTTTTAAATCTCCCATGGCGGCCTAGTTGCAATTTCCTTTTTTCTTTCACTTTTCACAGCTTATGTCAAAACCATTAGCAACAGAGGTAGTAGGAGCTTGCAAATGGCAGATGAACTAAATGATCAGAATTCAGAGCATAAATTCTTGCGTGTGGGATCAAATTTTTCTTCAGGTGGATGCTCGGATATGTTGGGGTAGTAGTACTAGTTTCTTTGGAGTTTGTAGGACAAGTTGATCGAAGCCACTCATCAATGGTAAGCATGTGCTGATCTGCTCTCGGATAGTGGAGTTCTGACGCAGGAAAACATATTCGTAGGGCTATTTTGAAACGTAGGAAAAAAACATATAAGAATAGGAAAATTGTAGAAATAAAATAATTCACGGCTCATTTAATACTACTGGAGGTGAATTCACAAGTATTTGTAAAAAATGTTGTTACCTAGCACTACATGAAAACATAGGAATTTTAAGAGAAAACATGTGGTCATGTCTCTTTCTAATTTTTTTTTAAAGATAAGCCTCGAAAGAGCACAGAGAGCACATGTTTTTATTCAAGAATAAAATGTTTTGTCTAGTTTTTAGGGAAAATTGGGCCCAAAAATCTCACGTCTGACGTCTCTTTCTAATTTTCCTTTAAAATACTTATGAAATTAGCTATCCCATAGAAATTTCAAAATATTTTGTGGAGGTCATTTCTTCGTTTTAAAGGGGCATGTAGAAATTATTTCCAATGGATTTCAATCCTCCAAAATCCCTCCATTTTTTCCCATGTTCCCAAGCAGCCAACATTCTCTCAAATGCTACAATGAAATCAACATCGCAGTTCTGAACATCAATGCGTCCGTGCGTGCGTCTCTGTCGTTCACGTTTCCCAGGTTAACTATTACCAACCTCCCGACTTCGATTCGATCACTCCCTGTCTCTGTAGCACTAATGCGAAAATGCTAAGCTTAGCTTTGTCAGATCAGAATCAAATTCGCATGTAAATATGTGAGTTCAATCCGATCGCTCACCGTGTCTCTACCACAAGTGCGAAATGCTTTGCTAGCTTGTCAGATCAGAATCAAATTCGCACGTAATATATTCAGGTCTACGTCGAGCGTAATCAATCGAACTATCGGTCTAGCGCAGCGCTTGTTTGTCGTTCCCTGGGTTGAAGGTGTCGTTTCAAGCTTTTTGAATGAAAAATCTAGCTCTGGCTGCATTACATTCACCGGATCTTCATAAATGTGTTGTTTAAGAGTAGTCTTAGACTTGGTGTACTCGTCCTGGATGTACGAGAGTGAGCTGCCGCGAGTGATTTGCATCTTTGTGTTAGCTTCTTTTTCTCTCTCTTTTTGCGCATGATAGATGCAGAGCAGCAGAGGCACGGTGTAAATTTATCTTTTAATTGAAATATATCCTACGATTAAAAAATCTATTAATTGATTTGTACTTGCATCATCCCCTTCTTGCATCCATTCATTTCACCTAAATAATTATATATTTTTATAAAAAAATAACAAGATAAATTTATATGATATATATCACTTCACAGATACTCTTGAACAAATTCTTTAAGTTATAACAAATATAACTGTGGATATGTATACTAGTTTCAGTTTATTTTATTCCTTTTATTACAACTTACATATTTTAAACTTACATATTTATGGAGCGGTATGTATAATATTAATCTATTTTATCAATTTATTTTTTATGACCATGGCATAAAAAAATAAGTGGATGTCCTGTTGAGGATGAAATTCCATCTCCAACGCATTGCTTATATATATGAGATGTTTTACGGTGTTTGCGAGGTACATAGAGGTACTTGGAGGGGGAACAACGTGCACCGTTGATCAAGAGAGGGGCAAGGTACGGAACAAATTTTGTAACATGATGGCAGTTGAGTAATTAACTTGTAAAACATGGGCATTATACTTTAATTGAATACTAAAATCCATCGATCGGTATGCCATCAGAAAAAAGAGTAAATCTAACATCCATCGATCGGTATGCCATAAAAAAAGAGTAAATCACGGATATCCGATCGATCTATACCAGATCGCATCGTCTTCTTTCCCTGCTTTGTTCTTGTTCTAGGGTTTGAACGTTTCACCGAAAGGAGACAGGGTTCACCAAAAGGAGACAAGAGGGAAAAATGTAGGCATGGTTGAGGGTTGAATAGGAGACTAGATCGCCTGGTCGACGACTAGCTAGGCTCAAACTAGCGCAATATAACAATATAACACAATATAAATCTCTTGCTGGAAATAAAATATAATTTTCAACAGAATTAAGGTAGGAGTTTTTACGTATTCATTGGAATAAAATGTAAATGTAGAAAAAATCACATAATTAGGCCAATAATGTGTTATAAGAACACAATATAAATCTAGACTTCAATACAACGTAAATTTACAAAAAAACCATGCAAAATGGAAAATTAAATCCTAGTGCCGCGGTAAACGACTTAACTCCAATACAACGTAAATCTACAAGAAACCACGCAAAACAAAAAATTAAATCATGCAGATAGAGGTTTTACGGTGTTAACGCGTACCGTTATACCTATGCGGTACCTTTTATAATTTGAGAGACGATTCTACCCTTTTCTCTCTACTAGTAAAATTATGTTTTTATCCTTAGTACCTAAGTACCTATATCAATACTTAAATATCTTTAACATGGTACCTGTGATTGAGGAGCGTTGGATCTTTACCTCTTTTGGAATGCAAACACCATAAAACCTCTCTATATATATTCAGCTAGAAATCTGTACCAGTGTGCACCACCATTCATTCGAGTAGAGGTGGAAAAAAAAACTCGAAGCTTGTGACTTGGATCAATTCAAACTCATAGTCTTAATGAGTCGATCCGAGCTCCGTTTAGCTCGTGAGCTTAATGAGCTAGCTTGAACTACTCAAGCTTGAGTTTAGCTCGTTTGTAAATGATATCATCATATCTTTGTATACTTAGTGCTTGTTAACTAGTCCTTCATTTTTTTAATTACATCAAAACTATTTGTATTTAGTGAGTTTAATGTTTATTATGTTAATATATTACAAAATCATAATTTTGAAATTATTAACATGATATAAATGAGATAGAGCTCGTTAACCAGGCTAACGAGCTTAACGAGCCATCTCGCAAGTCAAGCCGAGCTAGCCTCTTAGCTCCGAGGAATTTTGCGATTCCTCGAGGTACTTAAATTTTACACTATTACTTTTAGTATCTTAAGGTACTTACTATCTATACTATCTAGAGGTATCGAATTTTACACGTATCTCTGTAAAAATTACCTTTCAGCTCATCAAAATTAACAAACTGAGACGAACTAGCTCATTAAAATAACTGAGTTCAAACGAGCCAAGCTGGCCTAAATTCCATGGTAAAAGCTATTAGCTAGCAATGTCTCCACCACGTCGATATCGATCGAGTGCACCCTCCATTTACTAATTACTTCCATATTAAAGCTATCATCAATCCATCCAATATCCATCGTGCACTGACGAAACCAGCTGCATTCTGCTCCCAGTAAGAATCAGAACTCAATTCCTCCACATATATGCTCTGCAAACTGCAACTCTGCAACTGCATCCATCGATTGATAGATACATGCACATAGCTGCATCTGCATTTGTTTGTTCCTGTCACCTTTGTACCATCCAATTCCAACCCCACATTTCATCCTCGATCTTTCTGGTTTGCCGAGCCAAACAGAGCAAGCACAGCTAGTAGCTAGCCAATATTCAGATAAGAGAGTGGAGTCAGGAACTCATTAGAAGAGACATCTTTAATTTGCTCATGGCCATTGGGACCCAATCACCCAACACATTTGATAATTGATACTCCATTTTGATTCCTCTTCTTCCCCAGCTCTAGCTATATATAAACCACTCCAATGGCAGCACACAAATTCATGAATTCCCAGTTCAGAGTTTCAGGTACTCTCAATCTGAAACATATAGAGGAGCTAGTAGCAAAGAGAAGTAATTAGAGTGAGCTTAAGTAGTAATTAATTAGAGGAGGTTAATTAATTAGGGAAGATGATAGGATGGGGAGATGTGTACAAGGTGGTGGGGGCAATGGCGCCGCTGTACTTCGCGCTGGGGCTAGGGTACGGGTCGGTGAGGTGGTGGAGGTTCTTCACGGCGGAGCAGTGCGCCGCCATCAACACCATGGTGGTCTACTTCTCCATGCCCTTCTTCACCTTCGACTTCGTCGTCCGCACCGACCCGTTCGCCATGAACTACCGCGTCATCGCCGCCGACGCGGTGTCCAAGGCGATCGCCATCGCCGCCATGGCGGCGTGGGCGCGCACGCGCTGCGGCTGCGCCGCCGCCAAGGCCGGGGCGCAGTCGTGGTCCATCACCGGGTTCTCCCTCGCCGCGCTCAACAACACGCTCGTCGTCGGCGTGCCGCTGCTCGACGCCATGTACGGGAGGTGGGCGCAGGACCTCGTGGTGCAGATCGCCGTCGTGCAGTCCATGGTGTGGTTCCCGCTCCTGCTCATGGCGTTCGAGCTCCGCAAGGCCTGGGTCGTCGGCGGCGGCGGCGGCGTCGGGCCGGCGGTGATGTCGTCGTCGTCGCCGCCGGAGAAGCAGAGCGACGTCGAGATGAACGGCGCCGTCGTCGCGGCGCCGGGCGGCGGCGGCGGCGTCCGGCTACCGTTCTGGGCGACGGCGAGGACGGTGGGGCTGAAGCTGGCGAGGAACCCGAACGTGTACGCCAGCGTTCTCGGCGTCGTGTGGGCGTGCATCGCGTACAGGTATATACGCGTCAGCCATGCATTGCATGCGCCATCGCCATCGCCATCGCCGTGAAGTGAAACTCAAGTTTCTACTAGCTTCTTGACGTCGCCGTCGCCGGTGAACATGCATGCAGGTGGCACCTGAGCTTGCCGGGGATCGTGACGGGGTCGCTGCAGGTGATGTCCAGGACTGGCACGGGGATGTCCATGTTCAGCATGGGTAAGCTAGCATCGGCATAAAGTTTTTCTTTTTCTGAATAGCCGAATAATTTTGCGTTATAAAGTTGGAAAATAGGTTTAAAGCTGTTGCAAAAATCGCACCATTTAGGAGGCCAGTTGCAGGGTTCAAAATCCCGATACCAGATCGAAGTCCACTCACGGGCGGTTTCTTTGGATTTCACATAATCCATAAAAAGGGATAAAAACTGATGAAATCCGAATAAATTTTACCAAAAGAATTAAAACTTAGTTTAATTTTTTTAAAACTTAGATCGAAAAACCGAGCGGTATGTGTTTTCGACCCAGTTCGAAAAGTTCAGATTTCACGTAATTCGAACTAGATTCTACTGGATTTATGTTTGATGATTCAAGTTGTTAGAGAAATGTTGTTGCAATAATGGTTGTTGTTGCATATGCTGAATAATTGCTGATGGATATCATATGTAGTGATTGGATATGATATATGATGAGATGCAGGGTTGTTCATGGGGCAGCAGGAGAGGGTGATAGCGTGCGGGGCGGGGCTGACGGCGCTGGGGATGGCGCTGCGGTTCGTCGCCGGTCCGCTCGCCACGCTCGTCGGCGCCGCCGCCCTCGGCCTCCGCGGCGACGTCCTGCACCTCGCCATCATACAGGTACACCTCCTTAATTTTGCCTTGTCGGGAACACAAACTGTTCACGTCACATCGCCGGCGCTTTTCGCCGTGTACTTAGATACATGCAGGGGAAAGTGATTTCGTGTACACAATTTAGCTTGATAGACTAATATAAAATATACCACTCCACAAATATACAAATTGAATTTTTTTTATTTACAAGTTGTAAAAAAACAAATATAGATGCGGATGTACGATAAATATTTTAAGTTTAATTTGTTTTTTTTCTAATTTGTAAAAGTCGAATTTAGTCTTGTTTGTCTTGAAATGATATATTTTATATTAATCTATATTATTAATTTTTTTATAACTATTTAGATGATATGAAAAAACAACGAGATATTTTCTCGACAGTGGTAATTTAGTTTCGCCTTTTGCTTTCACTAGTTTATCTCTTCTCCGATCTCAATTAAATAAACTATATATATCCGGCTTCCTAGAGAAAACAAATGAGCTCGAGAGGTCGGCAGCTAGTGCATGCTAACTGCAGATCACTTCGATTTGTCGCTTTTCTGAAACTCTTGTTTCGTGCTAACCAGTGAGCAACTAAGCAACTTGGTGAGTGGTATATACGTACCCAACTTTTCACATTGGGGATGTGTATGTGTAGTGCATCAGCAGCAGTAAACGAACTAGCTAGTGTGCCATGCATGCATGGATACACCAGATAAGTCACAAGTATATATCGTGGCTTGCATTTCAGGAGTTTGGAAATTTTCAAAAATCAGTCATCACTCTCTTCTTGTCCATATATTGGATGATATTTTCAATGGTTCTCATCTCCCCTGTATTACTAATTTAAACAAAGTTAATCCCTTCTTTAGATAAAATGATAAAAGGTTGAACAATAAATTATTCTAACTGATAAAAATAATACAAAATTACATTTTCTTTTACTGTAATGCAAAATTACATTTATAATTCAATATAACACCGAGATTCCAGATAAATTAAACTAAAATTGCACATCGCATAACAATGCAATTTTAGGCTTTAGCAATGTGTAATTGCAAGCGACAAATTTTAACGCCCCTGAAATCTAACAAATATGTAAGGTGCTTAAAGTTTTAAAATTTCAGCCACCTTTTTCATCTCTTAAATGATAATCCTCATCACTCCTAAGTCACTACTCCTTAAAAGAGGTTTAATACTCCTACTTCTTTGAACTTTTTTAAAATGATGTAAACTATTTTTTTCTTTTTCGAAATGGCTTGTGGGTTCATGACTTCATTCTACTCCATATATATGGTGAAATTTAACTGCTAGTGCTAAAAAGAGAGGTATTTAGAGGTTCTATGCATACACACGCATGTATAAGACATTAGCATGCATTCCGATCTTAATTAATACTGATCATGTAATCAATTTTCATGTACATATATGCAGGCCGCACTGCCTCAATCGATTGCTTCCTTCGTTTTCGCAAAGGAGTATGGGCTTCATGCCGATGTACTCAGCACGGCGTAAGTTAATTAATTTTCATTAATTTAGTATCAACCTGATGATTAATTATGCCGTACGAGTTTTCCTTAACTGCGTTGGATTATAGATTAATTACAGTATCAGTCTGCCGTTGAAGTACTAATAACTTGATTAATCACTAACGAAAATCTAATTTTGAATGCAGGGTTATATTCGGAACATTGATCTCTCTGCCGATTCTGATTGCATATTACGCGGTTCTGGGCTTTGTCTAACATGCATTTACAGCACGGCATGCTTACTTATATTAGATTTGCTTCGGTCCAACAAAAATTATCTCGAGATACCGATACCTCACGGTACCGATAACTCATCTGCTCAGCTAGATCCAACGATCGAAAATAATTTGGTACCGTGAGGTACCGGTATTTCGAGATACTTTTTGTTGGACGATAACAAACCTCTAATTACATTGGATGCTGAGATCTAAACCAATGTGGAGCGTCAATGACGCAACAGAAGGATGTTAATTAATCAGAGTACTTCAGCAATAGAGAGTTTCAGTGTTGCAAGCTCTGATTAATGATCTAATATTCCAATTAGTCGATATTGTATTTCGAGCAAAGTAAATAATAAAGTTTTCAACAGTTTTGCTACCTAATATTACTGTACGTTGGAGCACCAGGGAAATTACCATACACGTCGAGATCGCTTTGTGAGCATGTGTGCAAAATTCGTGTGTTTAAGGTCTCCCCAATTTAAAATGAAAGAATTTCATGGGATTTTCATTGGAAACGAACTAAAATCCTGTATTCAGAAAGCCTTATTTTTCTATTATAGGAAATTCGGTATTTGCTTCAAAAGAAGCTGTTTACAAAGTCACCAGCTCATCAAATGACTACAAATAACAGTACACGTGATGACAAAAGAAAAAAAAAGGTTAATTATGTCTCTAGCCTTTTTTTTATTTTTGAAGAAAAATTCTCTAGCTTTCATTAGGAAGAAGGACGATGGAAAAAGCTCAATTTATTGGTACAAAGTTCCCATTGCCTCCAAAGCAGAGGCGGATTACGTAGACAACTAGCCATGCACACTCTTTTTTTTTAGGGAAAGTCATTCAGCGAGCTTTATTCATTAGACAAAATGGTTACATTGTTCACTAACAAATTCAGGATAAAGCTAGGTGATTCATCAACCCAAATATCAGAATACTAGCTATGCACACTTGGTTTAACACTATCAAGCTACATTTGGTAAAACAGGTTTTTAGCTCTATCCAACAAACCGGTTTCATGGTTGCCTATCGACCACTCCATCAAAGATTACACAGTTACACTCCTTTTTTCCAAAATAAATAATTTTTTATATACAAATCTAGACATATACTCCATATTCAGATTCATATACAAAAGTTAACTTATTTTAAAACAGAGGAGTGAGTCATTCCACAACGCAAGTTCACCATTTCCCCGTCAAGAGGAAAAATAAATGCAGTCACATCAATCGCTCCACCAAAAATCAAGCTCAAAATTAGTCTGTACATAAAAGAAAAAAACAAATTCAGACGTGAATAATACCGGCCTCGTTTACATATACGCTAGGTTTGTTTTTCTTATCTTTATGTGTGAATTGAGTTTAAATGAAATAATTTTGTGGAGTGGTATATACATATTGTTAAATTTTTTAAAGATTTTTTATATATACTGGAAAAAAATGCCCGTGCGTTATATTGGATGAAGGCTATTTTAGTTTTATTATTAATGTTATCCAGTTTAACTAGGGTGAAAATTATTGTAGGAATTGGCTTGGATATTTTTTAAAAAAAAATCATGAGTTGTAATTAGGAGTTCAACTCTTTCAAGTTAGCATGTGAGTTTTTTTAAATGATTCCTTATACGACTATTTTTGTATTTCCAAAAGCGTCCCAAGTTGGCATGCGAGTTTTTTTTAAAGAGATTTCACGTCTTTTTTATTTCCTAAAGCAAACGAATCTGCAAACCGACTCAAACACATATATGTATTTTCAAAAGCGAATGAGCATTAAAAACCAAGTCAAACACGAATGACCTATCAAATTATCGGTAAAAATATCTTCAATTTTTATAATAGTAGAGATTTAGATGGTAAGGATGATCCACTCGAGCGATTAAAATAGTTTACCATACATTCTCAAATAAAAAAATCACATAAAGAAACTGAATTTGCTCAAAGTGATTCACATTTGTTCCGACCGATCTGCAGGAGGCACACAGCTCACCGATAGATATATGATCCTATTGGCTACTATCTGAAAATGCGGCAGATTAAAGTAGGCATGTTCTTCAGTGGTGCGATGCGTACAGCTTAGTACGTACCAACTCGATCGATCGATCAGCTTCAGACCGGCCATTGGTGCCACTCCCGTCGACGGTGACTCACTCATTATCCATCCATCCATATCTCGTCGATCGGTCGACCATCTTGATCCGTAGCGTACTTGTGTTTCTACTGGGAAATCATCACGGCGCGCACTACACGTACTTCCTCTATCTCACTTAAAACAAATCTAGAACTGAGCTTATCTCATGTTCGTTGTAATATATCATACCTAATCATAGATTTTTTTTTATGACGAAGGGGTACGTATCAGTAGTATCACACGACGGCAAACTGAAGAGGTGGATACGTTCTAAGAGTTTTGTGGTTGGTTACTTGCTCGATTTTCATCATCACGCTTTTCGAACGGTTAAACAGGCTGGGTGTTTCGGATGAAACCTTTTCTAGAAATTATTTTAGAAAATTAAATAAATCCATTTTTAGGTTTATAATAATCAATGCTTAATTAATAATATACTAATCTTTTTTTTTGTTTTGCGTGCATCTGCTAAACATCCGTTTTAGAACGCACTTTAGACACGCGGCCGTAGTGTAGTGCGTTCCTGGCGTGAAATGCACAACGTACGTACGCGAGCGCGTACGACGCTGGCTGATCATGGCCTTTGCACTTTGCAGGCACAAGTGCACCACCTCATCCATACACGAAACACGGTACAACATCTATACGGGCTGTTTTTTTTTTTCTAAAACTGTTTGGTGATCAACACCGTCGTGTCGTGGGCTCGTGGCCTGGTCCATCAACTTGGCTAGCTTGACGAGAACAGTAGACCGAACGAGAACAGTAGCTCCTGATGCTACAGACCGATCAGTCCAGACTCCAGAGCCGACCACAGCTGGTGCAGCGTGCTTCCGAATTCAGATGATCGGTATACCTTGCTTCCGAATGTTTGATTCCTCGAGAAATCCAAGTGGATTATCCACCCATCGATCGAGTACAGTACAGACAGATTCCAGAAGAATTTGGCGCCGACGGGCCAGCTTTCCCTCAACTCATCACTCGCCGGCTCCCATCGGTTGCCCATTTGACCTAAAATGGCTTATTAGAAAATTAAAATTAATTTATAAGTAAAACTTTTGTAGATTTGTTCGTAGCGACTTAAAAGTCAACATTAACCAAAAAAAAAGTTACGTTAAAAGCATTTCAAAATCAACCTCAAAATCAAGTTTAAAAATTGAAATTTTGACTCATTCTTTGGCTATTTAGCCCAAACGATGGGGCTAGCCGAGTCGCCGTGCCAGGTCAGCGAGCGAGCTAGCGAGAGATCAATCTCCACTAGGGTTCCCCAAACAGTTTTGGATGAGATTACCGTCACCCCACAATTTAGTGGTTATCGCGGTAACCGCTCGGTTACCACGAAAACTATGCGATTACCACAAGGTATACTGTAATTTCAAAAACTGAGAAAATTACCTCACGTGATAACTACACAGTTTTATAAACCCTGATCCCCACCCAGGCCGCGCGCCAGACCACCAGTGCATCGACGAGCATCAACTTGTCGGAGCTAGGGAGCATCCATGACCAAACATTTGCAGAGCACTCATTCAGTTTTCTTCTGTCCAAGGTTTCACCCTGCAGCATGTAGATTTCAGAACATATATATGAAGGATGAACAACTACACTTCTTCGAGTACGGCAAAGTTTCAAAATCTTCCAATCAGCAAAATGCTGTGAACTTTCGCGCTTCCAGTCTCAACAACACTAGACATACATTCTCACCCCACACAACAGTGAGACATGAACCCAGCTACTAACATAAGTTAAAATCCTGTTTCCCTATGTATTTCTCCGGATTACATAGCTAAGGGTAAACACAGGCCAGTAAAGTACAACAGGCTTCAATTCAGTTCAGCGATTGAAGATGCGAATCATTCTTCAGCAGGGCCAGAACGGTGAGAACAGATTATGCCACGGTCCAGGTTACCTCTAGGAGAGCAAAGAGACCAGCGAGACGAACTCCGATGTTACCCTGCCTTTCGATCTTGTGTTGATGACAAAATGTTCCGGATACTTCCTCAGCAATGCAAGGAGACCGTACCATGGCCTACCTTTTGTTTCAGTTGGCGACCAGTCCTCTGGTGAAAGGTACTTCCGGACCCTGCTGTGGTGCCACACATTGCCAAACTGTTCAAGAAGCTGCAAGTAACCAAACGAGTTAGTTACTTAGTTTGCATACCAAGAAAGAGGAAACATGCTTGAGTGTAAAGGTAGCAAGAAAAAAGAGATGGCTAGGTGAAACGAAGATCTCTCCACAAGTGCACATATGCTAATGAAAATACATACACCAACTGTGCCAGTTGAACAAATAAGATTGCCATCGTAGCATTACTGTACTCATGATTTATGCTAATTTTTTAGATCACTGGTTGAAGGCAAAGAGGAGAATCAGAAAAGATGACACTATATGAGAGTTCTGACATTTATAGGTACAACAACAAATGGTTAACGACAAGCACAAGAGCCAAACATTTCAATCTCTCCGGGTGCTGGTGCAATCCAAGAAATGCCCACTGTGGCAAATCGAAAAATCTGAGCTTTTCCAAGTAACAGAAAACTTTTATCTTTTATTTCTTTTCCATATATTTGGACTTTGGATGCAAGCTACTACTAATAATAACTTAGCAGAAGTAAACACATTTTAACACTAGTTTTCCTCATGCATCTGTCCTTGTTTGTTTTGTTAGAATAACAAAGCCTAACTACTGTGTTTACATTTAGGCATCCCATCACTAGCAGAAGCAACTCTCTGAGTATCAGTACAAGGTTAAGTGCAAAACATGTTCAAAGTGATAAGTTGTATGTAATCATACTATTGTCTAGAGTATGTCTCTGGTGCTTGTATTGGCAAACACATGCATTTGAAATCCTAACAGTCCTGTAGCTGAGAGGACCAAAGTTACATGTCTATATAATTGTTTTGTCTCCTGACTATCAACTTATACACACCGGCAGAACAAGATGCACTATAACCCGTGTTTTAGACAAGACACCAGATTTTACATGGATATTTGGGATGCTGTGTGTTGATGACCTGAATCATCTGGTTCAGATTGCAGGATCAGCTACTATGATGATTGACACGGCAGGGATGCTGTCATCCAATTTTTATCCCCAGACGACATCAGCCAACAAGTCCCCTTACTGATCAAGTTTTCTCATTGACTGTGACGGCTCCATTTAATCTTTCGAATATATGTTCATTTTATCATGCATTTCAATAAAATACCATTTTCTTCTTGTTTTAGCTTGTTTTAGTTCACAAGGCCCATTCCTCAATTTTCGAAATTATCTACCCCAAAACTTGCTTTTTCCAAGCCAAAAGGCAGTGAAGTTTCACAGAAGACAGGGACTAAAAAGACATGCCAGAGTATAATCTAGCCTCTACCTATACTGTATAGAAATTGGATGAAATATTTAAGTTCATCCGTGACAAACCTCTGTGTGGAGTTTTGCCATAGGCATCCATTCTCCAGGACCACAGAGGTCAGATAACACTGTTGCAACAGATGACACTACATCCTTTTCTTCTGCTTGCAGGATGTGCTGGTTATCCATATCCCTGTCACCCCTTGATCTTATTTCTGATCTGCTGTCTGCACAAACAATTAACAAAGGAAGGTGGTTAAGATCAGATCAAACTATAAGATGTTTCTTCAATGGCACAGCTATGAATAACCAGAACACACACTAACAGTCCCCAAAGTTGAATATTCGGAGTTGGAAACTGGAAAGGGATAGCAGGGGTGATCCAAACTTATTCCACACCATCTAGTAATTCTTAGAGTGAAATAGAATATCTCATTCTCTCCGGCTGATAGGAGTAGCACAGGTAATGCATTTAACTTATTGCTGAACATTCACATTCATTTACAAAAAATGAGAGATGTATTACATTTGCTAATTGAAAGACGCACACCATAAAATAGTCTTGTTATACTCAACTTAGACAACTTAGAGAAAATACTTATTGGCACAGGCTATGCAATTGCATCTAAAATTGGTATAGTCTTGTTATACTCTATCTTGCTTATAGTGTAAACTGTACAATCTTCATTCTGCCCAGTACAGAAGGTTGAAATAACCTTATCTTACATTGATGACCCTGAGTTTCATTTTCACAATGTAAATGAACTGAGCAAAAAGTACAGCTATATTTAGTGATCGTCTGATTGATCAAGCAAAATCGCATATAATTTATATCGAAACAGCAACGCCATCAATGCAGAATCAACATGTACTATCTTTTACAAGAAAACAATGACACCAGGATAAAATGGAAAGGATATCTAGTAAGAGTGGAGAGCAACGATTACCACCTTCACCGAGTGTCCCGATTGCTTCAACATTGATCCGGTGCCCGCCATACATCTCCGACTCCGCGGACAGCTTCTTGTTCCTCTTAATCAACTTCCCCCTCATCCCACCACTCTCACTGATACCATTCCCAATCTCATCACCCTCCCGGCCATAGTCACCCTCAAAGGACCTGTCATGAAATTCAGACAGACGAGGGCGGCCTGTCCGCACATAGGATGGTGGAGGCATCTGCTGCGGGATGATAGGCGGATGCCGAGCAGCGGCGGCGGACGCGAAGATGGACCGGGTGGGCAGCAAGAAGTAGAACTTCTTGTCCCCAATCTGGAGCAGATCCTGGGAATCCAGCTTCACGGGGTGGTTCCCGGGGAGGTGGAGGACGCCCTCGACGAGGCACCCGTTCTTGCCGATCACGTCGAGCGCGAAGCGGCGGCGCTGGAAGTCGTAGAAGATCCGGGCGTGGTGGCGCGAGATGTTCATCCCGCCGCCGAGGCTGGAGAGGTCCACGTCCACCGTCGACTTCTTGCTGTTGCGCCCCAGCATGATCGAGTAGGTCTGCATGTAGTACTCGAAATCCTCCCCCTGGAGCTTCGCGAACCCGGCCTCCACCTCGCCGTCGCCGCCCGAGGATCCCGCCGGCATCGCGCCACCGCCAAGGTTGGCCATCCAATCCACGAAATCGACGAAATGATCCTGAGCTTGGCGTGGCGTTCGGGCGCGGGCAAGGCGGCCGGCGGAGGAGGGGAGGCTCACCGGGGTCTGGAGTGTCCGGCGGAGGGGGCGCGGCTGCGTGGCGGCGGAGGGAGGCGGCCGGCCGCCGGCGGCGGCGGCGGAGGATCGCCTGGGTTGGGGAAGTGGGGAATTGGGGGACAGACAGGTAGATGGAGAAGGGGAACACTCACAGGACAATCGGATTATGTTTTACTACCTCTGTCTTAAAAAAAAATCTCCAACCCTAATTTTTCGAGGTGAATATAAAAGAACCAAAATACCCCTAATTAATAGCAAAGTTATATTATGAGTGGGTAGGTGAGGGTTACTGAAGATAATTTTCCAAGGTGAATATAAAAGAACCAAAATACCCCTAATTAATAGCAAAGTTATATTATGGGGTGGGTAGGTGAGGGGTATTAAAGATTATTTTCCAAGGTGAATATAAAAGGACCAAAATACCCCTAATTAATAGCAAAGTTATATTATAGGTGGGTAGGTGAGAGATATTGAAAAGATAAAATTCTCGATTTACAGATCGATGATAGGCAAAAAGGTAGAAATTGGTTTATTTGAAAATGTTATAAAATATTTATTTAAAACAGACGGCAATCTTGCTTAACAGACGACAATCTTGCTTAATCACTTAATCATTTAATCATTTTGTAATACAACGAATCTGAATAAAAAGTATCTCATACTTCATCCGTTTCATATTATAAGACTTTCTAGCATTGCCCACATTCATATAGATGTTAATGAACCTAGACATATACATCTATATGAATGTGAGTAATGCTAGAAAGTTTTATGATATGAAACCGAGGGAGTATATCTCTAAGGTTTTTTTTTCTGAGATTGAGGGAAGTGTCTCATCAATTTCTAAGTTGATTTTGTTAGACCAAGGGAATAATTAGCACGATATCCTATGCAATCTATTATATACTAGTATAATTTTTGCATGTCAAATATAATCTTGAATATCCTATGTAATCTATTAGGCTCTATTTGAGACTGCTGAAATTGAAATGATCTAATTTTTCTAGTTGTCTGAGGAGTCGAAATGTTGTTTTAGAATACCATATAGTTTCTTTTACATGAGGCATAAGCTTAGAAGCGTGTAAACGAAAATTCAAAGTCGAGAACACAAAAAACACGACCATAATTGAATACATTGTATATTTATCCCGCTGAAGTCAAAGCAACGAATTGTCCCCTATAAAATGAAACAAAAAATAATTATAAGTGGTAAAATTGCTTGCAACCGCACACCCTAACACCATATTCGCACACATGTGAGTGCGCTCTAATAAGAACATGTAGTTATAATGACGAAGACCAATGATAACTCTCTTATCTCAGTAAAATCTTATTAGCAAAAAGGCATATATTTTCTTAAAAAACATTGGACAAACACATGTATTCACAACACACACGTACTCATCCATACGAACGTATATATGCACACTTTACCTCCCAAGCACAACAACTATACTGATATATATTAAGATTTAAGATTGACGAACTCATTGCATATATCTCTGTATTGACGGGTACATCGTTTACCGCTAAAAATTAATTAGCCATAAATACAAACAACCGTGGGCAGGTTTCACCGCCATAACTACTCCCTTCGTCACATAATATGAGGGATTTTAGAGGGATGTGATACATCCAGTACATGTTTAGATTTTTAGTAATATGATGTGTTACATCTCTTCAAAATCTTTTATATTTTGGGACGGAGGAAGTAATAAGTATCTTCTGAATGGATTTATTTTAAGTGTATTTTTAAGGAAATGATGCGTTGAAAAATGCCAAGCATTTCATACAGAGTAACACCCCTATTGGGAAAAAAACGTTTTTCGCCAAACATCCCCTCTCTCTCTCTAATGTAATCCAAGAGAAAAATTGGATAAACAAAACGACGATAAAATACCATAATGGGATTGAGAGGGAACATGCAGCCCTATCATATCGAAGGAAAAAAGAGAAACAATATACTATTTGCAAATGAAAAAAAAAAATCTGTGTATAAAACTTATATACATGTTCTTGGCGATATAAAATTAAGGCCCCTTTGATTCAAAGGAAATTCATAGGAATTTTAGAGGATTTCATTCTTATAGGAATTTTTCCTACAAAGTCCTTTGAATCAAAGGAATGAACCCTATGAAATCCTATGAAATTCCTATGAAATGCCTCTTCCCATATAAGTTTTGGAGGAATTTTAACAAGAGGTAGAACCTCAGGGAAAAAATCCTTTGAGTCTTTATCTCTCCTAAAATTCCTGTGTTTTTTCTGTGGTACAATCAAACGGTCATTCCTACGTTTTTCCTGTGTTTTGCAATCCTCTGTTTTACAATTACATTCCTGTCAAAACCCTATGTTTTTCCTATTCCTCCGTTTTTTCATTCTTGTGATTTAAAGATGCCCTAAAGGTTAAAAAATAAACTACGATGAGAAAATTTCTTAAATTAACTTCAAATTTAACATTAATAATTTAAATTTTAACCGACAAGTATAAGTATAAATGAAAAAAAAGTGAGTCCGGTAAAATGTGGTTATCAAATCATAATTGGAAGCGCAACGCGAAGGAGAGACCCGTTGCCATCGGTGTGTATCCCACGAAGGAACAAGACGAACGCCAAGGCTCACATGCGACGCGACATTGCCTACACTGTGTCACGTTCGTTGCTACTCCTCCTTGCTAGTGCTTACCACCCCTCTCCCTCCTCCTCCTCCTCCTCCTCCTCTCCCCTTCTCTCCTCTCCTCCCTCTCCGCCGCGCGCCGGTCGCCGGAGTAGCAGGGTGACTGGGAGGGATTCAGCGAGGCAAAACCAATGGGGGTGCTGGGGGACGGGTCGGGGTGGTGCTTCTGCTCCGGCGGGGCGAAGCTGGAGCGGATCAAGAACTCCGTCCTCGCCGCCAAGGGCGCCGCCGTCGCCGCCGTCTCCTTCCCCGCCGGAGGTGGAGGAGGGGGCAGAGGTGGGAGTGGGTTCCTCATCCACCGCGCCCTCCTGCTCACCACGCACGGCACCATCCCCTCCGCCGCCGCCGCCGCCGCCGCCGAGGTCCGCCTCAGCCACGGCCGCCTCCCGGCTCGCCTCGTGCCGCAGAGGTATTGAACCCCCTCTCCGCCATTTCTTGGATTTCTTCCTCCGCTTCCTATAATAATCCTATTGGGTTGTTCAAATGCGGTGCCCAAATGATTTTACATTTTTTTTGTGGTGGGTTTGCGGGTTTCGAATGGAATCGATTGGTGCTGCATTGCGCCATGAGAGGATTCGGTTTTGAAACCTAATGCGACGCCTTTAGCATTTTTTCTTTTCCCTTTTGGGTTGCACGCCCGCAAGGATTGCTAGATGTTTGTTTGCACTATGGTGTAGAGAGATCTAATTTTCATCATTCGATGTAAAGCTGCTGCAATTTTGTTCAAAATCAAATGAATCTAGTCTTTAGGGGAGTTCATGAGATAGTCATTTTGGGCTTCTGAATTACAAGAAAAAGAAAACTTTTGCTTGCTCGAAAGTTCAGGACTTGGGGACATTGTGGTGGGGTGGGGTTGACTTCCATATGGTTCATGATACTATCATTTGGGGCTTGTTACCATGGGACCTAGACAATCTTGATGTTATTAATGCATTCTGTTATTGTAGCATCCGTACTTTTGTAGTGGGGATAATATATTTCCTTTGTTTGGTCGTTCAGGATCAAATGCAACTATGTACAAATAAATTTATTTATCTTCTTCATACGATTTTGGTGGATCACCGAACAGATTTATGAGCCAGCAGATGTATGTCAGGAAGCATTATTGCCATTGGCTGAGTAAAGTCAATTTTGTGCAATAGCTGCGAGAAGCAGATATAGCATCGAGGATTACTTCACATCTTTGTACAAGTAGACATAAACTCTATTGAATTCTGGATGCCTGACTAGAAAATTTAAAATGGGAGGCAATATTTGCTGAAAGTGGTCCATGGTTCAATTTATTCACTTGATTGCTGGGCATAGGACATGTTTTAAATGCATTCTTTGTTTCTTTACACAAAATCAATGTAGGGTCAATCTGGATTTCTTTTTGAACACTTTATTTATTGGGCAACCACCCAACATTCGAAACTTAATTGTAATAACAAGAAATGAAAAGGTGACCGTATAGAACTGGAATATAAATAAATGTGCTGTGCATCTCTATTGCTTTTAGAGCGGGAAACTTAGCAAGTTTTTACTCTGAAATTTTGGAGTACTGAAACATTTATTTGCCCAAGTGGGCCTTTTATTTCCATCTTTTACTATGAAAATTTACAGTTATTTGTTTTGTTTCATTATTCCAGATTCTTTATCACTAGCCCCATTTTGGACCTTACAATAGTGGGTCTTGATGTGGTGAACGATGAATTAAATTCACACGGGCAACAGCCTCATTTCCTAAAGACCTGCCTGAACCCCAGCTTGGACCTTGGCAGTACAGTTTTGCTCCTGGGCCACACAAAGAGAAAAGACCTGACAATAGGCGAGGGGAAGGTTATAATTACAACAGACAACCTTATAAAGTTCTCAACTGATGAAGTCGCATGGTATCCTGGATCTGCTGGTTTTGATATGCACGGAAATTTAGCTTTCATGGTTTGTGATCCAATGAAGCTTGCACCTTCTACACCTACTGGATACGCTTCTGCATCTTCAGCCGCACTCCTTTCAGCAAAGAAGGATGTGCCAACACAGTTTGGGATGCCCATTCCTGCAGTCTGTGGTTGGTTGAAGCAGCATTGGAATGGTAACTTAGAAGATGTTAGCAAGCCAATGATGCCTCCTGCACGATTAATATCCACTGGGCAACGAAGTGAGTGTTCTTCTGTTGGTCGTCTTAACTACATCAAGACCATGGAGCGAGAGGGTGGTGATGGGATGTCATCATCACAAATACCACCTAGGCTGACACAGCATCATGGATCATGCAGTTCAGCTTCTGCGAAGATTTCATGCGGTGAAAATGATTCTGTTGACTCGCACTCTATTCATGAACAACAAGATCTGACCTCACAAATGCATGAATCTAAGATTGAGCAATCTGCTTCACTTATGGATAATAACTTTCCTCCAGGGCATCCAAGATCAATTCGCCTGCCACTTCCTCTAAAGCACATGATGTCCCATGAGAATAAGATAAAACCGAACCCATCATTTTCACATGAAGCACAGCTAGCTAATGTGAGGATCAATTGTGGCACTCTTCACAATGTTGCTTACCAGGAAAATTGCTGGAGTGAGGCTCAGTCCAGTTCCTCTCCACCAGATATATCAGAGTTGGGGGATGAGAGGGGCGGTTTTAGCAGTGGAGAGGAGACAATGTACTCTGCTGAAACTAGGGAAAGCAGAAACATCCCTAGCCCAAAGGAAAAGAATCCCAAGATGGTTGGGAGATCACAGAGTTTTGTGAATCATAGCAAGTGGGATTCCCCAAAAAGTGTTGAATCTTCGAAAGGGGCCCCCTCAAAGTCACACACCTTCATTCCTTTGAGAAAACCACATTTGCAGGCTGCAGCCATTTCGCAGAAAAGCCAAGATTTTTTCAGTCCTACTGTCTCCTCAAGCATGAAAAAGAGGAATTTATCACAAATTCCCATGAAACCTCGGCAAAGTGCTCAAGTTACCTCCAAGTGGATCATCTGATCTCACCAACTTTCCTCAAACCATACAAAGATAGCAACATCTTTTGGTTCAACCGGTTCCACAAAATACTTCCTTTTTAGTTCTGTAACTGTATGGTGTAAATGTATTCTAGTCAAACTATATTCTCTAGTGATTCTTTTCAGTGTAACATAATCTAGCTTATATTCTTTTCTCTCTACCGTGCATTTGCCCAATGAAGGGTAAAACCAATCATCATACAAAATGTAGTTTTTTGTCCGACAGGTAGCCATGGAGGATGGACTGAGCATTCTTTATTTTTCCCAACAATGAACTGGGATTCATTGGCACAAGAAGCAGGACTGGGCTACTCATGAAGCTGCATAATTGGATAAGTAGTGTTCCATTTCTGTGAGGAGAATAATTGGATAAGCCAATGCCTCTGCAGCAGTGCAGCTTTCTCTTCATATACAGAAGCACAGAACTCCTTGAAAATTGACTTTTTTCTACATCTATTCAGAAAAATCAAATGCAAGGACATTCCAGTGCTATAGGAGTTCCTTTTTTTTTTGCCCTGTTTCTTCTGCACTCATTTTTTGTCCAGTTTTGGCAGGAACACCATTTGAAACTGTTTGGTATGGTTCACTTTTTGAAATGTCAAGTGCCAAAGCAATCAGCAGTTCTCTCGATGACAGTGAGTATTTGATGCACATGCAACAATATGCTCATCATGACATGGCAGATCATAATTGTATGCACATATTCAGGAAAAAAATACTACCAGGATGAGAACAAATGTCATATGATTTAAAATTTTCTTCAAGAGTTAAGGTACAACCGATCCCTAAACTTGTTCGATTGGTAACATATTCTCGAAACACACAAATTACCCACATTAGCGTCTGTGTGACATACCACGTAAAATTTTGGAAGATCGTGGTAATTCAGGATTTGAATGAAACATTTTAATGAGTTTATGAGATATAGATATGTGTTTTGAGAGTACGATGAGCGAACAAATTTAGGGATCAATCGTGCACTTTATTTATTTTTTTTATAAAATTTCATAATACGAGTAGACAACACTACTTTCTCCATCCCACTACTAAATGAGAGAATGAAAATAAGATGGAGAGAAAATCACCCAAACATCCCCTATTAAATGAGCGATGATATGAAGTGAGAGGGTAGTTGAGAGTAAGACGGAGAGAAATTTGAATGGGATCTGATTGATGTGATAGTAAATAGTATAGTAGGATTGTATTATTTTGGGAAAAAAATAAATCTAGAATTGTATTATAGTGGGATGAAGTGAGTATTGTTTTGGCACTTTACTCTTAACACATTGGCATTGCCAGAAATTTAAGGCCTATTTAGTTTAGTGTTTAAATAAACGCTTCCAAAAATTAGCAATGACCAAATTTTGATAAATTGATAACATTATCAAGTTTTATAGAATAGGTTAAATGTGCTATTGTTAAAATTCTCTAGGATTGGTAACAAATAGGCTGACTTCTTTCTGTAACTTTTCCAACTCACCTTCCTCGCTTCCCACGCGCACGTTTTTTAAATTGTTAAAGGACGTGTTTTTTTGGTAAGAAAATGTGTCGCGCGCCAACCATACCTCCCGACACAGCCTTAATCCATCTACATATTTATCAATTTTTTTTAAAAAAATAAGATAGTTTGAAATATGATATCAATCCGAACAGGGCTTAAAACCTAGCTCATAGCCTAGCCGACGGCGGCCTCGCACTCGCCGGCGCCGGCGCCGGCGCCGCCATGCTCCGCCTCCAGAACCACCTCCTCCCACTTCTCCGCGCTTCCTCCTCCTCCTCCCCTGTACACCTCCGCCGCCTAATCCCATCCACCGCCGCCGCATCCTCTTCCTCCTCTGTGCACCCCAACCGCCGCCTCCACTCCACCGCCGCCGCCAGGTCCACCACCACCGCGACACCCTTCTCCATGGAGGACTACCTCGTCGACACCTGCGGCCTCACCGCCGCCCAGGCGCTCAAAGCCTCCAAGAACGTCTCCCACCTCAAGTCCGCCACCAAGCCGGACGCGGTGCTCGCCATCCTCTCCGGGGTCGGCCTCTCCGGCGCGGACCTCGCCGCGGTCTTCGCCGCCGAGCCACGGCTCCTCTGCACCAAGGCGCCCAGCGTCGCCCTCCGCGTCGCCTCCCTCCGCCACCGCGTCGGCTTGTCCGACCCCCAGATCGCCAGCCTCCTCCTCCTGCCCGGCGGCGCCAAGGGCTTCCACACATGCGACATGGCCCCGAGGCTCGAGTTCTGGATCCCCTTCTTGGGATCCTTCGAGATGCTCGATCTTGAAGAGGAACAACGCGATCGTCAGCTCGAGCCTCGAGAAGGTTATCAAGCCCAACATCGCGCTGCTCCGGGAGTGCGGGCTAAAGTGTTTGTGATATTGTCCAGATGTCCCAGACGTCCGCGCGGGTCCTCACGTTCAGCCCAGAGAGATTGAAGGTTATCGTGCAGCAAGCTGAGAAACTCCGCATGCCGGGTTGCTCATGGGCATTCAAGAACGCTGTGGGCGCCGTTGCCCGTAGCAATGAAGGCATTGTCAATGCGAGGATGGAGTTCTTGAGCAGTTCTCTTGGTTGCTCCATGGAAAAGCTCCGCTCTGCGGTCTGCAAGTGTCCACAAATTCTGGGATTATCTGAGAGCAAACTTCACAGTAAAATAGAGTTCTTGGTTGGCAAAGTCGGATTGGAGCCTGACTACATTTTGCAGAGGCCTGTACTGCTTACGTACAGCCTGGAGAAGCGGTTGCTGCCGAGGCATTATGTTGTAGAAGTCCTTCTGGTGAAGGGATTGATAAAAAAAACTGTTGATTTTTACGGTTGTGTATGTGTGAGCAACGAAGATTTTGTAGCAAGGTACATTGATCACCATGAGAATGCTGTTCCAGGGCTCGCAGATGCCTATGCTGCAGTTTGTTCTGGGAAATTGCCTGCGTTGGTCTAACTCTACATCTTCAGACAGAGATATTGGAGGTTCATCAGTGGAAGTGCCTTCAAAGTATAACTATTAGCCTATTTTGATGGGCATATTGGAGATCAATTATCTTTCAAGCCTAGAGCTATTGCACCAATTTGTTCTCTGAGGCTCATTAGTTGATGTTAATTCCTGGTAATGTCTGTTTTGAAATTCTGGTTTCAACAGTACCACTACCAATAATTTGATCGCTCATAATGGTAGGCAAGTTTCAATCATCGATATTATGCAGCAACTGGACTGTTTTAATGTTGCGGCCCTTACTTCTCATTTCATGGATCGGTACTTCAACAGCTATTTCCCTGTTCAGGTACTTTGAGCAAACATGATTTTGGTCTCATTACCTGCATGTTGAGGTTTACATTGCTCGGTAGGATTATTGGAAAGTATAACGCAGACATCAAACTGCATATGCTATGATATAGTGTACAGTTGTTGTCCAAGTTCAGTCTAAACCATTCTTGAATGGTGAAATACCATGATGGATTGAACTGTAGTAATTATAGACGAGAAATATCATGACATGCTGGCAAAATGAAGGGTGTGGGGATATGATAATTGATAAGGGTGATTTTTCAAGTGTCTTTTTCAGTCTCTGGTTCATTTTTCATTGGCTATCACTGAAAAAGCATCTATGCATGTCATATTGTCTCTAATCGTACTGTCATTTATTTACCACTAATAAGCCTTCTAATTATCTACTTCAAAATTACAATATGTTAAATTTGATGCTTACAAGGTTCGCTGAACGCTAAAGCTAACTAAGTGTTCATTGGATGCCTACCACAATTACACCTAGACAATTGATCAGGAACAGGTGTGGAAGATGGAACAAGGTGATATTGCCTTGGTTGCTGCAACAGATGGCTGCCACTCCTTGTGTTGAAGCCTGAAGGCAAGCCAAAAAATAGGCCAGGCCTTCTGCGGAGATGCCTGAAGCATCGAACTGCAGTGTCTCACACTGGTTTTGCAGTACTAGCAGGTTAAAACAAATCTTCCATCCTGCAGCCGGTAGGATTGAAAAGGTCTCATAAGTAATGATGAGAAGTTTTGAAATAGCGTAAACATATTAAGGGGTGGCGATTATGTGATGTTGTCAGACTCTAGGAAATCAGTAGAACATCAAGGCTTTATGGTTGATTTGAAGTCGATGTGGTTCAACTTCTATCCAGATCAAGTGAAGGGCTTTCTGCAGCATTCTGAGAAACAACCACAGATTCTACTCTCTCTTTTTTTTTTCCTGATGAGAAACTCCACAGAAAGATAAAGAGTTCTTGGTTACCGAAGTTGGGCTGCATGGTGAGGCCTGCAATGCTCTTGTTCAGCCTGGAGATGATGCTCTTGTTCAGCCTAGAGAAGTGGTTGGTGCCAAGGCATAATGTTGTGGAGTTGTTGATGGAAAAGATGTTGACTTGAACTATAATCTCTTCTGGTGAGAACGATTTCTTAGCAAGATACATTGACCATCGCAAGGGTAGTACTGTTCATGGACTAGCAGATGGTCATGCTGCAGTTTGTGCTGGGAAAGTGCCTACAAAAGCCCTAGCTTAGCATATCTGGACCTAGATACTGGAGGTTCATTCCATCTTTCTGGCTCATAGGCTCATAGCTAAGACCTCGCTGTAAACCTGGTTGAGTTAATGTAATTCCTTGTAATGTCTTCCAAATCTTGATTTAGTATTATAGTAACAACTAACTATCTTATCCTTCTTAGTGCTATGCAAGTTCAATTCGTGGAGTATGCAGCAACTTTATTATCTTAATTTTGATGCTCTGCTGCTCCTGTGAATATGTGAGGTCTTATTGCTTCTGCCATTTTGTTCTTGTTCTGATAATTTTCCAAATGTCATTTTCGCTTCATTTCCCTGTTCTCTCTAGATTATTTACTGGATTGTTTGCTCTGTGCTTTGAAAAACTATGTTTTATCTAAAAAAATTCTACTATATTGCTTAGCTCATTTCTTTTAAGCTAGTACTTATTAAGTTTGTTTCTCAAAATATTTAATTTATCCTTACGATCGTTCACTGGAAAGGGATTATGTGTGTGTAAGATATTTGTGACTAGTTTATTGAATATATTTTGATAATATGTTTGTTTGATGAAAAAATATTACATATTTTTCTATAAACTTGGTCAAACTTAAAGAAGTTCGACTAGGAAAAAGTCAAATGAGTCCACGTATCCTAATTGAGCCAGGCCAACACAACATGACCAAACATCTCACTAGACCGTGTATGGGCTCTGGTATTAGCACGTGGGCCAACACGGCATAGTCCGTTCGGTGAGTCGTGCCTAATCGGGCAGCGCACAAACGTACCTATTATTTATCCCTATACTATATATAGAAAAAAAGATAAAAATTCACCGTCTCAAAATTCCAGCCACATGAGCTCTATTTGAAAAATGGGATTAGGACAAATATTAGAAACGCCCAGTAGTGTTCCGGTTAGCTCTATATGATGGTGGGCTAGCTAGCCTAGATTCGAAGCCTCACAACTTCAATTCATTTTATATTGGGCCATTCTATAGTATATTCGCGTTTTTTAAAGTTATTATTTTCATTTTTCAGATTTTCACCAAACATGTTTGGGACCTTTGGGTAGGGGTGGGGATGGGGCGAAATTACTAAAGTACCCTCGATTTTTTGACGCCTCTGTCGTCTCGTCAGTTTGCCCCTGCCCAGTTGCCCACCGCCTCCGGCTCCGGCGATCCCCATCCATCCGGCGAGCGAGCAGGGCGCCGTCGTTCATCCTGCTGCTTCCGCCGCATCCATCCTGGTGAGCACATCCTCCGCCACCGCCGCCTGCGCCGATCCCCATCCATCGCGCGAGCGATCGAGCAGGGTCGCCGTCGTTCGTCCTGCTGCTGCTGCTGGTGGTGGTGGTAGAGGAGGAGTTGACGGCGAGGGGATCGAGAGGGAGGGAGGGATGCGGCAGCAGCGGGGCAGGGGCGTGGGGCGTGGGGATCCCGGGCTGCTGACGAGGGCGGTGGAGAAGGTGTTCCGCCTCGTCCGCCTCGCCGAGTTCGAGATCCTCTTCGTCCTCTTCTTCCTCATCGCCTTCGTCCTCTTCAAGGATCTCGTAAGTGCGCACCCCCCCTCGTCTCTCTTCTCGCTTACACATTTCACCTCTAGTAACAACAGGTTATGTTTAGTTATAGAGATAGGTTGGTTCGTGACCGATTTGCATGGCTTTGATCAATTTGGTACAGCATGGCCTTGATGAACTGAAAATATTAGAAGATTTGGGTATTTTAGTTGAAGGTGAACTGAAAATATAGAAGATTGGGTATTTTAGTAGATGCAAAACACTACTGTTCGATACATAATTTTAAATCTTGTTTGATGTTGCCGACTACTGTTCGACACATAACTTTTGTTTTATGTTGCTGTATGACAAGTAGATTAATGGTGTTTTTGTCGTTGGTAGATGATTTCTCTATAAAAATGTAAAGATAACCTTTCATGTGTATCAGCGCAGGGGCGGAATCAGGCATGGGGCAGCTAGGGCTTGGGCCCCATGCCTAGCTCCATAATCCCTATTATAATCTTGAAAAATGCTATGTAATTTATGAAAATATTTGAGATCCCATTAGCTCAGCCCTAGGCGTGGAAATTTTCTGGCAACGCCACTGTATCAGCGTGATATTTTAGTTGTTGCCTTGATATGCCCGAATAGCAAATCATGTCCATTTTGTTAAACCTTGACATCAAGTGTACTTTGGATCATAGTCTTTTAGGTCTTTTTTGGGCTGGAGTTATGTCTTCTTTAACTATTGAATGAATGAATTTACCTGCAGATGTCACGACCAGAGTACAACTCGATCTTTGTCAAGAAGCCTGATCTAGATGGGAGATGGCCAGGACTCATGTAATGTTTGTGTAGTGTGATCAATGTTGTTCTTTTTCCTCTTGCCCAAAGTACACTTTTGAGGTGCTTCTTTGACTTCAGTTCTTATGACTACTAATGTTATCTTTCAAGATGATGAATATAGTTTTTGATGAATTGCCTTCTTTGGTTTTCTGAAAGAATCATTTGCTTAATGCTATTGGCATGGTTTCTTGGTATGGGTCTTGATTCTTCTTGTTTGCAAGCTTACCGCTGGAATTTTGTTAAGTGTCATGCTGAAGTTACTGCCAACAGCCCTTGTTTGCACCATGTTGCTGTCCAATTTTATGGGTGAATTGTGATAGCCATACCCATCAGTCCTGAGAGAAGCTTGGTGTTTGATGTTTTGATAACCTTGCTTCTTTTGTTAAGGCCCTGTTTAAATCCCACCCCAAAATTTTTCACCCTTTCACATCGAATGTTTGAAGACATGCATGGAGTATTAAATGTGGACAGAAAAAAAAACCAATTACACTGTTTGCGTGTAAATTGCGAGACGAATCTTTTAAGGCTAATTGCGCCATGATTTGACAATGTGTTGCTACAGTAAACATTTGCTAATGACGGATTAATTAGGCTTAATAAATTTGTCTCGCAGTTTACAGGCGGATTATGTAATTTGTTTTGTTATTAGACTATGTTTAATACTTCAAATGTGTCTCCGTATATCCGATGTGACACGCCAAAACTTTACACCCTGAATCTAAACACCCCCTAAGTCAGTCATTTTGGTTCTGAGACTAATTTTGTCATGAAACCTGTCCTGTTAGGCTTATAGTTGTTGGGTCAGCTATTCAATGTTGCCTATTTCAATCTTTGCACCTCCTCTCAAGTTATAACTGTACTGTAAGTTTATATGGTTCACTGTAAATCTTGCCTTCTCGACCACCTCTTAAGAATGGTAAATTTCTATATGTATGTAATTCCTGTGAAAAGAACAGAAATTTTCATCTTAGTCATAGGCTCATATTGTCATTGTAGTGTGGTACTGGATGGTTATTCAAGTCCCAATACTTGTATTGGAAGTTTGATATCCATTTCTATACATAATTAAATAGACATACAAGTGAAACTGGGTCATCTTAATATTATGCAGTTCCTTGACTGTCAAATTCTTCAGTTTTGCTCAAAACTCTGAAATGCATTGGCTAAATGAGATGGCTCATGCAGACCTGCACCATGTCAGGCTTCAAGTTCTATACCTGAATCAATTCCGTTTATGAGGGACAGCTATTTATAAATAAGGATGGCGAAATGGCAACTGATCCTCTAGTAAATGAACCATTCAAATTCGTATGAATTCATGTAAAATCCCTACATTGGTTTCAAACCCAGCTTTGCCTTCATGGATATATGGACAGCAGATGGATTAATTTGTTTAGGTGAAGTGGGATTCCATCACCTTGCAGTTGTTGTCTTCGAAATTCGTATGGTCTTTGCGTCAAACTGCGTGTATGTTAAAGAGGTCTTCTAATACAGATTCTAGTTGACGGTGCACTATCATTGAAGAAAACACATGATCAAACCATCGCATGTGCGGACGCGTTAATGTCGTTATTACGTGAGATCCAACCTAATGGAACTGGAAAGTGGCAAATAGAAACAAATAAATTACTATTAGAGTAGGATGTTCGGCAAAGTTGGGCTCAATCCAACTCACATGCAGCGAGTGCTCGACTTGCGACAGCTAAAGAAAACGAGCTAAGATTTTAGTCACTTTAATCCAGTCAACTCAATGGTGGGAGTATAAAACTATTCATATCAAAAGTATAAAAGAAGTTCTAAATTTTTCATATTAACGCAGAAATTCGCAAGGTTTTCCCTACAAACTGGAGAAATTCATTTTTGGTAGGAATTCCAAGAATTTCTCTTGTAGCCATGTTTTTTTTTCTAATTAAGATGCAGATGATTTTATCTCGATTTTTGTTAACACATTTTTCAAACTACTGTTTCTGGTAAAAACTTTATATTTAGAAGTGACTTTAAAATATCAAATAAATCTAACTTTTAAAATATATAATAGTAAAATTTAATAAATTATGCGATAATAAGGGGGTGTTCGGCACAACTCCAACTCGAATATTTTTTTCTAGTGCCGAGCATTTCTAGCTCCATAAATTCATAGAGCTGGATCTATAATTATATATATAACATTTGAATCAATCGTTTTGTTTTCATTTTAGGTGAAATATAAAATTTTGAATCACTATAATTTAACATAGGAATTTCAAATACAGTGTATAAACATGTGGCTGACTTTCTTTTTTAAAATTTTAATCCATCTCAAACACTGGCGCGTCGGCGGTCAGTGGCCCGTCCACTCGGCCCCTCCTCTTTTTAACTCTCTCTCTCTCTCTCTCCGGCCGCCACCCCCTCGCCGCGCCGACGTCTCGCCTCCGCCGCCTCGTTCTCGTTCCGATGGCTAGACGCGTCAGCACCACCCGCCTCCTCCTCCTCCTCCTCCTCGTCGCCGCCGCGGCGGCGGCGGCGGCGGCCGGAGACCAGGTCAGCATTCCACCCTCGCCTCTCCTCGCGCCCCGCGCACCACCTCTTGTCTCTCGCACTCTATCTAAACCCTGCGTCGTGGTTCATCTCCTTTCTCCAGGAGGACCCGCGTGGCGGCGGCGACAACGGCACCGCCCGCTTGGATCGCCGCACCAAGGTGAGGAGCTAGGACCCGCGCGTGTGCGTCTGTTTCGATGTCCGGATTCTGTTCTTGGAGCTGTGGGGGTTGGTGGTAATCTCATCGAGGCACTGGCGATCCCCGTCACAGATGTTCCTGCACGCGGCGCGGGCGAGCGACGGCGGCGCCACGGGGATGGAGAAGGCCGGGCTGGGTCTCTTCGACGCCTTCTTCGCTAGCTTGTCCATGATTCTGGTCAGCGAGGTAGTAGGTGACATTTCGGGATGGAAATTAATTAGTCTTACTACTCTAGCTGCTCTGAATTTGCTTTTTTCTTTTTGTATCTGTATCTGTGGAGTGATCACTTAACTTAGTGTTGCTTGTTTATGCATTGCTTGGTGAAGATTGGGGATGAGACCTTCATCATCGCCGCGCTGATGGCGATGCGCCACCCCAAATCCACCGTGCTCTCAGGCGCTCTGTCGGCGCTGGTCGTTATGACCGTAGGTGAAACTGCAGCTTGCAGATGCAGCGGTTGTCTGTCAAGGCAAGATTGGGCTGCAGTGTAGAGTCTAACTAATCCTTACTTGGCTCTACTGTTGTAGATCTTGTCCACCGGGCTTGGCAGAATCGTTCCAAATTTGATATCCAGGAAGCACACTAACAGCGCAGCAACTGGTATGACTGATCTGATTGCTACATTATTGCGCCGTGATAAAGCCTAGTATGAAGTGATGTGTTAGATTTTTCTATTGAATTATGTATCACGAGCCTGGAAGTCGGAGAAAAGTGATCGAATCATCATAATAAATTAAGTGGTATGGTTAATTGCTCCAAAAGCATCTACAGACATACAAACATTATTAAGACTGTAGTACTGGATTTATTGTTTCAAGTTTTCGTACTATACTGCTGTGCACTAGATAGTCAGCATTGCCATAGTTATCAAGGGACCATTGTCAGAAAATCAGATGTTACAGTTTCACAGTACATCACATGAAAGTTCAGACATTTAGGCATGCACCCGCATTGGCTACTAGTTGCTTCAAAAACAGTGTCCCTTAGATATAGAAACAAATAGAAGCTGTTTGAAATCTCATGCTACGGTAATTAAAGATATATGCTTTTCTACCGACTTAAAAGGAGTCCAAGGGCCTCCACATTGGTATAGAAAAGTTCCCTAAGAAACCAACTCCTCTTTGGCATCCCAACTGTTTGCATGCCATCCAGTTAATTTTAACAATTCACCGTGCTCACCTAATATTTTGTATCCTCTTTGGTATTTTGTACTCAGTCCTTTATGCGTTCTTTGGGCTACGGCTGCTGTACATTGCTTGGAGGTCAGATTCTAAGGCATCACAAAAGAAGGAAATTGAAGAAGTACGCACATTTTATTACATTTACTCTTTGCCTCTACAGATTTGCATTAGCATTTTTCTTTTGACAGAAAACTGCATTAGCTTAATATTGTTAGTTTATATTTTGTTGCGTTAATTTTATCCTTTTTTGTGCATATTCAGTATACTAGAATCTCTAATTTGCAGCATCTATTGTTGTTGTATCCAGTGTAACTGAATATCTCTTGGAGCTTTCTGACTTTGGATTACTCTCTGCTGGACCAATTTCAGCATTTCTTTGCCCTGTTGTGCTTAAAAAATAGAACTAGACTGCTGAAGATATTTAGTTATTTGGGAAGATACATGTTTACTGTATTGAACTATTGGTAGTCCTTTTAATTACTATTATTTGGTTGTTTATATTATGCATTATAATTGGCTCTGACCTTTGATATCGTCCAATTGTTTGGTATGCTACTTGAACCATCTTATATATTTTGAATCCCTTGACATACACAGGTAGAGGAAAAGCTGGAAGCAGGACAAGGGAAATCAACATTTAGACGCATCTTCTCAAGGTTCTGTACTCCTATTTTTTTGGAGGTACATTCCGCTCTTATCGTTATAAATTTTGGTGCTTCTTGGCAAAAGTGCATTTGCTGCCATCTGATTTCAGATGGATACTGAATTATCAAACACTCACTTTTTACCAACAAATGGTTGATAAACACGTGATCCAATTTGTGTCTTTTTAAATGAATTCATCCAATGTGTATGAACGACTTGAAAATGCAGTCGTTTGTGTTGACCTTCCTGGCGGAGTGGGGCGACCGAAGTCAGATTGCCACAATTGCGGTAAGGCCTACCCCCTTTTCAGCAATTTTCCAACACTTCTCTTCTTGCTCAATTCCCCAGCACTTCTTTTCTTGTTCACAAACCGTAAACTTGTTGCATTTCTTGCCAATGCAGTTGGCCACTCACAAAAATGCGGTAGGGGTCGCTGTGGGAGCAACCTTGGGGCACACCATCTGCACATCGTTCGCTGTGGTGGGTGGCAGCATGCTGGCATCCAAGATATCTCAGGGCACAGTGGCCACCATTGGAGGCCTCCTCTTCCTTGGCTTCTCTCTGTCATCATATTTCTACCCACCATTGTGAATTTTGTGATGAACTGATGACATCCTACCAAGGGGGTGTATATTCCGTTGCAGCCAAGCATGCTGGCTTGAAATATAAACGCAGGCGCTACATATGTGCAGCAGTGTGCAACCTTTGTATTGTTTGTTTGAAATCACAAATCTATTCTACGTAGGTTTCCGATTGAATTAGTTTGCGACAACCGGTGTACATTTACGATATACTCTCTCTCCGTTTTAAAATGTTTGACACCGTTGACTTTTTAACATATGTTTGACCATTTGTCTTATTTAAAAAATTTTATGAAATATGTAAAGCTATATGTATACATAGAAGTATATTTAACAATGAATCAAATGATATGAAAAGAATAAATAATTACTTAAATTTTTTGAATAAGACGAATGGTCAAACACGTACTAAAAAGTCAATGTCAATAGTGTCGTTTTGGAACGGAGGGAGTAAATTTTAGAGATGGGGTGGGGGTGCATCTTACCTCCCTCGACTATAGGTCAAATTCGATTCGTATCCGTGAACTGTAAAGCTATGTATAGAGGCTGCCACAACAATTAAAATCGGATCAAGTTACCTATTTCATGCTGGATGGTTTTGATGATATTTTCCTCCTACGTGGTAGTCCCGTTTCAATAGTCGTGAATCGAACTCGGTGAATAAGCTGAGGGATAAAATATGGACTTATTCCAATTTCGGGCCACCTACGTGGATGGGCCGGGTCTGTGGCCCATCCATCCAAACAAGGCCTAGTGAAGTTGGAGGCCTCCAAACAAGGCGCTCACATCGACCTGTTCGGTCCGGAGTCGGATACATCAAACAGGTCAGCCAATTTTGGACCGAATCCAATTATAATCGGACCTTTATATTTATTGAGAATCACAAATTCACGATCCAGACGAAAGGGCTCCTCCGTCTCCTTCATCAGGTGTGGGCCTTCTGCTCTCGTTTGTTGGCTTTTGGAGGCTTAGGTGTCGCTCATTTTTATTGTCGAATCTCGATCTGGATTTGTAGAATTTTTGTGCGAACGTAGAGTAGATCGATGTGTTGAGATGATCTTCCGTAGTTGATAGTTGACAGATGATAAAAAAAAATCGTCTCCTTTCTCGTTTCTGAATTCTGATCGATATTGTATTATACTGATGCTTCCACAGGAATTCCGGCGCTGGCGATGGAAATAATATTTTTTAATATTATTTTCATATAATATGTTATAAAGAATAGTAGCTATAGTAGTATGGTAATTGCCTACAGAGACATACAGGACCACCAATATAGGAGAATAAATGAGGAAACAATAGCCGTGTAAAAGATGAAAAAAATCGATGGATCCTATCTAACCTAAGCGTCCATCAATTCTTAAAAAAAAGGCCCAAACAAGATTGATCTTAGTTACAGATGTCAGAACATTGGACCAAAGCTTCGAAAAAAACCAAACGGACATGGGAGATGATGGACGATAGAAATGTTATGAATCTTTTTAATGGAATCGGATGTTTTTTCTTTCTAAATTCGGACAGTTTTTTTTCACATTGCACGGTGCCAAACCAGATTTTTTTTTTTTTTACAAACGGTGGCGTTTTTCTCGCGTTGAGTCGGACAGTTTTTTCAAAGCGGTTCTTTTATAAATGGCGATGTTTTTTCGCGTTGAATCGTACGGTTTCTCAATGGGTTTTTTTTCTCGCATTGAGTCGGACGTTTTTTCTAAACGGCGTATTATTCTAACAGTTAATTCGGAGCGTTTATTCTAACAGTTTCTTCGGAGTGTTTTTTATAAGGGATTTTTTTCTCGTGCGGTTTATATTAACGTTGACATTTTAGGCCGATTTTAATATATGACAATTTGAATGAATAAAAAAAGTAATTCGAAAGGGGATTTTTTTTTTCAGCCAACCTTTTTTTTCTTGAGGTAATTTTGGAAAATCAGCCGGTTTTTTTAGTGGAATCGGATTTATTTTTAACATTGCGTGGAACTTTTTTTTTTCCACTAACCTTTTTTTGGGAGGGCCGATTTATACAGACTCTTTTTTTAGAATCGGACCGAAACCTTTTTTCTTCGCACTATTTTTTTCCTTTTTTAGAAAAGCGTATTTTTTTCTTTTCCGGTACGGTAGGGATGACATAACTTTTTTTTCTCCAGTAACGTTTTTTTTGACCGGTTTATACGGACGTCTTTTTTTAATCGGACAGAAAAAAAATTTCACATTTTTTGTTTGCTTTTTTTTTAACGGAAGAGTGGAGACGGAACTTTTTTTTCGCGCGTTTTTTTTTACGTTTTTACAGACGATGGAAATTTCTTTTATTTTCAAGTAGTATATATAAGAGATAGAGATAGAGATGTGCTAATCTTTCCTATTAATAATTGAATAATACAAAAGCTTCAGTTTGCCTTTGTCCGGCGTGGAATCTTGCTGATGGGATTCGACTATTCCAGTCGTTGTCGAAGCCGCACCTGAGGCCTGCGCCCACAGCAACCTGTTCGGCTTGGAGTCGGATACTACACTATTTATTATCACAAATTCACGATCCAGACGAGAGGGGGGGGGGGGGGGGCGTCTCCTTCATCAGGTGCGCGCCTTCTGCTCTCGTCTGTTGGCTTTTGGAGGTTTAAGAGGGGCTTAGGTGTCGCTCCTTTTCATTGTCTAATCTCGTTCTGGATTTGTAGAATTTCTGTGCGAACGTAGAGTAGATCGATGTGTTGAGATGATCTTCCGTAGTTGACAGTTGATTAAAAAAAATCATCTCCTTTCTCGTTTCTGAATTCTTTTTCATTAAGCATGGAAGAAAATAATGTTTAAACAAATAACAGGAATTCTGGCGCTGGCGATGGATCCATCTGAGGAAACAAGTGCAGGGAAAGATGATCTTCTGGCGATTGATGACTCTAACCAGGATAAGGCTAAACAGGCTACGGTTGTATCAGATGAAAGTAAGGCGCCAATCATAGAAAAGAAGAAGAAAAAAAAGATGGTTCGCTATACTCAAGAGCAGATCGAATACTGCATTGCTAACCCAGAGGAGTTGTGGGACATCAAAGTCATTAAGCTGACTGAGTTGTTGAGCAAGGAGTGCCTGGCCCGAATGGGGCAGGAGCAAGTAGACAAGTTGTACGCTATGGAACGTACTGAGGAGGAGCAGATTGTTAGACGGAAGAAGCTACAGGAAGTCCTCCGCAATGAACGGGAGAACATCTACAAAATCCCCGATAAACCGCAGGACGTCCTCAAGCAGTACTACGCCAAAGGCTATGCCGAGTACGAGGTTGTTGTTGACGATGGAGATGTCGATGTCGATGAAGACGATGAAGTTCCTGCACGAGTTGCTCACCCTGGCCGGAGAAGATTCCGCAACGGGATTGTCGTGAAGAAGAATCAGTCAGGAGGAGGAAGTATTAGGAAGATAAACTGAATAATCGTCGTTAGTATTTGGCATGGATCCATCTTAGTTGTAGGGGAAATTATATTTTTCCCCTCTATTTATCAGCATAATAATAATAGTACTAGTAGTAGTAATAACGCTGTGCGACTCTGTGGTTTGACTTAATTTTATATTCCTGCTATGGTTTGATTCTAATCGTGCTAATTGTATTATCGTTCAGCATTGATCCATCATCTTGTTCAGGGAATTTTAAACTACCCTAGACTGAAGTCAGAGAACAGAGTTTGTTTCGACTGGAGTAGTTTTTACTGCTCTGTGCTCTCCCAGAGGCATTTTCAGGAGTAGTTTTGTTGATTGCATTTTCAGGAGAAATTTGGAATCCCTTGAAAGCTCCTCGCCTGAAAAAGATGTACAATTTGGAACCTCTTGCAAAAACTAAGCTGGTCTCTATTGACATGTTTTCTCCTACATTATTCAGAGTTTCATGATAAGGATTACAATGGACAAAACTTTTTGACATGGTCATATGAGAATGGCACTCTGCTACCATCTGTTACTCCAAATGCCAATGCAAGTTGGATCAACACTTGAAATGAAAAACGAGTCAGTCAGGCAGTTGTGCTTGAGACAATCAGACATAATTTCGGTTTAGCTTGCAAAGTTAGTGTAGCTATCAGGTCTGTTTGATTTATAATCTGTGCTCACCTCTGCCATCTCTTCTTGATCGTGGCGGATTGTCCCCACCTTGTCAAACATTAATGCTTATCAAAGTATTTTACCAATTTAAAATCCCCAATTCCCCACCATTTTTATTCAGCACAGAATTGAAAAAAAAAAAGAGATTTGGAGGAAGAGAGGCCCCCTCTAAACATTTTTTAAGAAAAAAATGTGAGTGTGTTGAAAATTGAACACGGAATCTCGGGTGAAACTACACAGCCCTTACCACTTCACTATCAAGTGCATCTCTTCAGCACAATATAACGGGAAGCTTTGTGGCATGTTCTGTAACATACATCACACACATCTTTTGTTACTTTTTGTTATGCAAAGCAACAGGAATGCTCTTTGATCTTCAGTTTGGGCAGCGGTTGGCTGTTGTGGGAGAGGATCTGCACGACCTCGGCCCGCCGGCGCCGACTCCTCCTGCTGCGCCGCGGACGGTGGTGATGGCTGGCTGGATCCTCTCCTTCTCGTCATCCCCCTCGTCCCCATCCCTGCGCCACCGCCGCTTCCGTGGGCTCTGGGTGCAGTGACAGAGGACACCGCGGAAAAGGAGAAGAGGCAACGGCGACACGCGTCGCGGAGGACCAAGCGGGCCACTCCCTCCTCTCCCAAATCGCCAAGAAGGAGAGGAGTTGGCGGTGGTGGGGCCGAGGTTGTGCAGCTCCATTCCTGCCAGCCGCCGCGCGCCGCTGCCTCCTCGTTGCGCCTGGAGTGAGGAGAGGGGAGAGAGATGAAGAGAGGTGGAGCTCGTTGAGGCATTCAGGCCCTTTGACCGCGACGACAATGGCTTCATCTCCGCCGCCGAGCTCGCGCGCTCCATGGCCGACACCGACACCGACCTCCGCGCGATGGGTCTCACCGGCGACCTCTTCCTCTCCGCCAGCGCGATGTTCCTGCCGGCCACCCTTCTCTCTTCCGCCCGCGGCTGACCGCCAGATGCTAGCGACCTTTCCTTCTCGGTTGGCGTGGTGCTCCCGCTAGCCACCTTTTTCTCTGTCGCCCATGACCGACCGTCGGTGAAGTCGTGGAGAAGGGAGAAGGAGAAGGGGAGGAGATAGAGAAAAGATGGGATGAGGTGGAGGAAGTGGGTCCACTGACATGTGGGTCCCACTATTTTTAATTTTATTATTTTACTGACATGTATTTTATTTTTAAAAAAAAATTGTTAAATTTTGCTTCAGACGTTACGTCAGATGAAGACCGAATCAAATTAGCCACATAGGCGCCACGTCAGCTAAAACCTCCGTCCAAACCGCCATGAAATCTATATTGCATCAGTTTTGATAGTTGAGGGACCTACCTATTGCATCTGGTTTTCCGGTTGAAGGACGAAAATCGGATTTGTTGACAAGTTAAGGGACCTCAGATGAACTTATTCCTAATAGTGATGTTTGCAGGTGATGGATAAGTTGTCATGGGCTGACGTGCAGGGCACATATGTAATTGAGCCTGCGTTCTAGTTGGGCCGGAATCTGGCCCATGTCGAATCCAGCTAACTCATTGTTAATCCAGCTAGCCCATATGTATATACACACATTTTGTTTGAAGAGATCACATCGCCAAATGCCAGAAAATCAACAGTTAAATTAACCGGCTATAATAGGCTAGTAAAACAATAGCTAGTTAATCTAGTAGTAATTAATCATCTAATTAACAATGCTATCAATAATCATCATCATAATAACAGTTAATTAGTAGTTGAACCACCATCGCCAGCGTCCGATGATCTTGCCGACGTAGTTGTGTTCATGGGGCTTGTACCTGCACACGGTGGGGAACACGCCGAGCACGTGGGCGCACTCCCTGAGCACCACGTCGCCGACGAGCCTCTTCTCCCTCCGCCGCGCCGGCGCCGCCCTGGTGGCGCGCCGCCCGGTGACGAGGAACATCTTCCCGTCCTCGAACAGGTAGTGGCACCCGCCTTCCTCGACGCGGCACCGCAGCGCGTAGGCGGCGCTGCTGTTGAAGACGACGACGTCCTGGAGGAAGTTGCCCATGTACCCCCACTTGCAGAGGATGGCGTACGGCACGGCGGCGGCGGAGTTCGGCGGCGGCGGCGGTGGCTGGAAGAAGGCGCGCTGGGGCTTGTAGGGGTCGAGGATGAAGTAGTGGAAGTACTCCCAGTTGCCGGAGAAGGCGGTGCGGCAGCTGAGGATCATCTGGCCGCCGGTCATGGTGCTCAGCATGGACACCGAGTGGTTCCGCCCCGGCGCCGCCGGCGACGACTGGTCGCGGGGCTCCGCCGCGTGCGGCGACAGCATCCCGACGATGATCACGATCGACGGGATGGCGATGAACACGAACGGGATCGAGATGATGGTCAGCCGCCGGAGCAGGTCCTTCTTCTTCTCCTCCATATTTATTATGTACTTTTAATTTCTTGTAGAAAATGCTTCAGTTTTGCTCTTCTTCTTCCTCCTCTCTCTCCTCGAAGCCTCTAATTTATCGTGTGGTTGACGAGGTGGCGTGTCAAAATTAGGAAGTGACCACACCTGAATGCAGATGAGAAATATGAGATATTTTGACCAAATGTATCAACGATTTAAACTTGCTCGTAGCTACTCCCTCCATTCCATAATATAAGAGACAGCCACTTTTCTTAGATGTTCTATAATATAAGGTTTTAAACTATAACATATTTTTTATTAAATTACTACTTTTTTTAAAATCCTTCACTGTCACATTCTTTAACTTTATTGGATGCATGCATTATATTTATTAGGATGATCCAAACTACAAGATAATAATAACTATTTCTTGGTCTTTGGGTTAAGAGTGGTTGTGGCTTATATTTTGGAAGGGACCACCTATACATTTGTCGACAAATTTTCTCCTAAAAAAATAACAGATGTAATTATAGTATAATTGTAGTGTAATTACATTGTAACTTGTATGTAACTACAGCATAACTTGTATATAAGTTTCACGTAATTTTGAATCGTTAAATCTATTACAAGATTTGTTTAGGTGAGGAAGAAAAAAATCACAGCACACACATATGTATAAGGATTTGTTCTCACAACCTCCATTTTACCGAAATAACATATTACAGAGAGATTTTTGAAAGTTACATACAAGTTACACTTTATTTACAGTGTAATTACACTACGATTGTAGTGTAATTATATTTGTCAAATTTTTAGGAGAAAATTTGTCGTTAAATATATAGCAAAATCGTTTTCGAATGGAGGGAATAGTAATTTGGAATGAACCGATTGGTCGTTTCCTTGAATATCAGGCTCTCGATCAGGACGCCGCCTCTCGACAGATCAAATGAAGCCCATCCAGAAAATGGGCCCATCAGGCCTGATACCGACATTATCAGGTTAGAATAAGTTCACTTTACGTCCCTCTATTTTGTTGCTTAGTCCGATTTACGTCCCTGAACCGCAAACCGGGTATGACCCGTCCCCCAACCCCCAACTTACGAAAACCGGACAAGCGAGATCCCTCGGCAGTATGAAGGGCGGTTTTGGCCGACGTGGCGCCTATGTGGCTAATTTGACTCAGTCTTCATCTGACGTGGTATTGACATGGCGCTGACATGGCAATTCGATCTAGAAAAATATTAATCCATGTGGGACCCACATGTCACTTTAACGCACAAATTAATAAAATGATGGGCCCCATGTGGATCCCACATGTCATTATCACCCTTCTCTTCTTCCTCTCCTCCCTCCCTCTTCACGGCGTCACGAGGAGGTCCGGTGGTGGTGGCCGACGACGCGACAACGACGAAACGGGAGAAGGCTGGGTGTCGGCGGCGAGAGCGTTGGGGGGAGGGGCTCCGCGTGGGGGGCGCCGCCCGCCCCGAGAAGCTACTCCTCGTCTTCGTCCGCGGCGCCGGCGCAGAGCCCGCGCGGGGGCTCGAGGAGTTCAGGGCCGTGCACGTGGGCGGAGGGATGCAGCAGCAGTTCGGCGCCACGCGGTGGCGCCGGAGATGTCGCCACTCGCCGGCGGGAGGCAGCGGCGGGCGGATCTCCATGGCAGAAGCGGCATCGCCCATCAACAACCGGCTCGCCGCGGGCCGTCAGCGGCGGCGCCGCCATGGCTGAATTCTCGTCAGCGAAATGCTGCATGAAATCTCGGCGGACACCAGAAGCAACCTGGTGTGATTTTGGTTAGCTCTGTTAATTAATTACCGGCTAAATAAACACATCCTTTTCACTTTTTTCCTTAACCATCGTTCACGAGCACGGTGACAGCCGGGCCACCTCGGCCTACCACCAGCGGCCTCGGCGGAGGAGCGCACCTCGCCTCCGCACGCCGGCTGCCGGGCTCTTCGCACCGGCGCGGACTCCAGCGTCATCGGAGCAGCTCACTGAATGGCCGCGGAGCTGCGCGAAGGGGGAGCAGGCAGGCGGTGAGGTCGTGGCGGTGGTGGAGGGCCGCTCCGCCCCGCTCGTCGCCCGCTCCGCCGGCCGCCGCCCGCCACGGAGGAAGACGGAGAGGAGAGCAACAATGGCGATGGGGAGCAGTGGGGGATAGAGAGAAGGAGAGAGAGGATAGAGAGGGGATAGAGATAAGGGGTAGTGAAGATGACAGGTGGGTCCACGTGGGCCCCACCAATTATCTATTATTGTGTGTGTGAAACTGACATGTGGGTCCCATAGGATTTATTATTTTTTTATTGAATTGCCACGTAATCGCTAAGTCAATGCCACGGCAGATAAAGATCGAGTCAAATTAGCCACATATGCGCTACCTCAGCCAAAACCGGGATCCCGAGGGACCTTATTTAAACGGTTTCATAAGTTGGACGACCTGTCGTACCCGTTTTGCGATCAAGGACGAAAATCGGACTGGCCGGCAAATAAAGGTACCCAAAGTGAACTTATTCCCATCAGGTTCGACATTATCAGGTTGGGCCTTGGTTAATTAGCACAAATCGACCAAGCCCAAGACGGCAAAGCACCATCACCTTCCTTCCGCTCTCGCTCTCCTCAAACTTTCGAGCTCGTCGCGGATTCTCCAGCATACAGCTCGAGCGCGGGGTGGGTCGATCCGAGGCGCTCCTCGCGTACTCCGGTAGGTTCGTTCTCCTCCCACATTTTGCTTCCCTCGTCCCGCTGTTCGTCGCCGACGCGGGGGTTGGTTGATCGCGCGCTTGGTGGGTTTCTTGGTTCCTGAATCCGCGGCGGCGCAGTTCTTGGTCCTCGCCGACCTTTTTTTTTTTTCTTGTTGGAGCCTCTCCATATGGTTCTCTCCTCTTCGTTCGCTTTCTTGATCCATTCCTAGTCCGTAGGGTTCCTCTTGCGATTATTGACGGGTTCGAGTTGGCCCAAATGTTGATTTCTCTTGGCGATTTTTTCTTTCTTGTTCTCCTCCTCTTTTCCTCTCTCGATTCACTTTGTACGATTTCATCCCCTAGTCCGTACTGGTTCTTTGGATTTATGGATTTACGCGAGTTTTTTTTCTCTTGTGGTTGTTGCAATTCCAGGTGTGATGAACGAGGAGAAGAGGGCGAGGGTGGGGGATACTGCCGAGACCCCGCGGAAATCCCCTCGCCTGGATCGGCCAGCTGCGGCGGCGGCGGCGGCGGCGCCGTTAACCAGCAACGGTAGTATTCTGCGGTGCCAACACGTCTTTCGCTTTCTTCATCAGTTCTTGGTTCATCACGTTCATCAGTTATTTGGGGTTTATGGATTTACGCGAGATTTTTTGGGTTCCTGCAATTTCAGGCGTGATGGGCGAGAAGAAGAAGAAGAATGCGACGCGGGATGTGAGCGATTGGTGTTGGTGGGGGAAAGCGGCGGCATTACTATCCGGCGGCGACCGCCGTACTCGACGGTGCCGCCATGTCTTGTGTGAGCAGGCTGACATTGATGTGGCCATAACACTGATCAAGACCCGCGTTGACACCCCGGTGTGTTGTGTTAACAAGTGTGATGATACTGAGGGGAGGGAAATCTCGGTGTGTTTGGATTGCCAGTTGAGTTTCTGCACGGCACACGGGAAGCCGCACGTCTTTATGAACGACCATTGGATTGCTCTGGTGTACAAGAGGCCCAATGTGGCGCATTGCTTCGCGTGTGAAGAGTGCTATTTCATCAGAACCGACAGTCTCGGGGAGGGAATGGCGGTCGGTGAGAATGGCTTCTCCATCGGTACCCATAAGAAGGATGAGAAGGGAATGACGACGGTCAACAATGAGGCAGGTGTTCATGCATCTATGGTGTCTGATTATGAAAGCGCCCTCATGGTGGCTTTACTCAGTGATGTCGGTACTCCACGGTGCAGGCATGACATGTATAACAAGGATGAGGTTGATTTGGTCCAAAGACGGATCATGTTCTGCGATATCACCAGAATGTGTAGTGATTGTGACAACATCAGTGTGCTTATGATCTTTGTGTGCTTGGGATGTGAAAAGCCTTTCTGCACTGTACACTCCAGTTTACATGCTGAGAGCACCAAGCATTTGGTTGGTCTGGTGTACCATAACCCGTATGTGGCGTGCTGCTTCCTGTGTAGTGAAACCTTTGTCCTCATTGGTGAGGGGGATAAGAGGATGCCAGTTGACAAAGCGGCAGGTGGTTATGCATCTGAGTCAGTTATTGGGCATGCCCATGCTATCAAAGGGATACCGAATCTTGGAAACACTTGCTACTTGAATTCATTGATGCAGTGCCTCCTTGTGCTTGGAAAACTGCGGGCAAGGATGTTAGGACCGGACGCTCCATCAGGGACCCTTGGTACTGCATTGCATGACCTCTTTGAGCAAACATACAGTGTGAATAATGCAACAGGCCTGCTGGAGACGTCATTGCTCTTGGATTGTGTATGCAATTTGGACCCACAGTTCGTAGGAGGTTTTATGCATGATAACCATGAATTGCTTTGCTGTTTACGTAAAAATTTGGATGAGGAGGAGAGGATGAGGACGCCTCCTAACATGCAAGACAGTTCTGCTGGTGCAGTGCCTCCTACGGTTTTTAATTCCATTTTCGGTGGTCAGCTATTTGTTACCAGATCGTGCAAATGTTGCTCGTTTTGTTCAGTTTCCCACGCTGTATTCTATGATCTCTCAGTACCAGTACCACCGAAGAAGCCTCCAGCCAAAAGTGTTGAATCAACACCATGGATTGAAGGTCACAGATCTCAACCGAAGATTTGTATCAACCAGTTTGAAGCAATACATAAGAGGAACACAGAAAAGACTCATAGAATTGTTGAAGATGCCGATTCTGATCCTGCTTCAGAATTGAAAGATATGGTCATGGTGAAAACATCAGAGCCATTGGAAGTTGGTAAGTTCATGCGCTCCGCTCATGTACTGAGTAAAGGAATGGAAGGCAATATTAAACAGTCCTGCAAACGTGCATGGTGTATCAGAAGTCAGAACATAAAACTTTTCATGATTGAAAGCACCAAACTATGGTAGTACCACAAATATTTGTTACTAGCTTTTGTTCTAGAGAAGACAAATGTCACTTTGCAAAATGGTGCTCTTGTACTAGATAAATGAAGAAACTTGTTCAAGGACTTGATTATACATGGACTGCAGAAATACCAGAACCTTCAGGATGTCTACATTAGACAAGCAGGATGTTTCAGCAAATTTAACATGGCATGGCTTTTTGTTGCAGTGTAACAGTAACACTTATTATTCACCCGGGGAAGATAGCTATGGGTGTTGAATGCTCAATGCTTCAACTCTTCATATAATAAATTTTGCTCGAAGTTGTTGGTTGACAAGTACATGCAGAGATCTTGAAGAAAAGAAACTTCAAATAATCAAATGTAGAGGACAAAGATTCTCAAACCATGTAGAGAATGGAGGTTGCTCCTTTCATGAAGGCTGATGAGGACAAAACTAAAAACCTATTTTCTTGATTCTGCAGATTATACTGAAGTGGAACAGATCTCACAAAGCAAGGACTATGTACAAGATCCTCAAAATGTGTTGGCTGATGTCAAAACTGCAGGAATGGATGCGACAACAACAGATACCCGCATTCCAGAATATATAGGGCCACATCCACCTGTCTCTCAATTAAGGGAAGAGAATGCACAGTTAGAATCATGCAATGATGTGGGGAAAGATGGCAATGCTATTCTCGAAGTTAGTTCAGAACACAAGATAGACACTTTCTCAGCAGAAGTTACTACAGAAGACAAGGGGAAAACTTGCAGTAGTGACGTTGTTTGTGGAAAGGCACAGGATATCGACTCTCTTCCATCGATTACGAGTGCTTGGAACTGCACTTTAAAGCAGAGATGATAGAATGGACCTGTGAGAACTGCTCCAAAGGTGCTCGGAAGTCAGATGTCACTGAAGGTACATACAGTGAACAGATGCTGTCAAGTACTAATGAGGACACAGCAGTTGGTGGATACCAGAGGGAACAGTCAGAGAAGATAACATGCCAAAGTGAGCAATCCAACAAAAAACCTGAATGCCCTGAAGGTGTTCAAGACGCTGTACCTCATTGTGTCCCAGCTGAGAGACAGGACAACCTGTTGAGCAGTCAGGATCAAAATGCCACCACACTAGATGAAGGAAGGGGTAAGCAAAAGCTTCATCATAGTGCACACCAAGTCGAAGAATGCCAAAATGAGCAGAAAGATAGGAATAAAGGTGCTACTCAAACACGGATTAGCAAGTTGCCACTTGTGTTAACCATTCATCTGATGAGATCTTTGTTGGGGCCTGATAAGGTGATGGGACATGTGAGCTTTAAGGAAATCCTTGATATGGGACTGTTCATGGACCCCAGGTACTGACTACTGCATTTTTTTTAACAAAATTGTAACTGTTAGCATTTCTATACAGCAACTTCTAATGATTCTATTCCAGTTTAATCATTTTACTTATTTGCAGTAAGCTAATAGATATTATTTTTCCTAATTTGTTCCTTTGCTTTAAGAATGCATCTCTTCTACAATGAGTTGCTTTCAGATGACACAAGCATTGCTGGTCAATGAATAATCTGTATGCCCATTTTTCATGTTCTCTTGCTATGAGTATGTCGATGATTTTATTGTGCATGACAAGATGTTGTCCAGATGCCTCGTGTAATATTGACCATAACTAAATAAGACAAGATGTACTTATTGATGGCTATGTGGCTCCATCTGCTAGTAATTTTCACAGATTATGATGTTTTGTGACAATTTGATTGTTTCAACTTTATTTAGGAAATTAGGTGTGATTTGGATTTTATAATAATTTGAATTTGTGTGATTTTAAGAACTAGATTTGATTGTAGTATTGTACTCTACTCTTGTTTTTTCCTATCCTTTAAAGTCAGATTATACATCCTTAGACTAAATCTAGGTTTGTCGATAATATCCATCATGCTGACCAAAGTTAATTCACTGCAGCAGAACATCATTTACTTTTATTTGGATACCTACCTCCTTTTGTTTTGAAAAATCACAATCTCCTTAAGAAACCATCCATTACGATTTCTCGATAACAATATTCATTTACAATGATATTTAACCTAGAAAGATGTGCTGTTGTTTACATCGAGCTATATGAGTTAAAGCCACATCTGCTTTATTTTTATTTTTTTAGCTCTGAAGACAAAGATAATTCCATTTATCGTCTAGCTGGTGTTATTGAGCACCATGGCCGCGGCAAAGATTCAGGGCACTTTGTTGCTTATGTGAGACCAAGTCCTCGGCAGCAGACCAATGGTTCTTCCTCATGGTTTTGTGCAAGTGATACCGACATCAGAGAAGTCTCTTTAGAAGAAGTTCTCAAGTGCGAGGCTTACCTTCTTTTCTACGAGAGGATGGAAGGCTGAGATGTCTGGAATCTATATCCACAAGCTGCTAATCAGAATAGCAATCAAAAGGATTCTTTGGATGTCCAAATATCCAATTTTTGATTTGTTCGTACTCACGTTGGATCAAAATCAAGAAGAGTTTTGTTTCTTTCAGTTGTTCTTAAATAGCTGGTCTGATTTGTGCATATCCAATTCTCTCCTCTCTTTTTTTTTGGATAAGTGAGGAATGCAGTAGGGTTTCATTTGGAAAAATATCAGCATAGTAGGACATATAGGCCTTGGTACAGTTTTGTAGGACGGTACTGTTATTTACGATTGCTTTGCAGTACTGGGGAAATTTTGGAACACATTGGAGTATTTGATTTGATACGTTGTGCTTTTCCTCAATGTTTTTGTTATGGCAAGCTACATTGTATGCAAGATGATTCAAATACACCTTGAACTTGAAGTATCAGTAACAGGAGCAGCGTTACCAAACCCGTTTAGAGTGGGGTTACCGCTGCTCTACGGTTTGACGGTTACCGCGAAATATACCATGGTTTTAAAAATTGAAAATGTTATCACACATGATAACCGCACGGTTTTATAAACCCTGAACATGATGGCATTAATTTTGCCTTCTTTTTTCCTTTCTTCATTACTCCAAAAAAAAAATAGCCTGTTTGTTGTCGGCCTTGTGGGCTTATGGATAAACCCATACCTAGATTGGGCCCATAACTCCATGAGTCAGAACGATATTGGCCCATTAGCCCACGATTAAAATAAGCAGGCTTTTTACTCACGAGGTCACGCATCCCGGCTGATTAACAGAAAGAAATAAGTCCACTTGCCATCCTCAACTTACGTCGGGTTTAATTGACATCCTTTATCCTCAATACGAGAAATATTTTCCCCTAAACTATACATAACTGTACAACTTGAGTCCTATAGCAGTAGCAATACGCGCGTGGCCTGGCATCCCTGCTCATCGGGGCAGGAGCCAGCCGCGTCGGCAGCCACCATGAGTTAAGACCGTAGCTAGACGGTGAGAATGGCCATTGCTTTCATTTGAGGAGTGGTGTGGATATGGGCATGATAAATGGCATCGTCACGGAGATGCCTCTCCTCCTCCATGGTGGTCGCCCTCCAGGACGGAGCAGGGCTCACGGGGCCACCTCCGCCTTAGAGTTTATGTCCATCTTCTTCGGCACCGTAAGGAGCGGCGTGCCATAGTGGAGGAAGCTCGCTGGCCCCCTTGTCTCCCTCCTCTTCTCGAAAAAGCTCGTTGGCCACCTCCACCTCACTCGCATGAAGGCTAAGTGAGCTCAAGCTCGGACGAGCTTGCCGACCACCTCCCCCTCCCTATCCTGCCTCCGCCTTTCTCGCACGCAGGCCGCTTGAGCTCAAGCTTGGATAGGTTCGCTCGCTGCCTTCCTCACCGCCACCCCATAAACGCGCATGCGTGGTTTGGGGAAAAAAAAAGAGGGTGAAGAAAGAAGTTGTGGCTGACATGTGAGTCCAATGTTTTTTTTTACTTCTTTTGCTGATTAGGATGCCAGTGCTCATTCTACCTAAATTAGACGGTTTTGCGAAAATGAAGGGTGGTGATTGGTGAAGATTCCTAGTATTTATAGGGATTTCAATTAAACTTGATGTAAAGAAGAGGGATGACAAGTGGACTTATTTCTAACAGAAATCGTCCAAGCCCACCATCCTCATCACCACCACCACCACCGCCGCCGCCCTTCCGCTCTCGCCTCTCGCTTCCTCCTCCCTCCAACTCCAACTTCTCCTCGCCTCATCGCGACCTCTCCATCTCGCTCTCTGCTCGATTCCGAGCGGCTCCTCGCGTGCTCTGGGGTGAGTCTTCGCCCCCGCATTTCCTCCCCTGGTCCTGCTGCTCGTCGCCGAGTGGTGGTTGGTTGGTTGATCGCGCATGTTGGGTTTTCTTGGCTCCCGAATCCGCGGCGGCGCTGTTCTTGGTGCTCTCCGGGATGTCCGGTTTCGCCCTGTATTGTTGGCGGGGTTCTCTCTGCATCTCTTCTTCGTTCGATTTCTTGGTCCATTCCTTGTCCGTAGTGTTCTTCCCGAAGTTCTTGATTGATGCGAGCTTGATGGCCCAAATGCTGTTTTTTTTTCTTTTGTTTCTCCTCATTTGCTTTCTTGGTTTCATGAGTCCATCCCCTAATCCGTACTGGTTCTTTGGATTTATGGATTTAAGCGAAGTTTTTTTGTCCTGTGGTTCTTGCAATTGCAGGCCTGATGGACGAGAAAGCGAGGGCCGGCAAATCCCCACGCCTGAAGCGGCGCTCTTCTGGAAGCGATCCGTTGGAGGAAGCGGCGGGGTTAACCAGCGACAGTAGTAGTATTCGGCGGTGCCGGCACGTCTCGTGTGACCAGGCTACCATTGATCTGGGCATAGCACTGATCAAGGCCTCCATTGATGGCCCAGCGTGTGATTCTTTCAAGTGTGGCACCACTGAGGAGAGGGGAATCTTGGTTTGCTTGGATTGCGGTTCGAGTCTCTGCGCTCTACACGCGAGATGGCACGCCCGGATGAACCGGCATTGGGTTGCTTTGATGCACAAGAGACCCAATGTGGCGTATTGCTTCTCATGCGAAGACGCCTATTTCATCAGCCGTGTGAGGTTTGGGGGGACGGCCGATGAGGATTTCTTCCCAATCAGTACCCCTAAGAAGGATGAGAAGGGAAATAAGGTTGACAATGAGGCAGGTTGTCATGCATCTGCGGCGACAGGGGCTGGTTCTGGAGGCGGCACAATGGCGGTGTTAACCAGCAATGTCAGTCCCCAGCGGTGCTGTCATGTGTATAAGAAGGGTGATGTTGCTCGGGTCATAAAAAGGATCATGTTAAGCGATATCGCCGCGGCGTGTAGTGATTCCATGTGTGATACCACTGGGAGGAGCCTGATCTTGGTGTGCTTGGGATGTGAAAACCCGTTCTGCAGTGGACATGCCGATGTGCATGCCAAGAGCACCAAGCACTGGAATTATTTGATTTACCAAAGCCCATATATAGTGTGCTGCTTTGTGTGTAAAGGCATCGTTTTCCTCGGTGGTCAGGATAAGGAGGAGATGCCAGTTGACAATGCAACAGCTGGTGATGCATCTGGGTCAGTTATTGAGCATGCCCATGCTATCAGAGGGATAACAAATCTTGGAAACACTTGTTACTTGAATTCATTGGTACAGTGCCTCCTTGCACTTGGAAGGCTGCGGGCAAGGATGTTAAGACCTGAAGATACAACGGGGAGGCTTGGTACAGTACTGAGATATCTCTTTCAGGATACGGACAGTGTGAATAACTCAGGAGGCCTGCTGAATCCAAGTGGCCTCTTGCGTAGAGTACGGATGTTTGTCCCAGAGTCTCAAGTCACTTCTATGCATGACAGCCATGAAGCGCTTTGCCGTTTGCGCACTAATTTGGATGAAGAGGAAAGGTTGATGAAGTATGGTGCTCTCAGTGTAGAGGCTCCTACCGTCATTGATTCCATTTTTGGCGGTCAGCTGTCTGTTACCAAGACATGCAAATGCTGCTCACTTAGTTCAGTTTCACATGGTATAGTATTCCATGATCTCTCAATGCCAATAACACCGAAGAAACCTCTAGCCAAACGTGTTGAACCACTATGGATCACTAAAGGTCGCAGATCTCAACGGAAGAGGAACACAGAAAAGACTCATACAATTGCTGAAGACGGTGATTCTCAGAATGTCATGGTGAAAACATCAGAACCTTTGGGAGTTGGTAAGTTATGTGTTCATGTACCTAAATAAAGGAACAGAAGGGAATGTTGAACAGGCCTGCAAAAACGTGCATGGTGTCTCAGAAGTCAGAACGTAAAACTATGACCGAACACACCAAACTGTGATAGTACCACTATTATTTTTGATTTTTTGCTCCAGACAAGAAAAAGGGCATTTTGTAGAATGGCACTGTTTTACTAGATAAATGAAGAAACATGTTCAAGGACTTGATTATACATGGACTGCAGAAATACCAGAACTTTCAGGACGTCTACATTAGACAAGCAGGATGTTTCAGCAAATTTAGCATGGCAATGTTTTTCGTTACAGTGTAGCAGTTATTGGCACTGGGAAGATAGCTAAGGGAGTTGAGTCCTCCTTGTATAATAAATATTGCTCCAATTTGTTGGTTAACTTAAGTACGTGCGGAGATCGTTGAAAAAAAAAGAAGCTTCAAATAATCAAAAGGAAGTTTGCTGGTTTCATGAAGCAGCTGATGAGGACAAAACTAAAATTTTATTTGCTTCATTCTACAGATTCTACTAAAGTGGAACAGATCTCACAAAGCAAGGATGCTGTACAAGGCCCTTTGCAGATTCAGAAGGATAAGGTCCAAGGAAAGGCTGTTGATTTCCTTCCTCAAAACGTGTTGTCGGATGCCAAAGTTGAGGGAATGGATGCAACACGAGCAGATTCCCACATTCCAGAATATCTTGCTCCAGCTCCAACCTTTTCTCCACTAAGGGAAGATGATGCACAGGTAGCATTAGGTATTGATGTGGAGAAAAATGGCAGTGCTGTTCGGCCAGAAGTTAGTACTGAGGCCAAGGTGACCACTTCCTCAGCAAAAGTTACTGCAAAAGACAAGGGGAAAACTCGGAGTAGCAATATTATTTGTAACAAGGCACAGGATATAAACTCTCTTGCGTCGATTGAGGAGTGCTTGGAACTGCATTTTGAAGCAGAGACGGTAGAACTGACCTGTGAGAACTGCTCCAAGTTTGCTCAGAAGCTGAATAAAAGTGTAATTCAAACACGTCTTAGCCTGCTGCCACCTGTACTAGTCATTCATCTGAAAAGATCATTGTTGCAGTCTGATAAGGTGAAAGGACATGTGAGCTTTAAGGAAATCCTTGATGTGGGACTGTTCATGGACCCCAGGTACTGATTACTGCATTTATTTCTTTTTTCGACAAAAAATGTAACCGTTCTAATGATTCTCTGCCAGTTTAAATAAGTTTCTAATTTGTAGTAAGCTAATAAATATTATTTTTCCTAATTTGTTCGTTTTGCTTTAAGAATACATCTCTCCTGCAATAGGTTGCTTTTGGGTGACATATTTTTCATGCTTTCTTTCTATGAGTATGTGGAATTGTGGATTATTTGTACTGTGCATTTCAGTGTGTCATCTAGATGCCTCGTGTAACATTAACCATAACTAAATAAGACATGGATTGCTTGTTGACGGTTTTGTGGCCCCCCTTGCTAGTAATTTTCAACAGTACGCTGTTTTCCTGCGAAATGAAAACAAGGTGACAATGTAAATGTTTCAACTGTATTTGGGGAATTATGTGCGATTTGGATTTTAGAGTAATTTGAATTTATGTTATTTTAAGGACCCAATTTTGATTGCTCTCTACTCTCTTGTTCTTTCCTATCCTTTAGAGTCAGGTTATACATCCTCAGAGTAACTCTAGGCTTGTTGATAATATCCATCATGTTGGCCAAAGTAAATTCACTGTAGCAGAGTATCGTTCACTGTTCTTTAGATCCTTGTCTTTTAAAATAACAGCCTACATAAAAAAACCATCCACAATGGTTTCTCGCTAACACTATATTCATTTACAAAGATATTTTAGCCAAGAAAGACGTGCTGTTGTTTACATTAGAAAAGTCTTACGCCTGGTCTGATTTTCCCCCCTCTAATTTTCAGCTCAGTGGACAAAGATAATTCAATTTATCGTCTAGCTAGTGTTATTGAGCACCATGGCCACGGCAAAGATTCAGGGCACTTTGTTGCTTATGTGAGACAAAGTCGTCCGCAGCAGACCAATGGCTCTTCCTCATGGTTTTGGGCAAGTGACACCGACATCAGAGAAGTCCCTTTAGAAGAAGTTCTCAAGTGCGAGGCTTACCTTCTTTTCTATGAGAGGATGGAAGGCTGAGATGTGTGGAATTCTATATCTACCAGCTGCTAATTAGAATAGCAATCACACAGGATTCTTTGGATGGCCAAGAATCCAGTTCAAATTTGTACATACTGACTGTTGGCTTGCGATCAAGATGATTTCTGTTGCTTTGGCTGAGTCATTGCAGGACTTCAATTTGGCCGCAACATATACGTTCCAGATTTCGGTTGTTCTTTGACTAGCTGATCTAGTTACAGGCATTCTTATCTACCTTTTTGTCCGAGAAGAATGCATTAGGCCTTTGGTACAGTTTTGTCGGATTGTACTGTTGTTAGCAATTTCTGTACAGTACTATGGAAAATTTGTAACATATCATTTGATTTGTTGAGCTACACTGTATGCATGGTGATTCAGATACTCGTTGAAGTAGCAATAACAAGAGCATTCTTTCTTTCTTCCATTGCTTTCTGGAATCTGGATGAACATGACATAACATGCCAACATGGGAGGGTGAGAACATGCTGTTCCAATGGTCACCGTTGATTCTGAGATATCGTGCGTTCTGTTTAGCATCACCGTTCTCCCAAAGGAATAATGAGGGGAGGGATTATTTTTCTTTTCATTTTTAATTACATGGAGGCATGTGGAAAGTGCAAACACACCACCACAGACGCATACCACACCACACACTTTATTTTTCTTCAGATCAAAAAATCAGACTAGATATGAAAAACATATAAAAAAAAAGAACAAGTTTTACAGAATGAGACAACACTCGGCGTGAGTTTGTTTCTTCGTATTCCTGACCTCCACTTACTCCTTTTCCATGCACACGCTTCCTAAACTGCTAAACGGTATGTTTTTTGCAAAAAAAATTCTGTAAAAAAATTATTTAAAAAAATCATACTAATCTATTTCTAAAGTATTTTTAATAATAATAATTTTTAAAAATATTTTTAATAATATTAATTAATTAATCATAGAAGGTTTCCAATCCTAGCAATTAAACACAGCCTCAATATCGTTACGGCAGTAGAGCAAGACGAAAGCCCATCTCATCGTTGGGCCCGGCCCATCATGCCGCGAGGCCAGGACGACCTCGGCCCATTAGGCCCACGATCGATGAATAAAACGCAGGGCTCACGCGGTCACGAATCCCGGAGGTGATTAACACAAACCGGCCAAAAAGCCCAACGCGCCGCACGCCACCGCCACCCTCTTCTTCCTCCTCTCGCTCCCTCCCTCCTCCGTCTCCGCCTTCTCCTCCAAGCTTCCTCCTCGGCCTCGCCGCGCGCGAGCCCTCGTCGCCGGATTCCCCAGCTCGAGCGCGCGCTGGGTTCGAGATTCCGAGCACGCGCGCGGTGCTCCGGTGAGTTCTCGCACCCGCATTTCCTCCCCCCCTCTCTCTGTGATGCTTTGCTGCTCGTCGCCGACGCGGGGGGTTTGATTTGATCGCGCGCTTTTGGGTGGGGGTTTATTGGTTCGCGAATCCGCGGCGGGGCGCGGGTGGTTGCTGGTCGTCCTCGCCGGAATGGTTCGATTATTGGTGGAGTTCTCTCTCGGTTTCTCCGATTATTTCGGTTTCTAGTCCCTAGAATCTCCTCGCGTTGTTCTTCCCTTGCTTAATTAATGGCCCAAATGCTGCTCGCCCCTTGCTCTCCTATGGTGGAGTTCTCTCGGAATTTTTTTCCCGATTTCTTTCGGTTTTTTCTTGGTTTGGTTGCTCCTCGCGCTGTTATTGGTTGCTCCTCGCGGTCTCCTTTTTTGGTGAACTCATGCGGCGTGCTTTGAGGTTTATGGATTTTTCCCTAATTCGTTCTGGTTTTCTTCGGGGTTTATTGATTCACGCGAGATTTTTTGGCTTGTGGTTGTTGCAATTGCAGACGTGATGGACGACGAGAAGAGGCCGAGGGTGGGGGATACTGCCGAGAGCCCGCGGAAATCCCCGCGCCTGGTGCACCGAATTCCGACGACGACAGATCAGGCCGAATCTGGAGTCGGTCTCAAGTCCTTGCTTGGGTTGATCAAAAACAATCCGAGCAAGGAGCTCGATGACCCAAATGCTGCCTCTCTCGGTGAACTTCTATGATCTTGTTCTCCTCCTCCTCCTATTTTCGCTTTCTTCAGTTCTTGGTTCATGTTCTCATCCCTAGTCCTTACCGATAATTTGGGGTTTCTGGATTCACGCGAGTTTTTTTGGCTTTTGATTCTTGCAATTTCAGGCGTGATAGACGTGGAGAAGAAGGCAGCAAGGCCAGGGGATACTGCGGCAACGGCGCTGGATGTGAACGATTGGTGGGAGAAAGTCGTGGCGTTACAATGGATGGCATCGGTCGGCGGCGACTGCCGTGCTCGGCGGTGCCGGCACGTCTTGTATGGGGAGGATGACATTAATTTGGCCATAGCACTGATCAAGACCTGCGATGACACCCCAATGTGTAATGCTGACAATTGTGGCAATACTGAGGGGAGGGAAATCTCGGCGTGCTTGGATTGCGAATCGCGTTTCTGCACTACACACGGGAAATGGCACGCCTCGGTCAACAAGCATTGGGTTGCTTTGGTGTACAAAAAGCCACATGTGGCGTATTGCTTCGCGTGTGAAGAGTGCTATTTCATCAGAACTGAGCATTTTGGGGTGGTAATGGACAACGAGGATGACTATTTCATCAGTTTACGTGAGGAGGATGAGAAGGGAATGAGAGTTGACAATGTGGCAGGTGATCATGCATCTGGGTCAGTTATTGGGCATGCCTGTCCTATTAAAGGGATACCGAATCTTGGAAATACATGCTACTTGAATTCATTGCTGCAGTGCCTCCTTGTGCTTGGAAGACTGCGGGCAGGGATATTAGGACTAGATGCTCCATTGGGGCTCCTTGGTAGCTCACTGCGATCTCTCTTTGATGATGCAGACAGTGTAAATAATGCAGGAGGCCTGCTGGACCCAGAGAAGCTCTTGGCTTGTGTACGCATGCTGAACCCAGAGTTTAAAGGCAATGGTATGCATGATAGCCAGGAAGCACTTTGCATTTTGCGCACTGGTTTGGACAAGGAGGAGAGGGCAATGAAGCTGTCTAACATGCAAGCCGGTGCTCCCAGTGCAGTGGCTCCTACAGTTATTGATTCCATTTTTGGCGGTCAGCTGTCTGTTACCAGTTCATGCAAACATTGCTCAGTTAGATCACTTTCCCATGATGTATTCCATGATCTCTCAGTGCCACTACCACAGGAGTCTCCAGCCAAAAGTGATGAATTATCACCATGGACTAAAGGTCGCAGATCTCCACGGAAGATTCGTATCAACCTGCTTTCAGCAATAGACAAACACAAAAGTGACAATGAAAAGACTCAGAGTCCTGCTTCAGAATTGGAAGATGTGTTCTTGGTGAAAAGATCAAAGCCTTTAAAAGTTGGTAAGCTTATATGCTTGTGTGCTTAATTAAAGGAAGGGAAAACAATGCTGAACAATCCTACAAATGTGCATGCTGTCTCAGAAGTCAGAACATAGAACTTTTCATGAATGAGCACAGCAACCTTTGATAGTACCAGTATTGTTTGTTAGTTTTTGCTCAAGATAAGAAAAAAGGGCATTTTCTGGAACGGCGCTATCGTACTAGCTACATGAAGAAAAATGTTTAAAGACTTGATTCATACATGGACTGCACAACAGGATGTTTACATTAGCAGGATGTTTCGGCAGTTTTAACATGGCATAGATTTTTGTTACAAGTGTGGCAATAATTATCACCAAGGGGAGATAGCTCGGGGTTTTGAGTCCTTGTTTTCGTATAATAATTTTTTTTCTCCAAATTGTTGGTTAACTTAAGTACATGTGGAGATCTTTGAAGAAAAGAAGCTTCAAATAATCAAATGTAGAGGATAAAGGTTCTCAAACCATGTAGAGAATGAAGATTGCTGGTTTCAGGAAGTAGCTGTTGAGGACAAAACTAAAAACTTATATGCTTGATTCTGCAGATTCTACCAAAGTGGAACAGATATCTCATAGCATGGATGCAGGTGGTCCTTTGCAGACTAGAAAGGATAAGGTCCAAGGAAAGGTTGTTGATGTCCTTCCCCGCATTCCAGAAGATCCTGCTTCACCATCATTTGTTTCTCCACTAAGCGAAGAGAAAAATGACAGTGCTGTTCAACCAGAGGTTAGTACAGAAGCCAAGATGACCGCTTCCTCAGCAAAAGTTACTACAAAAGACAAGGGGAAAACTCAGATTAGCGATGTTGTTTATGACAAGGCACATGATATCAACTCTCTTGCATCGATTGAGAAATGCTTGGAATTGTATCTTGAAACAGAGATAGAATGGACCTGTGAGAACTGCTCCAAAGTTCTTAAGAAGCCAGGCATCATGTCAAGTACTAAGGAGGACACAACAGCTGGAGACCAGAGTGAACAGTTAGAGAAGAGTGCACACCAAGTGGAAGAAAACCAAAATGAGCAGAAAGATAAGAATGAATGTCCCATTCAAACACGTCTTATTCGCAAGTTGCCACCTGTATTGACCATTCATCTGATGAGATATTTGGAGGATTTAACGAAGGTGATAGGACATGTGAGCTTTAAGGAAATCCTTGATGTGGGGCAGTTCATGGATCCCAGGTAGTGACAAGTGACAACTGCATCTGTTTTTTTCCGAAAACATATGACTGATGATGTTTATTAGATTTCTGTTTGTTCTATGCCCGTGTAATTAAGTTTCTTATTTGTAGTAAGCTGATAAATGTTATTTTTCTCAATTTGTTCCCATTTGTTTTACACTTCTCCCCTAAAAGAATGCTTTCAGATGACACTAGCATTGCAGGTCAAAGTAATTTAGTCCATTTCTCATGTTTTCTTGCTATGAGTATGTGGATTATTGTATGGTGTGTCAAGTTGTAATCTAGATTCTAGATGTCTCCTGTAAAATTAACCATAGTTAAATAAGAAATGGTGTGCTTCTTGATGGCTGTCTAGCTCCCTTTGCAAGTAAATTTCAATTGTTACGCTGATATTATGAAATGATTACAACGAAACAAGGTGACAACGTGAATGATTCTGCTACATTTGGGGAATTTAATTGTGATTTGGGTAATCAAATAATTTGAATTTTGGGTGATTTTAACATCCCGATCTGATTGTACTCTCTTGCTCTTGCCTACCCTTTACAGTCAGATCAGATCATACATCCTTAGATTAACTCTAGGCTAGAAGCTTTTAGCTCTTTTTCTTTAGGGGTGTGCCTTCAAATGGCTAACCTGGAAACCTTTTTATTTTGTTAGAAGTCCGGGCTGTTCGATATAGTTCTGTTCTTGTTTCAGTATTTTAGTGTATGATGGATATAAACAAACCTAACATTTTCCATTGGATTGTTGAAATTATGACTGTTTATTTGTTGATTTTCATAACATCATGGTTATTTGCTTAAGATGATTTAGACCAGTCTTTTTAACTGACAGATATCTCGCTAACAATATTCAGTTACAAGGACAGGCGTTCTGTTATTTACATCGAGCTATAATGAGTTAAAAGCCTTAGATCTGCTCTGATCATCTTTATTTTCTCTAATCTTCAGCTCTGAGGACAGAGATAATTCCCGCTATCGTCTAGTTGGTTTTGTTGAGCACCTGGGCCCTAGCATGTATGCAGGGCATTATGTTGCTTATGTGAGACCAAGTCCTCCGCAGCAGACCAATGGCTCTTCCTCATGGTTTCGTGCAAGTGATACCGATATCACAGAAGTCTCTTTAGAAGAAGTTCTCAAGCGCGAGGCTTACCTTCTTTTCTATGAGAGGATTGAAGGCTAAGGTGTCTGGAATCCTGTATCCACCAGCTGCTAATCAGAATAGCAATCACAAAGGAAGCAGATGTTTTCAGATTATCAAGCATTATTTGGGCACGAAGGATTCAATTTTAATCAGTGTACATACTGTACTGACGTAGGCTCGTGATCAAGTTGAATTTCGTTGCTTTTGTCTGAGTCATTGCATGAGCGCAACACGTACATACCAGTTGAGAGATTTGGGTTGTTCTTGAACAACTGATTATTTCCACTTCTCTTTTGTCCATGAGGACGATATTAGGAATTCATTTGAAAAGAAAACATCAAAGTTGGACATTTTGCATTAGAGGATTGAGCAAGATGAATATATAGGCACTGGTACAATTTTGTCGGATGTTACTGTTACTTGTAGTTACTTTACAGTACTGTAAAATCAGGAACACATTTTCTTTTATACCTTGAGCTTTGCCTCAATAATTTTTGTGATGGCAAGATACATTGTATGCAAGATGATTCAGATACAATCATATATCTTGAGAAGTAGTAGAGATAACAAGAGCAATTCTTTGGACCTATCTTTTCTGAACGGATACAATGTTTTTTTTTTGAAAGGAAAGAATGGATACAATGTGACATGCAATTAGAGTATGAGACCCTACTGCTCCGCTGATGTCTTGATGATGAGATGGACATTTGCTTTGTTTGCATCACTGCTGTTCTTCTGAAGCAATCAAGAGGAGGATTTGTTTTTAACTAACTCTCTTGGAGGTGTCAATTTATAGCGTTGGTGTTGCCCAAGTGTTGTGCAATCGAGTTGGCCTGACATCACGAATGAAAAAACTGAACCTCATTTGGAAAAGAAAAGCATAAAAAGGAGAACATGGAATTCTGGAAAGAGGGTTCTTTTAAGTAAATTTAAGATAACTTAAAGTTGCATAATCCAACCTTAGTATAACTTGTGGCATGCAACCCTGAATTTCTGATATTATAGTCCCAGGATTCCAGAAAATCCACACCCATATAATCCAGATAATATATTTAATTAAATTTTCATGCCATAAGGTGTCTACAGAATTTTAAATTATTTGTTTTTTAAAATTCAGATGATTGGGTTAACTCTCTATTACTTTGAAATATTATTTCACATATCATAAACTCTGCGGTTATATGCCATGAGTATATACATGCTTTCTATTAAAAAGATACTAAATGCTATTTCTAGCATAGTAGTTTTTCCAAAAATGAAGCTATTTATCTACCCACCTGTCATCATCTTTACCAATCACACACATTATCCACTAATTTTCTCATCTACTTTCTCTACTTAACTAATCACAACTTTCCTTCATTATTTTCACCTACTTTTTTAATATCCGTGGTCAAACCATTTTAGGACGAAGGTAGTATACGTGACATTTCGAAATTTACTTTCATTTTTTACAGGAGGAAATATATACTTTCCATGGGCTCCGTTGAACTCACGACGGCCACCTAGGCCCATTTAGCCCAATATACACCCACCCGAGCGCCGCCGTCCCCGACCAGCGACGCCGCCTTCGCCGCTCTCCCCCCCTCCTCTCCTCCTCCAACTTCTCGCCGTCGTCGTCGCCGTCGCCGTCGCGGACGCCTCACCCCGCGGCGCTAGTCGACTCCGGGTCCTCCTCGCTTCTTCCGGTAAGTTTCCTCCCACATTTCCACACACCCCCTAAACCCCGCTGTTCGTCGCCGATGGGCGGTTTGATCGGTGGGTGTTGGTGTTTTTTTTTCTATTTTTTTTGGTGTGCGGATTCGCCGCGGCGCTGTTCATGTTCGATTTCCGATCCTGTTGGTGGATTCTCACTTTTTTTTTGGCTATGTTGATTGATCTCGCTAATCTGTAGGGTTTGAATTGGGGTTTAAGACGCGATGGAAGAGGGGAAGAGGGCAAGGGCGGCGGATACTGCCGGGAGCCCGTGGAAATCCCCGCGCCTGGAGCCGCCGGCTGCGTCGGCGTCGGCGGCGGCGGACGATTCTGAGTGGTTCCAGGCGATGTTGCTGGAGGCCAGCGGCACCGGCGTTGAGCGGTGCGAGCACTTCATGTCTGACCAGGATCACGTCGATTACATCGTGTCGGGGCTCAGGTTCTCCGAGGACGTCCCGGTGTGCGGTGATTACACCTGCGACGTCACCGCGGCGAACGATATCATGGTGTGCTTGGAATGCGAGTTGCGCCTCTGCGCCAACCACGCCTGTATCCACGCCATGCACGAAGAAGAGCATTCGATTGCTTTGTACTATGAGAGATTGAATCGGGTGTACTGCTTCAAGTGTGAAGAAGCCTATGACATCGGTGTTAAGGATGATGATGGGGGGATGACTGACAACAATGGGGTGCCGCGCGAAGAGAGCCCAGCGAAATCAGCGTTAAGGATGATGATGGGGGAAAGCCTACGACAGAGGTCACATGTGTCTGGGTTAGCTGATGGGCATGCCCATGCTATCAAAGGGATACTGAATCTTGGAAACACCTGCTACTTGAATTCATTGGTGCAGTGCCTCCTTGTGCTTGGAAAGCTGCGGGCAAGGATGTTAGGACCGGACACTCCACTGGGGACCCTTGGTACAATACTGTACGATCTTTTTGATCAGACATACGGTGTGAACAATACAGGAGGCCTGCTGGACATGACTTGGCTCTTGGCTTATGTACGCAAGTCGGACTCACGGTTCATAGGAGCTTTTATGCAAGATAACCATGAATTGCTTTGCTGTTTGCGAAAAAAATTGGATGAGGAGGACAGGGGGACAAATCCTCCTAACATGCAAGATGATGCAGTGACTCCTACAGTTACTGATTCCATTTTTGGTGGTCAGCTGTCTTCTCACATATCGTGTAAATGTTGCTCATTTAGTTCAGTTTCACATGTTGCATTCCATGATCTCTCGGTGCCCCTTCCACCAACTCAATCCAAAAGTATTGCATCTCCACCGAGGACTAAAGGATATAAATCTCAACAGAAGATCCATGCTGAACTAGAAGTTGACAAGCGTAACCCAGAAAAGATTCATACTATTGCTGAAGACAGTGATTCTCAAAGTCCTTCAGAATTGGAAGATGTGGTATTGGTGAAAACTTCTGAGCCTTTGAAAGTTGGTAAGTTTATGTGCTCCTGTGCCTAATGAAAGGAAAGGAAAACAATGTTCAACATTCCTGCAACATTTTTTTTAACAGTGCCTGCAACATGTTGGGTGTCTCAGAACATGGAATTTTTCTTGAGTGAATGCAGAAAACTCTGATATTACCACAATTATTTGTTAGTTTTTGCTCAATATAAGAAAAAGGGCATTTTTCGGAAAGAGTTAATGGCTTGACTGTTAAATATACTACAGAAATATTAGAACCTGCAGGATGTTTCTGCAATTATAGCATGTCATAGCTGTATGTTACAGTGCAGTAGTTATTCTTGCCACTGGAAGATAGCTCTAGGTTTTTGAGTTCTCCTTGTCTTCATATAATAAATTTTGCTCCAAATTGTTGGTTAACTTAAAGTACACAGAAATCCTTGAAGAAAAGAAGTTTCAAATAATCAAATATAGAGGATAAAGACTGTATTTCAGACCATGTAGAGAATGATGGTTGCTGATTTCATGAAGATACTGATGAGGACAAAAAAAATTATATGCTTGATTCTGCAGATTCTACTAAAGTTGAACAGATCTTTCATAGCAAGGATGCTGTATGTCGCCCTTTGCAGACTCAGAAGGATAAGGTCCAAGGGGAGACTGTTGATTTCCTTCCTCAAAACATGTTACCTGATGTCAAAGTTGAGGAAATGGATTTGACAAAAACAGATGCCCATGTTCCAGAAGATATAGGGCCTTCACTAAGGAAAGAGAATGCATGGATAGAATCAGGAAGTGATGTAGGGAAAAATGTCAGTGCTGTTCTTGATGATGTGTTCAGTGAGCCAGAAGTTAGTTCAGAAGCCAAGACTGACACTTTCTCAGTAGAAGTTAGGAAAAGTCGGAGTAGTGACATTTCTTGCGATAACGCGCAGGGTATCAACTCTCTTGCATCAATAGACAAGTATTTGGAATTGCATTTTGAAGCAGAGATGGTAGAATGGACTTGTGAGAGTTGCTCCAAGGTTGCTCAGAAGCCAGGCATCAATCTAGGTAAATACAGTAATCCTATGATGTCAAGTACCAATGAGGACATAACAGTTGATGGAGACCAGAGTGAACTGTCAGAGAAGATAACATGCCGAAGCGAGCAATCCAACGGAAGACCTGAATGCCATGAAGGTGTTCAAGAAGCTGAACCTAGTTGCATTCCAGCTGAGAAACAGGCCAACCTGTTGAGCGGCCAGGATCAAAATGCCAGCATACTAAGTGAGGAAAGGGGGGAGCAAGTAAAGCTTCATCATGGTGCACACCAAGTGGAAGAAAACCAAAATGAGCAGAAAGATTGGAATAAAGGTGGAATTAAAAAACATTTTATTAGCAAGCTGCCACCTGTATTAGTCATTCATCTGATGAGATCTTTGTTGGGACCTCATAAGGTGATAGGACATGTGAGATTTAAGGAGATCCTTGATATGGGTCTGTTTATGGACCCCAGGTACCGTCGTACCGATACCTCATCTCTGTTTTTTTTTTTTTGAAAATATATTGGCATTGGCGTTCAACGACTTCTAATTGTGTTAAGCCAATTTAAATATCTATCTTATTGGCAGTAAGCCAATTAATATTTTTTTTATTAATTTGTTCCTACTTTAAGAATACACCTCTAGCACAAAATGATGCTTTTAGATGACACCAGCATTTCATATCAATGAGTAATTTATGTTTCCTTGTTCTGCTGTTATGAGCATGTGGATTGTTGTACTGTGTGTGCAATGCTTTTTATTTGTCCAATTCAACCTGTAAAGCTCTAAATTGAGCAATCTCCTGTTCCACGCAAAAAATGAATTGACACCAGAGTACCAGACTGCTGTATTTTCCTGGTATAACCAGTTCGTTTTGTGTAGCATAAAGGTTGTTTAGGACATGGGATAGCACTGCTCTTGTTTCTTGCTGACAGACCAACATGGATTAATGATAAAACCAATGTTTTAATTGTCATGGGAGCATTTGGTATGGAATAGCTCATTAAGTAGGCAATGAGACAATTTGGACTATGACAAATTGGCAGTAAAGTGAATAGACATTCTTAAGCTGCAGCAGATCAATGAACCCCCTCCCACATGGGATTTACTGAACATTATTAACCCATTTAGGATTTTTCCCTAGGTGCACCTGTGAATGGCTGTCTGGCACCCTTGCTAGTAAAATTTTGAATGGCTGTCTGGCACCCTTGCTAGTAAAATTTCAATGGTTATGCTCTTATTATGTGAAATGTGAAAAAAGAAAACAAGGTGATAATGTGAATGATTCAACTGTAGTGGGGAGTCAAGTGCGATTTGATTTTAACAGCATGGTTTGACTGTACTCTGCTTTCTTGCTCATCCTACCTTTAGAGTTTAGAGTCATCTATTGTACACCCTCTCTAACTCTAGGTGTGTTTATATGATATCACACTCATTTTCCTACCTAAATCAACCCACTGTAACAGAGTATCATTGACTACACTGGATTTTTTCAATCACAATCTAATTAAAATCCAATTTATAATATCTAGGAACTTCTATTCTTTCCTTTTCTTTTGTCGGTGTGTGCCCTCAAATAACTAACCAGGCAGCACTTTTATTTGTTAAAAAACTGAATTGTTTGACATACTTTTTGTTTCAGTATTTTTAGTGTATGGTGGACTCGTAAACCTAATACCTGTTTAAATTATCACAGTGTGTCTTATTTGTTGATTATTTTTGTAACATTACATGGTTATTCACTTAAGATGATCTATACTAGTAGTATTTTGTATAATAGAATAATTATTAACAATATTCAATACAAGGATATTAACACAAGAAAGATGTTTGCTGTTTACATGTAGCTATAATGAGTTAAAATCTGCTTTTCATCGTTTTTTATTTTTTCTAATCTTTCAGTTCAGAAGACAAAGATAATCTCAGCTATCGTCTAGTTGGTGTTGTTGAGCACCGCGGCCTTGGCAACGATGCAGGGCACTTCCTTGCTTATGTGAGAGCAAGTCCTCGGCAGGAGACCAGTGGCTCCTCCTCATGGTTTCGTGCAAGTGATGACAGCATCAGAGAAGTCTCTTTAGAAGAAGTTCTCAAGTGCGAGGCTTATCTTCTTTTCTATGAGAGGATGGAAAACTGAGATGTCCAGAATTCAACTAATCAGAATAGCAATCACAAAGGAAGCAGGTGTGCCAGATTGTCAAGCGTTCTTTGGACGACCAAGAATCCAATTCTAATCAGGTTAATTTGGCTGAGTCATTTCAGGGCTTCAATTTGATCGCGACATGGGCATGCTAAGGGATTTCAGTTGTTCTTGACCATCTGATCTGCTTACATGCATGCATATCCATCCTTTTTATGTTATGAATGCGTTAGGATTCCATTTGAAAACAGAAATTAGTATAGTTGGACATATAGCGTTAGAGAATTGAACAAGGTTACTATATAGGCACAGGTAACAGTTACACCCCTGGTACAGTTTTTGTGGATGTTGCTGTTATTTGCAATTACTTTACAGTACTATAGAGAAATGGAACATTTACTTTGAAATTTGCCTCAATATTTTTGTGATGGCAAGATACATCATATGCAAGATGATACAAACTTGAACCTTGAAATAGCAATAACAAGTGCACTTTTTTTTTCTTTCTTCCCTTGTTTTCTAGATGGACATTATGTAACACCTAATGATCTCCAATTCTCCATTGATGATGAGAGACATGTGCTGTGTTAGCAAAAAATATTTTCTCCCTAACAGGCCCCATATGGGTAGAGGAAAGAACAAAAAAAAAAGGGGGTCCATTTTATATGTTCCATTCATATTTCTCAATCGCAAAATCAGATATCAATTGTCGTTAAACTGTTAAAACTAGTATAAGTCTAAACCAGTGTAAGTCAAGTTGCAAAATCACGATGTGGCCCGATTTAATTCTGCCTGGGATGCTAGAGATAGAGTAGAGGAAACGGATCATGATGCTAGGGGAAGGGGAGACAAGGAGCTCGAGCTAACGTGGCTGCTTAAGCCAATCGCTATTCATCTGCGTCCACCAAGGGTAGAGGAGGAGGAAGAGATGTTAATGACATATTGGTCCCACTATTTTCTTTCTAATTGTATTCATCCAATAGACGTCACGTAGGAGATGACAACCGGTTCAATACACCATGTGGGTGTCACGTTAATCATCAAAAAGCACCATCCGAAACTATCTATGGATTTTAAGGGTGTGTTTGGTTGTAGGCAAGTTATGGTAGTCACAAAAGTGTGGTGAATAAATTGCTAGCCACAGAGTATGGTAAAATTGGTAAGAAAATTAAGTCTATGACATATATGACATGCTGTTGAAAAAGTGTGGCGAGTCACAACTGTGACAGTGAACTAAACACATATCTAACAAACTGTGGCAATAAAAAATGTAGTGTGGCAAAATGTGGCCATGAACCTAACACCCCTGCATCAACTTTAAAAGTTAAAGATGCTGGTTCTGTGGTTGAATTATCGGTGGGGAGAAGGCCCAGTTAATGCTACTTGTCGTCTCATTTAATTTGCTATAGTCCACAACTAACGTTAGGCAAGTTATGGTAGTCACAAAAGTGTGGTGAATAAATTGCTAGCCACAGAGTGTGGTAAAATTGGTAAGAAAATTAAGTCTATGACATATAGGACATGCTGTTGAAAAAGTGTGGCGAGTCACAACTGTGACAGTTAACTAAACACATATCTAACAAACTGTGTCAATAAAAAATGTAGTTTGGCAAAATGTGGCAATGAACCTAACACCCCTGCATCAGCTTTAAAAGTTAAAGATGTTGGTTCTGTGGTTGAATTATCGGTGGGGAGAAGGCCCAGTTAATGCTACTTGTCGTCTCCTTTAATTTGCTATAGTCCACAACTAACGTTAGGCAAGTTATGGTAGTCACAAAAGTGTGGTGAATAAATTGCTAGCCACAGAGTGTGGTAAAATTGGTAAGAAAATTAAGTCTATGACATATAGGACATGCTGTTGAAAAAGTGTGGCGAGTCACAACTGTGACAGTGAACTAAACACATATCTAATAAACTGTGGCAATAAAAAATGTAGTGTGGCAAAATGTGGCCATGAACCTAACACCCCTGCATCAGCTTTAATTTGCTGTGGTTGAATTATCGGTGGGGAGAAGGCCCAGTTAATGCTACTTGTCGTCTCCTTTAATTTGCTATAGTCCAGTAGGACATCCTAGGTACTCACTACTCAGTCCTTCACTCCTTTGTCGTCGATTCGTTCGTGGTGCTCTTAAATATCTTCGAAATATAGGGCCTGTTCACTTTGGTGTCATTTTCAACCTTACTAAATTTTAGTAAAGTTGCCAAAAAAGTGGCTACATTTAGTTTGCTGCTAAATTTTGGTAACTATATAAGAAATCTTGCCAAAATTTTGGCAAGTTACCATGCCAAAATGCCAAAATTTGATAAGGTTTTTTTTTGGCAGCAAAGTGAACATGCCCATATATATCACGGGTTAAGGAGATGGACGGTTTGGATTTCGCTATCTTTTGCAAATCATGCAATAGTTTGTTTTTGTTTTTTGTTTTTTGTTTTTTTTTCGGGGATAATTGTGCCATAGTTAGTGGCCTCTCTGCCTCACTCGACATGAACAAGAACAGCAGCAGCAGGAGGAGACGAGGGCAATAACAGCAGCAGCATTTTCTGATTCTTCTCAATTGGAGAGAGTGCTCAGTGCTCTCCTATAAATCCTACTAGCACTAGCACACCCAAAGCGACCAACGAGTGATCCGATCCGATGGACAGTCGCCGTCCCTTGCTTATTCCGAATGAGGGTGACGAGCCGCCGCCGCAGCCGCCGGAGCCGCCGCTCGCCGGCGTGTCCGACTTCCGAGGGCGGCCGGTCTACCGCGCCACCTCAGGCGGCTGGCGCTCCGCACTGTTCGTCGCCAGTGAGCGTGTACTGCGTATACCGATGTTTGTTCGGTTTGGTTAATTTTGTTCCTTAATTTGCAAAGTTTGATTAGATTTCATGAGAGATTAATTGATTAATGAATTGTTGCAGTGTTGGAGATGGGCTGCAGCTTCTCCTACTACGGCGTGTCGGCGAACCTGATCAGCTACCTGACGGGGCCGCTGGGGCAATCGAACGCGTCGGCGGCGAACGCGTGGTCGGGGACGGCGCGCATGCTCCCTCTCCTCGGCGCCGTCCTCGCCGACTCCTTCTCGGCCGCTACCCATTCATCCTCCTCGCCTGCACCCTCTACGTCATGGTAATATTTTATTTATTATTTACTATATATTCCTCCATCCATTTGTTATTATTTATTGTTAAGATTGTAAATAAAACTGGTCACTCTTGTTTTTTCCAACTCCCACCCAAAGTCAATTTGCTGCAAAGGCTGACCCACCAAATCCATCCGTGCACGCAAATAAACAAAGGCTAGATCAGCCAGCTCGATACCTGTTGTACTCTCTGTCTTAAAAAAAATATAAATTCTAGCTATGATTCTGAATATTTAATTTTTTTAGACGGAGGGTGTAGTTTAAAGCAGAAAGATGAACTTGAATAACTTGAGGGTTGAAGGCAACGGCGATGAGCCGATGAGTAGTGACAATCAACTACGGTCATGCTCTTTCCTTCTTATTGAATAATGCATTATAAGAAGTGAAATTATTATTAAGGATAAAATTGAAAAGGTTTTGAATAAGACAACTAACACTCCGTAATGATAAGTATTTTGGAACAAAATTTAAATTCTAAAAAGAAGTAATTTAGGATAAAGGTAGTACTATTCTAAAGAGAAGTAATTTAGGATAAAGGTAGTACTATGGGTACACGTTGGCTGATTGGCTCCATAATGATAAGTATTTATCAAAAAAGGGTTTGGGTGATTGGCCTTTGTAACAAATCAGCTTTTGAGGGTAAATTCAAAACAGAAGTGATAATTTGGTGGTTTATTCAATTTTGTCAATGTTAATTTAGTACTTACCACTCCTCGATGAATAATAATGGAGTAGCACCCCGTATATGCCAGCATGTCTGCCATGAAATTCGTGTTACTTCTACTAATACTCCTCTGACCACTTGTTATATTGCCCATTAACGTACGAACACAATTAGTAATTGATAGTACAGTACTAGTAATCATCATCAGGACAAAAATATAATGGAAAAGATAGAAATGTGCATATCGATCTGCATCTGCAAGCAACAAAGACGTGGATGACGCGTATTAATTAGTACAAGCACTGTCAAAAGAAGAAAACTCTCTGCTCACACATTTGGTCCATCCAATTAATTAAGCCCTGTTTGATTCAGCTTATAATTATTATAATCTAGATTATTATGAGTAAGCTAAAACAAACAGATAGCTTATTATAATAGATTATTATAATATATAAGCCAGATTACTATAATTTGGTAAGCCACTCTAAAGATGCTTATTTTAGATTATTGGATGACTAACAACTAACAAACAGATAATAATCCAGAGAAACAAACAACTAGCAGCTTATTCTATATCGGCTTATTATAATCCAGCTTATAATAATCTAGTTCTATAATCTAGATTATAATAATTTTAAGCTGAAACAAACATGGACTAAGTACTTATATATCTGACCCTTTCGCAACTGAGCGATCAAATCAAACACTGTCACCATCTCCCTGCTCCACCTTATCTTAATCCTATCTTAAAAATGTTACTCCCACTGGTAGAGTATTAATCTTACTCACTAATATGCGTGCATTCTTAAAATAAACAACAAATGTGATTTAATTGAAATGAACGTGCGTACGTCCGTTCGAGAGTGATCAGTACCCTTCTCCGAAAAATTCAAATACAAATTTTAAAAATAAATTAATTTGATATTTCAAGCAACTTTATATAAATTTTTTTTACAAAGAATACACCATTTTAACAATTTAAAAAATGCTAAGAAAAATCTATATCTTAAGTAGAATTAAATGGACAAAGGTTTTGAGAAGAGGAGTTATTAGGTAGGGAAACTTGAACGGCGGAAGATTATTATTGGTTGAAAAAATGATATATATATATATATATATATATATATAAACTACGTACAAAGGAGTTATATTTTATGATAAATTTTAAAGGTAAAAACTTATTACTACAAATATTTTAGAACGGATAAATACAAAATTGATTGGATTTCACGCGCATGGGCGCATGATTGCAGGGGCTTGGCATGCTGACTGTGGCGTCCTCGCTGCCGGCGTGCGCCGCCACCGCCGCCGCCGCCGCCGCCTGCCGTCCTTCCATGGCACAGGTGATCTTCGTCTACGTTTCGCTCTACCTCGTCGCCTTCGCTCAGGGATTCGACAAGCCATGCGGGTTGGCGTTCGGCGCCGAGCAATTCGACCCGGGCCACCCCAGGGAGAGCGCCGCCCGCAGCTCCCTCTTCAACTGGTGGTTCTTCTCCATGGCCGTCGGCGTCGCCGTCGCCATCGCCGCCGTCAGCTACGTCCAGGAGAACGTCGGCTGGGGCGTCCCCTTCGCCGTCGTGTCCTGCGCCTCCGCCGTCTTCCTCCTCGGCACCCCCACCTACCGCCTCTACGCGCCGCCCCGTCCCGACACCGCCATGGATGGCAAGCGATCGTCGTCGTCGGAGGAGGATGCGCGTGGCGCGCTGCGGCGCCTGCTTCCGATATGGGCGGCGTGCGTGGCGTACGGCGTGGCGGACGCGCAGATCATGACGCTGTTCAACAAGCAGGGGCGGATGCTGGACCGCCGCATCGGCGGCGTGGAGCTGCCGCCCGCCGCGCTCCAGACGATCGGGCCGGCGACCATCGTGCTGTTCGTGCCCATCTACGACCGCGCGGTGGTGCCGGCGCTGCGGCGCGCGACGGGCAACCCGAGCGGGCTGACGACGCTGCAGCGGACGGGGGCGGGGCTGGCGACGTCGCTGGCGGCGGTGGAGGGGCGCCGGCTGGGGGCGGCGCGGGCGGGGCGGCGGCCGGCGATGAGCTGGGCGTGGCTGGTGCCGCAGTACGCGTCGATGGGGGTGGCCGACGTGCTGGCGGCGGTGGGGATGCAGGAGTTCTTCCACGGCGAGATGCCGGAGGGGCGGCGCAGCGTCGGGCTGGCGCTCTACTGCGGCGCCGTGGGCATCGGCGGCTTCGTCAGCGCCGCGCTCATCGCGGCGCTGGATGGCGTCACCAGGAGGGACGGCGGCGAGGGGTGGTTCGCCGACGACCTCGACCGCGGCCACCTCGACTACTTCTACTGGCTGCTCGCCGGCGTCAGCGCCGTCGCACTCGCGATGTTCCTCTGCTTCGCCCGCTCGTACGCCTACAGGAACAAGACGCTGCTTGTACCATCAAACACCAGTAGTATTAATACTCATCATGCATGATACTAGTACGACGGATCGATGCATGTACGGACAGACAATCCAGATTGCAGACTGATTAATTGATTATGCATCATGTAAATAATTCACCCTCTAATTCATAGTAATTCCATTCCATACTGGCATGCTCAAAAGCAAAGCAGTCATTTGGGTAAAAACTTGCTAGTACTCCAGTTGTATCAAGAAGCAATTGCTTCTTCAAGATATATGCTAAAACAATATAAAATTATAATTATTTTAAAACATAAATAGTACTAGTTTCTTTCTACGCCACGTAGGACGATAGACCAGATCAATGCACCACGTAAGTAGTTTAACCAAAACCAGCGACCAAGGGGAACTTAATTTGCACTAGTTTTATACCTTAGTTGTACTCTATATTCGATTTTGCAGTTGAGTGAACTTTTCAAAAAAAAAACAAACAAAAAAACAAAACAAAACACAAAAGAACTGCCGCTATTCCTCAATTCCACCCCTCCATGTACTCCTTCCATTATATTGGCGTTCATCCAAAACAAAGCAGGGTTAGGTAGCAACCATGCGATCCACGCACATGACCACCTCTCTAACAGGAAACTATTTAAATTTTTTTTAATTTTTTTAACAAGATAAATTAATACGAACATTCTTAATTTAACTTTTACATATTGCCAAAAAAACTATTTTTACTGTTAATATACATTAACAATTTATAATTTAATTTGTTTTTTTTAATTTGTAGAAGTTAAATTTTAACAGTGATATATCACATATACTTCTTAATTTTTTATAATTATTTAGATAGCATGCAAACAATAGAGATATGCCTTCTCGAGAGTTTAAAATCCACTCCCTCTTTCTTTCGGGATTAGGCACCTCTACCTTCAAAGAAACGTGTGTTTGTCATTGTGAACCCGATGAACCATGGACCCACCTATTATCTCAAGAGAAAATCCAAGAAATACCATTGACAAACACCCAAATCTAAAACATGCTATTGACGAGTCCGAGTTTCCACAAAATATTCGTACAAATGATTTAGTATCAGAAATGCCATTGCCGTTAAGGTTTCGTCCATCCTACGCCGTTAAATGCATTGTTTATTCTATAGCACTTAATGGAAGGATGCTAACGGAACCCTAACAACGATGATATTTTAGAGACAAAATCTCTTGTATATTGATATTACATCAAACTTGTATTTATCCATGATATTTGTTGGAATATAAAGTGAATTGCCCGCCTTTTCTCATCAGCTTAAATTTTTGGGTTGAACTGGTCGGTGCATACAACTCAATATGGTATTAGAGCCAGATGTCTCGAGTTCAAATCTGGCTGTCGCGCAATTAAATAAAAGTTGCTGCCCATTTCTATTCCACACTTGCATGCAACTCAATACTAATATTTTTGAAATTGGATGCTTATTAATTACCAACCTCAACTCTCAGTCTCTCTTTCTGGGATTTTCTCAAATCTCAATCTCTCTTTCCAACCCCAACTCTGCCCGACTCCAGTGTCCTCCAAACCCAACACGAGCCGGAACGCCACCGCCTCCCTCCCTCCTCCAAAACCTCTCGGCATCGTTCTCGTCGATTCCGAGCCCTCGTCGCGCATTTCTCCCCCAAACCAAATCCCGCTGCACGTTGCGGCGTTGCCCGATGCGCGCTTGATCCATTGGTTGGTCCTCACCCGGATTGTCTCGATTTCCTCTCTTGTTCTCATCTTTCTTTCGCCTTTCTTGGTTCATGTTCATCCGGAATGTTTATTATCGGATTCTTGCGATTTTTTCTTCCTGTTCCAGAGTCCAGACGGCGATGTATTCGGAGAAGAAGAAGGCAAGGGCGAGGGATGGGGATGGAGATCGGGATGCTGCCGAGAGACGGCGGAAGGGGAAGGCCCCATGCCTGGAGCCGCCGCCGACACCGCCACGCGCGATGGCGGCGGCGGCGGCGGCGGAGGCCGGTCCTTCACGCGGCGGCTGCGTTCCGTCACGGAATCCCTTGAAGGATCCGGGGGATTGCGAGGCGGTGGCCATCAGGGACACCGACGGCGAGGACTGCGGCCACTTCAGCTGCGACATGGACGAGATCGCTGACATCGAGATGGGCATGGCCGCCCGCGGCGACCCGATGTGCGAGCACGAGACGTGCCTGGCCACCGGGAGCAACCTCATGATGGTGTGCCCCGAATGCGGCTGGTGCTTCTGCGTCGGAGGGCTAGCCCACAGGGCCAAGCCGCTGGGGCACATCAGGGAGCATGCCTACCGGAGGGCGCATTGGGTCGCGCTGCGCTGCGAGGATCCGTGTGAGGGTTACTGCTTCGAGTGTGAGGATTCATTGGCAATTGAGAGCCAGATGGTGGCCGATGATGGCGCCGGAGGCGGCGAGGAAGGGTATGGATGTGTTGTCACAGGGATGCCGAATCTTGGGAACACCTGCTACCTGAACGCGCTGCTGCAGTGCCTCCTTGTGCTCGGGAAGCTGCGGGCGAGGATCTTGGGGCCGGGCGCTCCGTCGGGTGTCCTTGGTGACTTGCTGCATGATCTCTTTGTTGGTACAAATGGTCCGAGCTACGCTCGACGCCTGCTGGACCCGGCGATGCTCTTGCGTTGTGTGCGCTTTCGTTACCCGCAGTTCCGAGGCATTGCTATGCAGGACTGTCATGAATTGCTTTGCTGTTTGCGCGATGGTTTGGATGAGGATGAAAGGAAATGGAGGGCTGGTAAGATGCAACAAGGTGCTCCTAGTGCTGTGGCTCCTACGGTTATTGATTCCATATTTGCTGGTCAGCTGTCTGTTACCTTGTCTTGCAAATGTTGCTCGTTTAAGTCAGATTCAGAGGAGGTATTCCATGATCTCTCAATGCCATTACCACCAAAGGGGACTCCAGCCAGAAGTGTTGCATCACCACCACGGAATGGAAGATGCATATCTCAACAGAAGACTCATATGGAACTGTTTCCAGCAATCAACAAGACTAACACCGAAAAGATTCATGCAATTTCTGAAGGCGGTGATGCTCAGGTTCCCGCTTCAGAATCGGAACATATGGTTATGGTGAAAACATCAGAGCCTTTGGAAGTTGGTAAGTTTATGTGTTCCTGTGCCTAACTAAATAATGGAAAACAACGTTGAACGGGCCTTCAAGCACGCAAGGTGAAACAGAAGATGAATTTTTCATTAATGAATGATTGAATGGAGCAGACCATGATAGTACAACTATTGTTTGTTATTTTGTTGCTTGACATGACAAGGACATTTTTCAGAGAAGAGCCCTTCTAGTAGCTAAATAGAGAATATTTCTTTGGTATGGTTCATACATGGACTGCACAAATGTCAGAACCTTCAGGATGACAGCATTATACAAACGGGATGTTCCAGCAGTTTTTGCTGAGTCCTTGTGCTCGTATAATAAATGTTACTCAGCTTTGTTGGTTAACTTAAGTACATGGTCCATGAAGAAAATAAGCTTCAAACAATCAAATGTAGAGGTTCAAGATTCTCAAACAATGTACAACGGTTCCTGGTTTCATGAAGTTACTTATGACGACAAAACCTAAAACTTATATGCTTGATTCTGCAGATTCTAATCACTTGGAACAGATTTCGCAAAGCAAGGGTGATGTACATGGTCCTTTGCAGGCTCCAACAAGGGAAGAGAACACGTTGATAGCATCAGGCCATGGTGTAGAGAGAACTGTCAGTGCTGTTCTTGATAGCATCAAGCCAGAAGATAGTATAGAAGCCAAGATGGACACTTTGTCAGCAGAAGTTGCTACAGAAGACAAGGGGAAAGATCGAAATCGTGATGCAGTTTATGATAAGGCAGATGATATCAACTCTCTTGCTTCAATCGAGGAAATATTGGAATTGCATTTAAAAGCAGAGATGATAGAAAAGAGGTGTGAAAACTGTTCCAATGCTGATCAGAAGGCAAGCCCTATAAGTGGTAAACATGGTGAACAGCCAGTGGCATGTACCAATGTGAATGGGACAGTTGATGGAGACCAGGATGAACAAGATCAGGGAAGGGGGAAGCAAGTAAATATGGGTCATAGTGCACATCAAGTGGAAGAAAACCAATATGATCGGCCAGATAGGAACAAAGGTGCAATTAAAACATGTCTTTTTAGCAAGTTGCCACCTGTGTTAGCCCTCCATCTCAAGAGAAATTTATGGCCTCTTAAACTTAAAGTGAGTGGACATGTGAGCTTTAAGGAGACCCTTGATGTGAAATTGTTCATGCACCCCAGGTACTGAGTAATTTAGTCTGTCCATTTTTTTGTGTGCTGTTGTTATGAGCATGTTGATAACCGTATACCTTGCACACATTTGTTTCTGTTTGTCCAATTGAAAACCAGAAAAAGCAAAATATGCATGTTTCCGTAGCTGTGGTAAAAACTAAAAATGAATTTCGCTTGCATGGTCAGCTAGTTTTCTTTGGCACAGAAATAGGTTACGACTTAGGATAGCACTGCTCTGTCCTATTTCTGGCAGGCTAACATGATTTAAGACAAAGAAATAGACGCAAACAAAACCGATCTTGTAGTTATCATTGCAACATTCGTTTGGAAGAGCTCCGTAGTTTGCGTTGAGGCAAGTGGACTGTAAAGTGAATAGGCATTCTAAGGCTATGGAACTGCGTCCCCTCCAACATGGGACTTGTGTATATTATTGCTTTTTCTAACCCTATAGAGTCAGGTTACACCCAGTAGAGTAACTCTATGGTCGTTAATATGATATCACCCATCTTGAAGGACAAACTCAATCACTGTAGTAGTTCATCATTGACCACTGGATATTTTTTGGAAAATGACATCCCATTAAAGAAAATCTGAAATGGTATATATAATTGCTTTTTGATTTTTTATTTGTAGGTGATGTGTACCATGAAATGCCTAACCTGTTGAACCTTTTTTATTTCTTAGAATTTGATTTGTTTGATATACTTATGTATTTTTTAATATTTTAATATATGATGGATATATATAAAGTGATATGTTGAAATAGTTTGTAGGGGATTTACTTGTTTATACTTTACATGTTTATTCTCTTAGGATGATTTATACCAGTCTTTTACTTAGATCTGACAGATTTTTTTTCATGAGATGAGATACTGATTTCTTGTTAATAATATTCTGTTCATAAGATATACTCCCTCCGTCCCCAAATATAAGGGTTTTTGTTTGGATGTTACACATTAGTAGGATGTGTCACATCCGGGCAAAAGCCCTTCTATTTTGAGATGGAGGGAGTAACTATATAAGATAAAATAAGACATGCTGTTGTTTACATTGAGCCATAATGAAGTACAGTCTTATATCTGTTTTGATCGTTTTTGTTTTCTCTAATCTTCAGTTCTGAAGACAAAGATAATTCCAGCTACCGTCTAGTTGGTGTTGTTGAGCACCTGGGCCTTTGCATGGATGCAGGGCATTTTGTTGCTTATGTGAGACCAAGTTGCCCGCAGCAGACCAATGGCTCTTCCTTATGGTTTTGTGCAAGTGATGCCGACATCAGAGAAGTCTCTTTAGAAGAAGTTCTCAAGTGCGAAGCTTACCTTCTTTTCTATGAGAGGATTGAAGGCTAAGATGTCTGGATCCTACAGAGTAGCAATCACAAAGGAAGCATATGTTATCAGATTAACAAGCATTCTTTGGACGACCAATGATTCAATTTTAATCAGTGTACATATACTGACGTAGGTTCGTGATCAAGTTGAATCTTGTTGCGTTGGCTTAGTCATTGCAGGACTCCAATTTGACCGCAACATGTACATACCAGTTGAGAGAATTCGGTTGTTCTTGACCAGCTGATATCCCTTTTTTGTCCATGAGTGTATTAATAATTTATTTGAAAACAAACGGCATAGTTGGACATTTTGCATTAGAGAATTTGAGCAAAATCATTATGTAGGCACATGGACAGGTTTTCTTCTTCTTTTTGAAGTAAGCAAAATCATTATGTAGGCACATGCACAGGTTTTTTTTCTTCTTTTTGAAGTAGAAGCACCGGTACAGTTTTGTCGATTGTTACTGTTACCTGTAATTAGTTTACACTAAAGTACTGTGGAAAATATCATTCGCCATGTTGAGTTTTGCCTCAATATTTTTTTATGGCAAAGAGACATTGTATGCAAGATGATTGAGATACACCTTGAGAATTTTGCATTCGTTGAAAAAAACAAACTAGAGACTTGAGCTGGTGATTGTTTAGCCATCGATATAGTTTTGTCGGATGATCTGTTATCTGCAATTGCTTTACAGTGCTGTGGAAAGTTCGAATAGTATATTATCCGCTTCACTTTGCCTCTATTTTTCTTGTGTCAAGGTGCAATTAAAACATGTCTTTTTAGCAAGTTGCCACCTGTGTTAGCCCTCCATCTCAAGAGAAATTTGGGGTCTCTTAATAAGTGAATGGGGCATTAATTTGCATAAAAGATCATATATTTTTGTTTGCAGCTGTACACGATGACGGTTGCATGTGTCCTTTTATCTACCATAGTAAAGAATAGTAGTACAAGATAAAAAGGACAATAAAGAAAACTGGAGGAGACAAGAGAGTGGATCTATCAAAAAAAAAAAAAAGTGCATTGCCACTCTCTTTCATCTCGAGGGGTGCTACCATGTTAGCTGCATGCATTTTCTATCTCATCCCTCTCTTCTCTCTAGTCTCTCCAAGTTCAGCATTGTCACTACAGCTGTGTCTTGCCACGCCTGACACGAGTCGACACACTGACACGCGTGTCTCGATAACACTGCTTCTGACCAGCACCTTCGTTGCTTGAAGCCTCATTAATTTTCTTCTTTGACTTCATCTCCAAGTACCATCGTTTTACCTGTCAGACAAGTATCAAATGACTTGTTCTTTATAAATTTTGCAAGTGTAAGAGAGCCTGGCATGAAATTGGTGAGTTAAGAGTACATTCTCAAGTCTACAACTTACTTTAGCGATGTGGGGTTGATTCTTAAGTGGAATGTAATTGCAATTCAAGTAAATTGGTTCCTCGTCCACCTGTTACATAGGAAAATAAGTTGATTGGAGAGTTTTATATCATTAGAGTTAAGGAAATCGTAGGGTATCCTAACCTCTTCCAGAATCCTCCACCTTGCTTTGGGGTAAGCATCTAATATATCTGTGTCTGTTTCCAGGATCAAAATGGATCCATCTTTCTGCGGTAGTGTCATCAACAATTTAAAGGGGGCAGCGTATTAAATAAAATATTGAAACAAAATATTTTCAAATAAAAAGATGGCCGGCATTATAGCTATAGGGTTAATACCTCGCGAATAAGATTGAATATGTCATCGCCCCGGTAAAGAATAGCATATTCATCCTTCCCTAATCCTTGGCATAAAGACTGATATCTGTGTAGTTGAGATGATAATGTATTAAATGAGTGAATTGCAGTGTTCATCAAATAAAATAAAAGTATAGTCCCTAGTGTCCAACATACCCATAACTTGTAAACTGATTCCTTGCAGCCAACAAATCTTGCAATAAGAAATCAAACATAACAAATAGTAAAATAAAAAAAAAATCAAATCATGGGATTTATTGAGTAAAATGTTTGATGATATTACAATCTTACTTTTGCTTGCATCCCTATCCCTCTGTGCAGCTTCAGAATTATCACTCCGAGCATCAAGGGATGAAATGTGTGATTCCAGGTCATCAGAAGAGAAGGACTTGACCGTCTCATAGATGTTATCCTCGGGATTAGCTACCCAACCATGCACCAATTCGATCCCCAGCACACAAATTAAGCTACGTCCAAAAGAATCCTTGAATGATGTGAAGCTGCAATGAAATATAGCACGGCATGAATCAAAACAATTAAAAAGAAATACAAAGATACAGAAGTAATGACAAGCAATCTACAGTAACTATTTGCACCTGTCAAGAACAGGATAGATCTGATGAGTATCTGCTGTAGAACGTATGAAACATTTCCAGATAAACTCACAGTTATACAGCTTTTCATGTTTTGATTTCTCGCTTTTTTCTATCTCACCAAGTACAAGTTTGAGATGTGCAATGATCGCGTCTTTCACCTCTCTCTCAGGCAGAAATTGGAGTTTTACTTCCGATGGTTTCACTGCGAGAGCTCTATTCAAAACTAAATGGTTATAGAGAGCAGTCCAAAGTGAATATCCCTTGTGGCAAATAATGCTAGTAAGCAAGTTCTCATGCTTGAACTGAACAACTCTATAGTGCAGTGTCTCATCAGAAGCCTGTTTCGTTTGCAATATTGCTTCCTGATTTGAGAGTTTTCCCTCACTTCCTGTTGGCTTCTGAATAGAAGCTTCATCCTTTGTTACATTTCTTGGAGCATATTCATTTCTTGAATTCAACTTCTCATAGTACCATAGTTTTGCCTGTCAGACAATAAGTATCAAATGACTTGTTATTTATAATTTTTTTAAGTGCAAGAGAGTTAGCATGAAATTGGTGAGTTGGGAGTACATTCTCAAGTCTACAACTTACTTTAGCGATGTGGGGTTGATTCTTAAGTGGAATGTATTTGCAATTCAAGTAAATTGGTTCCTCATCCGCCTGTTACATAGGAAAATTAGTAGATTGGAGAGTTTTGTATCATTAGAGTTAAGGAAGTTGTAGGATATCCTTATCTCTTCCAGAATCCTCCACCTTGCTTGGGGGTAAGCATCTAATATATTTGTCTGTTTCCAGGATCAAAATGGATCCATCTTTCTGCGGTAATATCATCAACAATTTAGAGGGACAGCTTATTAAAACAAAACGTCATCATATTTTCAAATAATAAGATGACCGACGTTATAGCTATCTATAGGGTTAATACCTCGCGAATAAGATTGAAGGTGTCACTCCCCCGATAAAGGATAGCATATTCATCCTTCAGTAATCCTTGGCACAAAGACTGATATCTGTGTAGTCCAGATGATAATGTATTAAATGAGTGAATTGCAGTGTTCATCAAATAAAAGTGTATAGTAGTCCCTAGTGAGACCAACATATATACCCATAACTTGTAATCTGATTCTTTGCACCCAATAAATCTTGCAATAAGAATAAACACAAAAATTAGTAGAACAAAAAAAAATCAAATCGTGGGATTTATTGAGTAACATGTTTGATGATACAATCTTACTTTTGCTTGCATCCCTATTCCTCTGTGCAGCTTCAGAATTATCATTCAGAGCATCAGAAATGTGTGACTCCAGATCATCGCAAGAGAAGGACCTGACCGTCTCATAGATGTTATCCTCGGGATTAGCTAACCAACCGTGCACCATTCGGATCTCCAGCAAACTAAATAAGTTGTGTCCACCATTTGTCTTGAACGATGTGATGCTAAAAAAAGAAAGAAAAAAATAGCACAACTTGAATCAAGACAATTAAAAGGAAATACAAAGACGACAAAATCTACAGAAACTGCATATATATCTGCACCTGTCAAGAGCTGGACAGATCTGAAGTCCACCTGGAAGAGCATGCACAAGACATTTGCATTCTTTCTCGGCCTCATACAGATAATCGAAATTTGAGCTCCAACCTTTTTCAAGATCTTTGATCTTATGTTCTACGAATGCGATGATGGAATATTTCACCTCTTGCTCAGTCACAAATCGGGGTGTTATCAGTGGTAAGGGAATCCACGTCAGTAGAGCGAAGTTATACAGAGCAATCGAACAAGAATACGCCTCGTGGCAAGCAAGGCCAACAGGCTTGCCCTCATTCTCGGATCGCACAAATCTATACCTTTCCATTTAGGCACTGAAAGCTTAGAATTATTATAATGTAGATTATTAGAAGTAAGCTGAAACAAACAGATAGTTTATTATAATAGATCATTACAATCTATAAGCCAAATTACTATAATCTGGTAATTAATCCACTCTAAAAATATTTTTTAGATTATTAGGTGGCTAAGAGCTATCTATCAGAGAAACAAGCAGCGAACATCTTATTCAATGTCGACTTATTATAATCCAGCTTACAGTAATATGTCTCAATAATCTATATTATTATAATCTTAAACCGAAATAAATGGGGCATTAGTTTTCTCGGATCCAAATCTACATATAAACATATATATAAACACACACACACATATATATATATAGGATACCCATATGGGACTCCATGGTGCCTAGGCTCCAAGGTATAAAACACACAAATTCTCTCAAATTTTTAAAAATGTTCAAATTGTGAGTATATACCTAGGTATATGAATTTGATTCATACAAATACCTAACAACAAAACAACTCAAACTCAACTTTATTTCACAATTCATTATTACATACCTAACTAATTATATGTTTGGATATTATATACTTAGAACCAAAATCTAACAAAAAGAAAGTTCAAACTTGAACTTGTTAGTAAAGAAGTTAATGTTTATATCTAAATATTTTAAAAAATTTCATACCCATTAAAATTGGGTATATACTCAATTTGAATCTTGGAGCATGCATATTCATGTAGCACCAGTTAATTTACCTCTTTCTCTCTCTCTCTCTCTCTATATATATATATATATATAGGATCTAGGATTCGAAATCACATCGAGAGAAAAGAGAGGGAGAGAGAGGAAAGAAAGAGAGAATCGGCATCAGCTAGGGTTTAGAAAGAATTGGAGACCATCATAACAGAGGCCGATCTAAAGGGGCGAGAAAGATGGATATATACATACCAGGATTTGGAGACGGGGGCGGAGCTTGGATGATGACCGGCCGCCGCTCAAATCTCCGACGCGGCAAGATGCTGAGCTGCTCGCGGCGGGGGGTTTAGGGTTTAAGAGTTTGAGTTTGCCGGCTTAGCGAAAGAATGCTAATTAACGACGGGTTTAATTAGGGTTTTGATCAGTGGCGGCGAGTGTGAGATATATATACGTATCGCTTTTCAGCGGGGCAGCCGCGCACTGGCCCCCCAAAATGGTGGGGCCCTCCACCTACCCCTCTGTGATTAGGGATGCGATCATGCAATTAGACTAGAGATTAGCGCTACGCTGTACGCAAAAGCCAAAGGCAACAGCACGTGTAGATAACTATATTATTCCTGATTCCAGCTGATCCCGATTTCTTATCTCTTCTCTGCAAGGGCTTCTAGCTAGCTGATTGGCAATTTTAGTGTTGTTGATTGCTTTCTTCTAGTAATATATTAACATTAACGTGCAATCCTCTTGGTGCTTGAGAAAAGAAAATATTTGTTTGGATTAATCGGTGCTAATAATTTAAGTTGTATAATCTATATGAGTTCGAACACTAATACATTATTTTTACAATTCTTAGTCCATTCTTCACATTATGTCGCCTCGAAAATAAATGATTAAATGAGAAGGAATCGTTAGATGTTTTTATGAAAAGCGAATTGCTAGATGAGATTACTATCACCAATGAATTCGCGTCTAAAAATATCTCAAGAAATTTGCAATGAAATATTTGTGAGGTTCTTCATATAAATATTGCTTTTGGATGAACTTTAAATATTTACAAGCAATATATTCATATATGTATATCTATATTATTTATTTTTTGTATGTGATATTAAGGGCCCCGTTTATAGTTTCGCCCTGGGCCACCAAAATCTCAGGGCCGGCCCTGGCTTTTCTACGGTGCCGGATTAAGATTGGGCCTATTTAATGGCCGTATTTATTCAAAACTAATGGACGTGCCAACGCGTGGGTTTTACTCCCTACTTCCCAAATTGATCATCATATAATAAAATTCAAAATTTCTCAAATTGATCATCATATAACCGCATGGACACGTATTTTATCATAATATAATTAATACAGCATGGGAGAATGTGTGCATGCTAAGATGTAATTGGCATGTTGTTTTAATCGATGCATGCATTGTGAGAGAATGTGTGCATGATGTCTTGATTGATGTGATTTAAATTATCCTTGGTCTTGGTGCATAAATATATATGATGATCAATTTGGAAAGGATGGAGTATTTGCTATTTAGTGCTTCCTAAATAGTGAATGAATGAAGACTATTATTACTACTAGTTCTAACAAAAAAAAGAGTAAAGACTATTTAATGGTTTTCTAAATTTAACGACTAGTAATAGTATGATCATATAGTGTCGATTAACTTTAATGAACAAATAATATAATCTAGTCGTAGAGAAATCTTTTGAGTATTGTTTATTATTTAATTTCGTATGAAAAGCTAGGAGAAAGACTGATTATGCATTTGTTTTATTTTTCTTATTATTCGTATTTAATTGACGGTGATGGCGGCGGTGGGTTCCGGCTGCCGACCTCTCCCTCGAGCTCGCCGTACCGACGCACGTCGCGAAGCTCTCGCCGTGTCCCCACATGTCTCGTTCTTCGACCAGACACATATAGAGTACGGAGAGATGGGAAAGAAAGGGGAGAGATGGGGAGAGGTAGAACCGTGGAAGCCCACTTACTTGTGAATCTTTTTATTTTATTGACTAGGATGCTATGTTAGCTAAAATAGACATCGATACTATTTTAGGACCTGACTCACTGTTTTGAAATGATCAATCGATTTCCGGTATTGTGGTTTAGCGACATCAATTAAACTCGATGTAAAGACGAGGGACATAAGTGGGCCTTATTCCAAACGAAAAGTATTGGAAAAGCACGGCCGCTAGGCCTCCAGTTCATGCACGGCCCAACTCTTGGCCCATCATCCATGCTTATGAGCCCATACCAGCCCACCCACGTTTGGCCCATCCGTATAAGCCCAGGCAAAGTAGCAACCGCCTCCTCTCTCCTTCACCTCAACTCGCTCCGGCCAGCGAAGCCGCTTCTTCTTCTTCCTCCAAAAACCTCTCGTGATCTCGTCGGCGTTGTCGTCGCGGGCGCCGCAGCGTCGATGACTCGTCGCCGATCGCGCCCTCGCCGATTCGGAGCCATCCCCGCGTATTCCGGTGAGTCCCCCCTCGCGCGTTTTCTCCCAGCAATCCCCCACCCGCTGATCGCTTCGGTTTTGGTTTGGTCGCTCCTCGCCGGAAATGCCCGATTTCTCGTTCTTGTCTCTCATCCCTAATCCGCGCGGTGGGCTAGGGTTTATTACCGGATTCTTGCAATTTTTTTTTATTTTCTGGTGGTTCTTCGCTTGTTCCGTAATCCCCGCGCACAGCATTTGGGGGGGATTTTATTGACGGATTCGTGCTGATTTCTTGTGGTTGTTTCGGTTCCAGGCGCGATGGAAGAGGAGAAGAGGGCAAGGGCGGCGGAAAGGGATAGGGCTATCGTCAGGAGCCCGCGGAAAGGGAAAGCCCCGCGGATCGAGCCGCTGGATGCGGATGATTCTGGATGGGGCGGCGATGCCTCGCTGGAGGTGTACAGGGAGGCCGCGGCGGTGGCAACCAGAGGCGGCGCCGGCGGCGGCGGCGAGCGGTGCGAGCACATGACCTGCAGCGAGCATGACGTTGCGGAAATCGTGTCCAAGATTGCGTCCTGGGGCGACCCGGTGTGCCAGGATGAAACCTGTATGTGCACCGAGAGGCACCTCATGATGGTGTGCGTGGAATGCGATATGCATTTCTGCATTGGAAGGTTTGCCAAGAAGTCTAAGCCGCGAGGACACATCGAGGAGCATGCGTTCGACGATGGGCATCCGGTTGCGCTGTGGTACGAAGATCCGTATACTGGTTACTGCTTTGAGTGTGAGGATCCCTTGACCATTGGTGGTGAGGAGGGTGATAAGGGAATGAAGGTCAAAGGCGAGGAAGGCTGTCGCGCATCTGGGTCTGATAGTGGGCATGGCTGTGTCATCGGCGCATCTGGGTCTGGTAGTGGGCATGGCTGTGCCATCAGAGGGATACCGAATTTTGGAAACACTTGCTACTTGAATGCGGTGTTGCAGTGCCTCCTTGTGCTTGGAAAGCTGCGGGCAAGGATGTCTGGACCGGACGCTCCGCCTCCATCGGGGATGCTTGGTATAATACTGCATGATCTCTTTGTTGCTACAGAAAGTGTGAGCTATACACGAGACCTGCTGGACCCAGTGATGCTCTTGGGTTGTGTGCGCCACTATAAATCAGAGTTCCAAGGCAATACTATGCAAGACAGCCATGAATTGCTTTGCTGTTTGCGTGATAGTTTGATTGAGGAGGAAAGTAAAACGAGGCCTGATAACATGCAACAGGATGCTCCTAGTGCTGTGGTTCCTACAGTTATTGATTCCATATTTCGTGGTCAGCTGTTTGTTACCACTCTGTGCAAATATTGCTCATTTGAGTCAGTTTCACAGGGTTCACAGGATGCATTCTATGATCTCTGTGTGGCATTACCACTACAGAATGAAAGATGCATATCTCAACAGAAGATTGCCATCGAACAATTTCCAACAATTGACAAGACTAACACCGAAAAGATTCATGCAATTTCTGGAGGCAGTGATCCTCAGGTTCCCGCTTCAGAATTGGGAGATATGGTCATGGTGAAAACATCAGAGCCTTTGGTAGTTGGTAAGTTTATGTGTTCCTGTACCTAACTAAATAAAGGAAAATGATGTTGAACAGGCCTGAAAACGTGCGTGTGAATTGGAAGACGGAACATTTTGTTGATGGTTGCGGCAAACTGTGATACTACCACTATTGTTTGTTATTTTGTTGCTCAACATGAGAAAAAGGATATTTTAGGAGCAGCACTCTTTTGGTAGCTAAATAGAGAAAATTGCTTAAGGTATGATTCATGCATGGACTGCAGAAATACCAGAACCTTCAGAATGTCAGCATTATACAAACAGGATGTTCCAGCAGTTTCAGCATGGCAAACAGTTTGCTACAGTGTTTCATCAATAGCTCAGGGTGTTGAATCCTTGTCATATAATTAATTTTACTCCGAATTGTTGGTTAGCTTAAGTACATGCAGAGATCCTTGAAGAAAATAGTCTTTCAAATAATCAAATGTAGGGGATAAAGATTCTCAAACCATGTAGAGAACAATGGTTGCTGGTTTCATGAAGTTATTGATGAGGAGAATACCTAAAACTTATATGCTTGATTCTGCAGATTCTAACCCATTGGACCAGATCGCACAAAGCAAGGATGATGTACATTGTCCTTTGCAGAGTCCAATAAGGAAGGAGAATGTGCTGATAACATCAGACCGTGAATTAGAGAGAACTAAGAGTGCTATTCTTGATAGCATCAAGCCAGAAGATAGTATAGAAGCCAAGATGGACACTTTGTCAGGAGAAGTTACTACAGAAGACAAGGGGAAAGATCGAAATTGTGATGTAGTTTATGATGAGGCAGATGATATCAACTCTCTTGCGTCAATTGAGGAGTTATTGGGATTGCATTTCAAAGAGATGGTAGAAAAGAGGTGTGAGAACTGTTCCAATGTCGCTCAGAAGGCAAGCCCTATAAGTGGTAAAGATGGTGAACAGACGGTGGCATGTACCAATGTGAATAGGACAGTTGATGGAGACCAGGCTGAACAGTCAGAGAGGAAAACATGCCAAAGTGAGCAATCTAGCGATTTGGTCAGATTGGATGGGGAATGCAGTTCTTCAAGTAGGCAGCCACATGTTGCTGATGCACAGCATCAAGTTATGCCAACAGAGGACACTATGACCAAAGGAGACATTTCAGGGATGAGTCACGGTGAAAAAGACTCATCCTCTTTCAGCATAGTCAATCAAAAACCTGAATGTCTTGAGTGTGCCCAAGAAGATGTACCTGACTGCCATCTAGGTGAGAAGCCAGTCAACCTGTCGAGTGGCCAGTGCCAAAATGCCAACACTGAAGATCAGGGAAGGAGGAAGCAAGTAAATCTACACCAAGTGGAAGAAAACCAATATGATCAGCAAGATAGGAACGAAGGTGCGATTAAGACATCTCTTATTAGCAAGCTGCCACCTGTGTTAGTCATCCAGCTCAAGAGAAATACGGGGCCTATTAAAGTGAGGCGACACGTGAGCTTCAAGGAGATCCTTGATGTGGGACTGTTCCTGCACCCCAGGTACTGAGTAATTTAGTCTGTCCTTTTTTGTTGCACTCTTGTTATGAGCATGTGGGCTACCGTATACTGTGTGCGCATTTGTTTTTGTTTATCGAATTGAACCAGAAAAGCAAAACAAGCATGCAGCCATCGATATGTAAAAATGAATTTACCTGGCATGGTGACTTGGTGAGCTAGTTTTGTTTAGTATAGAAACAGGTTACGACTTAGGATAGCATTGCTTTAGTTTCTTTCTGGCAGGCTAAAGGAACAAAAACAAAAGAAACCTTATCATTGAAACATTTTTTTGGAGGAGCTCCGTAATGTGTGTTGGCTGTTGAGGCAAGTTAACTGTAATAGTGTGTGAACAGACATTCTAAAGCTGCCGCAGATGAAACTGCATCCCCTCCAACATGGGCCTTGTGTATATTATGCTCTTTCTAACCCTTTAGAATCAGGCTACATCCATAGAGTAACTCTAGAGTAACCCTTGTGGTTATCCTCCTTTTTATTTTATTTTCTTTTTTTTTATGAAAATGACATCCCGTTAAAAATATCCGAGTTAGTATGTATGATTGCTTTTTGCTTTTCTATTTGTAGGTGATGTGTACCTTGAAATGCCTAACCTGCCAACCTTTTTTATTTCTTAAAATATGACTTGTTTGATATATTTGTGTTTTTTTAATATTTTTAGTACATGTTGGGTATGTATAAATAGTTTTCAGATGATTTTTTTTATTTTTTAAAACTTTACATTGTTATTCGCTTAGGATGATTTATACTACTCCCTCCATTCCAAATTGATCTACATATAGTTTTTTTTGAGGTTATTCCTAAATGATTTACATATTTGTGTTTATTTATTAAGTCTATTCGTTATTTGTGCATTGGAGTAAATAGACATTGATGCATGCATCCATGCACACAAGTATTTATAACCCACATGTAATATCTTGATTTGCTATTGGCTAGGAAATATTGGGAATGGTGCATGCATAGAGTTTGTTGCTAGAATAAATATAGTATGAGAGAGTTATTAGCTTTTCTTGGTCTTGGTGTACCTATGAAATATGTAGATCAATTTGGAATTGAGGGAGTAGTATTTTACTTAAACTGATATATTTTTTGTGAGATGAGATAGATATTTCTTGTTAACAATATCCTGTTCATAAGATATGTATTAAATAATATCAAGAAATTCATGATGTTGTTTACATAGAGCTATAATGAGTTACAGCCTTACATCTGCTTTGGTCCTTTTTTGTTTCCTCTAATCTTCAGTTCTGAGGACAAAGATAATTCCAGCTATCGTCTAGTTGGTGTTGTTGAGCACCTGGGCCATAGCATGTATTCAGGGCATTATGTTGCTTATGTGAGACCAAGTCCTCCGCAGCAGACTAATGGCTCTTCCTCATGGTTTTGGGCAAGTGACACCGACATCAGAGAAGTCTCTTTAGAAGAAGTACTAAAGTGCGAGGCTTACATTCTTTTCTATGAGCGGATGGAAGGCTAAGATGCCTGGAATTCAGCTAATCCGAATAGCAATCACAAAGGAAGCAGATATGTCAGATTGTCAAGCATTCTTTAGACGGCCAACGATCCAATTTAATCAGTGTAGTATGTAGATACCAACGTAGGCTCGTGATCTAGTTGAATTTTGTTGCTTTGGCCTTTGGCTGAGTCAGTGCAGGACTTCAATTCGACCGCAACATGTACATACCAATTGAGAAATTTCGGTTATTCTTGACCAACTGATCGTATCCATTTTTTTTGGTCCATGAGGAATGGATAATTAGGAATTCATTTAGAAAAAAAAAACAGCATAGTAGGACATGTGCCATTAGAGAATTGACCGAGGTGATTGTATAGGCATTGGTACAGTTCAGTTACTGTACATCTGTTGGATGGTACTCCCTCCTCTAAATGTTTGACGCCGTTGACTTTTTTAAACATGTTTGACCGTTCGTCTTATTCAAAAACTTTTGTGAAATGTATAAAACTATATGTATAATTAAAAGTATATTTAACAATAAATCAAATGATAGGAAAAGAATTAATAATTACTTAAATTTTTTGAATAAGACGAACGGTCAAACATTTTTAAAAAAGTCAACGGCGTTAAACATTTTGGGATGGAGGGAGTACTATTTTGAAATTGCTTTACAGTACCATGGAAATTTTTCGAACATAATGTTTGAAACTTTCAGCTTTGCCTGTATATTTTTCTGGTGGCAAGATGATTGAGATATACACCTTGAAGTATCAATCTAAAGAGCTTTTTTTCTGTCAAAAAATTCTAAAGAGCTTTTTTCTTTCTTTCTTCCATTGCTTTCCTGTATGGACCGTGTTATAACATGCAATGAGATCCTACTTCTTTGAGCCTCTTGCTTTCAATGTTCTGCATGGATGATGATAAGTGTATAAATTGCTTGCAATTATCCACATGTGTTTTTGTTGGCAACATTTTTCTCCGGGACCTGCCAATTTCCAGCGAGCAAGTTTGCCTACATATGATGGGTAAAGAAATAAAAATCATCAAAAAAGCGAAAAACTAGAACAAGTTGATCTAGGAAGAACACAAGAACGAAAATAGCTTTCTGAGAAGAACGGCCACTGCCCGGTAGGACTCTTGTTTATTTACGGCCCATTTACCAGTCGGCCACCCTCATGGGCCCATTACGGCCCATCCAAACAGGGCCGGGTTAAGTAGCAAAGCACGCGCACCATCTCCGCCTCTCTCTCTTCGCACGCGCGCTTCTTCCCCAACCTCTCTCTCTCTCTCTCTCTCTCTCCTCCCACCCACCTCGGCGGCTCGGCCTCGGCGTCGCGGGACGCCGCGGCTCGCGGGGCGATCGATTCGGGGTCCTCCTCGCGTTTCCCGGTGAGTTCTCCCCTCCATTTCTTCCCCAAATCCCGCTGTTCTTCGCCGCCGCGGGGTTGATCGCTCGGTTTGGTGGTGGGTGGTGGTGGTGTGGGAGGGTGGGGGTGGGGGGTTTTGCTTGGTGCCGGAATCCGCGGCGGCGCCGCCGCGTTCGTGGTTCGTCGCCGGGAATGTTGTGATCTCTCTGGGTTTGCCTGGCCCCGCTTGTTGAGCCTGGCTAACTAGAGTTCGTGGCGTGGTTTTGTGGTTGGGTTGGATTGGTCGTCGCGCCTAACGGCCAACCTGTTTGATGATTTGCTTGCCTTGTTTAGCCCTTCTCGGTTCATCCCTTGTTCGTACTGTTCTTCGTCTAGCTTGTTTGATTTGATGGGAATTTATGGATTCACTCGATCGGTTGGTGGTTTTGCGGTACCCGTATCCGCGGCGGCCGCTGTTCGTGGTCCTCGCCGGAATTTGGTCGGTTTCGCCTTGTCCTATTAGTAGAGATCTCTTGGTTTTCCGCTTCGTTTAGCTTTCATGGTTCACCGCCATAGTCCGTACAATTCATGGAACCCTCGCCTTTCGGTCAATTTCACCGCCATAGTCCGCTGTCTTCTTAAGGCTCCTTGGATGGTTCATCCCTGGTAGCAGCAGCAGCAGCAGCAGTAGTAGCAGTTCGTATTCTTCTTCGTATATCTTGTTTGATTCTTTGGGGATTTATGGATTCGCATGTTTCAGGTCTTGCGCCCCAGGCGTGATGGAAGAGGAGAAGAGCGCGATGGAGACAGGAAAGGGGATGAGCCCGCAGTATGCGGTGGCGCCCGAATCTGGATGCGGCGACACTGCGCCGCCGGATGAGGTGAGCAGCCCGGAACAGAAGGCGGCGGCGGCGTCGACCAGCAACACCGAGGGGAGGGTATGCCCCCACTTCGACCCTTTCCAGGACGGCGTGCTCAAGTTCATCTCGGAGCTCAGGTCCTACTCCTACGATTGCGCCCCGAGGTGTGACCATTACCTGTGCGAGAACAAGGTGGAAAAGAGCAGTATCCTGGTTTGCATCGACTGCGACTTGCATTTCTGCATTGGGGACGGGACCATGAACAAGCCGCAGGGACATGCCCGGTGGCATGCCGATCTGGAGGAGCATTGTGTTGGTGCTTTGCTCGGTGAGCCGGAAACTCTGTACTTCTTCATCTGTGAACGTCTTCTGGACTTGGATGTCAGCAACATGCAGCGTGGAGACTTCTCATGTGGCAAGGAAGAAATTGATAGGATCGAGTCAGATGTCAGCTCCTCCAAGAATGCTGTCGTGTGCCATCATCATTCGTTTGACACGGAGAACATTGTTATCATCAAGGATTTCGTTGAATCTGAAAAGGGTGACCCAATGTGTGATAATGAAACGTGCCTAACCACCGGGGAGCACCACATGATGGTGTGCTCAGAATGCAAAGGGTATTTCTGCATTGAGCCAGCCACCAAGGCTAAGCCGCAAGGGCACATCCGGGAGCATGCATTGCTTCAGGAGCATTGGGTTGCAGTGTGGCACAATGATCTGTATGTTGGTTACTGCTTTGAATGTGAAGATTCCTTGGTCATAGGTGGTGAGGAGGGCAAGGAGGGATTGGCAGTCAACGCAGAGGCAGGTTCTCATGCATCTGGGTCTTCTGACGGGCATGGCTGTGTTATCAGAGGGATATCGAATCAAGGAAACACTTGCTTGAATGCATTGTTGCGGTGCCTCCTTGTTCTTGGAAAGCTGCGGGCAAGGATGTTTGGACCGAATGCTCCATTGGGGATCCTTGGTACAATACTGCGTGGTCTCTTTGTTGATGCAAACAGCGTGAGGCATGCACCAGGCCCGCTGAACCGGGCGTTGCTCTTGGCTTGTGTACGAAGGTTCGACTCATGGTTGATAGGCACTTCAATTCATGACAGCCATGAATTACTTTGCTGTTTGCGCAATAGATTGAATGAGGAGGATAAGATAATAAGGCCTCCAAACAAGCAACAGGGTGCTCCTAGTTCTGTGGCTCCTACCGTCATTGATTCCATATTTGGTAGTGAGCTGTCTGTTACCACCTCTTGCAAACGTTGCTCGTTTAAGTCTTATTCCTGTGATGTATTCTATGATCTCTCAGTGCCATTGCCACCAAAGGGTGCTCCATCCAATAGTGTTGCATCACCACCACAGAATGAAAGACCTATATCTCAATGTAAGATTTGTGTACTTTCTGAAGGCGGTGATTCTCAGATTCCTGCTTCAGAATTGGAAGATACAGTCATGGTGAAAACATCAGATCCTTTGGAAGTTGGTAAGTTTATGTGCTTGTGTGCCTAACTAAAGGAAATGAAAGTGATTTAAGCAGGGCTCCAAACTTGCATGGTGTATCAGAAAATGGAACTTTTCGTGAATGAATCAAACTGTGATAGCAGCACTATTATCTGTTATTGTTTTGCTCAGCATTGGAAAATGGTAACTATCAGAGCAGGGTCTTGTACTAGCTAAATAGAGAAAATGTCTAAGGATTTGATTCATATATTAATTGCAGAAACAACAAAACCTTCAGGATATCTACACAAACGTATTAAACAAACATGATAGTTCAGCAGATTTAACTTGGCAAAGCTCTGTAGCAGTTACTATTGCCACTGGAAGATATCTCAGAGTGTTGAGTCCTCCTTGTCCTCATCTAATAAAATTTTCTCCATATTGTTGGTTAACTTAAGTACATGCTGAGGTCCTTGAAGAAAAGAAGCTCCTAATTATCAAATGTAGCGGATACATATTCTGAAACCATGTAGAGAATGATGAGTACTGGTTTCGTGAAGTTGCTGATGAGGACATAACTAAAAATTATATGCTTTATTTTGCAGATTCTAATAAATTGGAACAGATCGTGCAAAGCAAGGACGCTGTACATTGTCCTTTGCAGTCCCCAACAATGAAAGAGAATACATGGATAGCATCAGTCAGTGATGTAGAGAAAACTGACACTGCTGTTCTTGATAATGCGTTCAGTGGGCTAAAAGTTAGTACAGAAGCCAAGATGGTCATTTCCTCAGCAGAAATTAATTCAGAAAACAAGGGGAAAGCTCGAAGTCTTGATATTATTTATGATGAGGCAGAGGATATCAACTCTCTTGTGTCAATTGAGGAGTGCTTGAAGTTGCATATTGAATCAGAGATGATAGAGTGGACCTGTGAGAACTGTTCCAAGGTTGCCCAGAAGGCAAGCACTATAAGTGGTAAAGACGGTGAACAGATGATGGCAAGTACCAATGTGAATAGGACGGTTTATGGAGACCAGGCTGAACAGTCAGACAGGAAAACATGCCAAAGGGAGCTATCTAGCGATTTGATCAGACTTTCTGTAGAATGCAGTTCTTCAAGTAGCCAGCCACATGGTTCTGGTGTACAAAATCATGATATGCCTGCAGTGGACATAAAAACTTGTGGAGAGACTTCAGGGATGAGCTCTGTTGAAAAAGACTCGTCCTCTTGCAGCATAGCCAATAAAAAACCTGAATGCCTTGGAGGTGCTCAAGAAGATGCATCTAGCTGCCGTCTGACTGAGAAGCAGGCCAACCTGTTGAGTGTCCAGTGTCAAAATATCAGCATAGAAGATCAGGAAAGGGGGAATCAAGTAAATCTGGGTCATAATGCACACCAACTGGAAGAAAACCAATATGATCAGCAAGATAGGAATGAAGGTGCGATTCTAACATGTCTTATTAGCAAGCTGCCACCCGTATTAGTCATTCAACTCAACAGATCTTTGGGGCCTCTTAAAGTGAGTGGACATGTGAGCTTTAAGGAGATCCTTGATGTGGAGCCATTCATGGACCCCAGGTACTGAGTAATTTTGTCTGTTTATTTTTTTTTCTGTGACCTTTTTAAGAGTTTGTGGATCACTGTATACTGTATGTACTTTTATTTATTGTTTTTCCAATTGAACCGGTAAGGCAAAATAAGCATGCTTCCTGTAGCCATGTTAAAATGATTTTTCCTGGCACTGTGAGCTAGTTTTCTTAGGTGTAGAAACAGGTTGCGACTTAGGATAGCACTGGCCTTGTTTCTTTCTTGCAGACTAGCATGATTTAGGTTACAGAATTAGAAACTAACAGAACTCATTTTCCAGTCATCATGGAGCCATTTGTTTTAGAGAGCTTTGTAATTAGTTTTGATGCAAGTGGACTGAATTGCTTGGCTTTATAGTGAGTGAATAGGCATTCTAAAGATGCTACAGATGAAACTGCATCCCCTCGGGCCTTGTGTGTTATGCTTTTTCTAACCCTTTAGAGTCAGGTTACATCTTTAGAGTAACTCTTGGTTTGTTTATATGAAATCACCCATCATGGCTGCCAAACTCAATTCGTTGTAGCAGTTTATAATTGACCACTGTGGCATACCATTAGAAATAATCTGAACTAGTATATGATTGCTTTCTGCTTTTCTATTTTAGGTGATGCGTACCTTGAATCCAACTTGTTTGATATATTTTCATGGTTTTTAAGTGCAAGTGCTATGATGGATATTTTTTTAGATAAAGGAAGCTTTTAACTACCATGGATATATGTGAATCTATATCCAATGTTCTGTTTAAATAGCTGGTCGATGTTTAAACACATTACATGGTTATTCATTCAACATGATCTATACCAGTCTTTCACTCATATCTAATAGAGGTGTATTTTTTAGATAAGGTATAGATTTCTTTTTAACAATATTCAGTTCCTAAGATATAAGATCAACAAAGACAAGTTGTTGACATCAACCTATGATGAGTTAGTTCCTTGTATCTGGTTTGATAGTATTTTTTTAACTTTCTCTAATCTTCAGTTCTGAGGACAAATTCAGTTCCCGCTATCGTTTAGTTGGTGTCATTGAGAACCGTGGCCTCAGCATTCATATTGGGCAGTGCGTTGCTTATGTGAGAGCAAACAATCAGCAGCAGGGCAGTGGCTCTTCCTCATGGTATTGTGCAACCGATGACGACATCAAAGAAATCTCTTTAGAAGAAGTTCTCAAGTGCGAGGCTTACCTTCTTTTCTATGAGAGAATGGGCTGCTAAGACTGTAAGACATGTCTTGAATTCTATACACACCAAAGAATCCGAAGAGCAATCACAAATGAAGCAGATATTTGAGAGTATCAAGGTTTATTTGGATGGACAGTGACCCAATCATTGTATATACTGACGTGGGTTCGTGATCAGGTCCAGTTTTGTCGTTGTGGCTGAATGATATTTAGTCCTTGCAGGGCTTTGCCAACATGTACGTACCTAGTTGGGGATATTAGCTGGTGTTCTTGATCATTTGATCTGGTTACAGTCATTCACATTCTTTTTTTTCCTTTGTCCATGAGGAATATATTAGGGTTTTTTTGAACGAAAAAGAAAAACTTAAAAACAAAGCAGGAGTAATGAAGTGAGAAAGTTGTGTATATCATATCAGCATTGGTACGGTTCTGTGAGATTGTACTTCTAAGTGCGCACACTCTGTGAGATCGTACTTGATTCGATGAGCTTTACTCCAGATTTTTTTCTTCTGTGATGGACAATCTATACCACTGTTATATGCTGCAACATGATTCAGAATTTCAGATACTGCATTGCCAACCTACTGCCTTTTGACTCTCTGGGTAAAGATCATGGCTTGCTAAAGTGGTGTCGGATGATGGATGAAACTGAGTTCTTGATAATAATTGAGGACATGGACGGTTAAATTAACCGTTAAAACTTAAAAGTTGAAAAAGTCGATTTAAATAATATTCTAAAAAATGTTGATAGAGAAAGTTATTACAAAAAAATGCACCATCGTTGATTGAAAAGAACAATACCTTGTGCATTATTTTTTCCAGTGCTCAACAGCTCTGTATCTTGATCTGTGTGGTCGATGTTGAACGGTTGATGGATTTGCTCCTGTAAACAAGAAAGGGCAGGAGGCTTGCCTCAGCTCTCATATAATTATAAAATTATAAGGAGCAGTATAGTAGTAATAAAAGCAGGAGCAAACTTTATTGGCAAAAAGTATAGAAAGAAGAGGAGAAGGTAGATTTATTCAGAGAGCACATTGGAGGGTTGACGCCTACTGGGCCGGGCCTTGATTTCCTTTCCCCTGGGCCCTGGCTATTCACGCCCCATCAAGGCAGAAAGATGCATTCACACGACACGCCCGCTTACGCGCTACGCCTCCCAACTCCAAAGCCCATCACCACGCCAAGTAACCGCCCAACGCCACCCTCTCCACCAAACCAGCTCTCCCTCCCTCCCTCCCTCGGTCCCTCCCCTTCTCCTCTCCAACTCCTCCTCGACCTCGTCGTCGCGAGACGCCCGCGGCTCGCGCGCCCGATCGATTCGGCGCCCTCCTCGCGTCTTCCCGGTGAGATTTCCCCTCCATTTCTCCCCCCAAATCCCCCTGTTCGTCGCCGACGCGGGGTTGATCGCTCTGTTTTTTGTTGTTGTTGGTTGTGGTTGGGGTGGTGGTGGTGGTGGTGGTGGTAGTGGGGGTAGGGGTTGGGGTTGGGGTTTTGCTTGGTGCTGGAATCCGCCGCGTTCGTGGTTCCTCGCCGGAATTTCCGTGGTTTCCCCGCTTGTGGAGCTCTCGTGGTTTGCCCTAGCCTGAGTACGGGTTCGTGCGTGGCGTGGTTTGTTGTTGGAGTTGGATTTTGGTCGTCCCTCGCCTAACGGCGGCCAACCTGTTTGATGATTTGCTTGTTCCGTTTAGCCTTGTTGTTTCATGCTTGGTTTGTGCTGTTTTTTTCGTATGGCTTTGTTTGATTCGATGGGGATTTTATGGATTAACTCGATTCTTTCTTGTTGTTCTTGCGTCCCCAGGCGTGATGGACGACGACAAGGCGAGCAAGGGGAGGCCGCTCAAATCCCCCCGCAAGGACCTGGACCCGCTGGCTGCGGCCACGCCCGATCCCGGATGCGGCGAGACGGCTCCGCCGGAGGTGAGCAAGCCTAAGGAGAAGGCGGCGGCGCCGACCAGCAACACCGAGGAAGGGTTATGCCCCCACTTAGAACGTTTCGAGGAAGACATGGCAATGTTCGTATCAAGGCTCATGGCCTCCAAGTTCACCCCGAGTTGTCAGCGTCTCATGTGCGATAGCAAGGTGGACAAGAGCAGTATCATGGTGTGCATCGACTGCAGCTTGCCTTTCTGCATTGGGGACGGGACCATGAACAAGCCGCAGGGACACGCCCAGGAACACGCCCAATTCTACGCTCATCTGGAGAAGCATTGTGTTGCTGCGTTGTTCAGTAAACCGGATACTCTGTACTGCTTCATTTGTGAACGTTGTCTGAACTTGGAGATGAGTGACATGGAGGCAGAAAGTGACAGCAGCAGCGACCAAGTGGGATGCGAACACTTTGTATTGGATGAGGAAGAAATCACTCTGATCGTGTCAGAGATCTTCGCCTCCAAGAACGTTCCGGCGTGCCAACATCCCGGGTGTACGATCACTGGGAATACCCATATCATGGTTTGCACAGGATGCAACAAGCATTTCTGCACTAGAGCTGAGGCCATGAAAAAACCGTATGGACATGCCCGTCTGCATGCCCAGAAGTGTGAACACCATTGGGTTGGTTTGTGGTACAGTAATCCATATATGGGGTACTGCTTCAAATGTGAATTCGAATGGATCCTAGGTGCACCGAATGCTGAGAGGGGGATGGTGTTTGGCAAGGAGGCATTTGATCAAGAATCTGGATTAGCAAAGAGGCATGGCTGTGTTATCAGAGGGATTCCGAATCTTGGGAACACTTGCTACGTGAATGCGTTATTGCAGTGCCTCTTTGTGCTTGAAAAACTGCGGGCAAGGATGTTAGCATCAGATGCTCCTTCTGGGTTCGTGGGTAGCGCACTAAAAGAGCTCTTTCAGGAGGTAAACAGTGTGAATAATGCACAACGCCCACTGAACCCGACGAAGTTCTTGGATCGTGTTCGTATGTTGAATGCACAATTTGCAGGCAGTGATATGGAAGATAGCTATGAATTGCTTTGCTTTGTACAGAATCAATTGGAAAAGGAGGAGAAGTCAATGATTCCTGCAGTGTCTACTACAGTTGTTGATTCCATTTTTCGTGTTCAGCTATCTGCTACCATATCCTGCAGGCGTTGCTCATATAATTCAGTTTCTCATGAAGTAATGTATGATCTATCAGTTCCACTGCCATCAAGGAACATAAGTTGCATGTCTCGAGAGAAGATTGGTATCAAACTATTCCCAAAGGTTGACATGAGTAACACCGAAATTGTTCATGCAATTGCTGAAGGACGTGATTCTCATATCACTGGTTTAGATCTGGGAGATGTGGACAAAGAAAAACCATCTGAGCCTTTGGAAGTTGGTAAGTTCATGCATCCTGTTTCTAAATAAAAGAAGAGAGAACATTTTTAAACAGATATGCAGGTATAGAGGATTGTGCAGACCATATACATCTTTTGAGGATTGAATGCAAGAAACTAAGGAATATTGTAATCACACCACCATTATTTTTCTCATCATAAAGAGAAAACATACATTTTTTTTGGAATGGATCCCCAATTCTAGTTAGACAGAAAAAGTTGTGAGGGCTTGCTAAACACATGGAGTGAAGAAATATATGGAAAACCTTCAGGATGGCTACATAAAAGAAGCATGACGTTTGAGCAGTGTTAGCATGGAAGAGTTGTTTGTCGTAGTGTAGCAATTAAGAGCTTGGAGTGGAAGATTGTTTATTTGTTGAGTCCTTGTCTTCATACACAAAATTTTGCTCTAGAAGGTTGGTTTACTTAATCAAGTACGGAGATTCTCGAAGAAATGCAGCTTCAGATCGTAGAGAATGAAGGTTGATGGTTGTATGTTGTTGCTGATGCAGATAAATTATAGCCTTATATATGCTTGATTCTGCAGATTCTGTTGAAGTGGAACAGCACTCGCAAAGCAAGGATGGTGTACATGTTCCTTCCCAAATTCAGAAGGATGAGGTCCCAGGGGAGATTATTCAGGCGCCAACTAAGGCTGATGATTTAGGGAAAAATTACAATGCTGGTCTTGAGTATACGCCCAGTGAGCCAGAAGTTAGTATAGAAGCCAAGAAAAACGTTTGCTCTGTAGAAGGTTCTGCAGAAGACAAGGGGAAAGCTCAGTTTAGCAATATGGCTTATGGCAAGGCGAAGGATAACAACTCTCTTGCATCGATTGAGGAGTGCCTAGAACTGCATTTTGAAGCTGAGATGGTGGAATGGAAATGTGAGAACTGTTCTGAAATTGCTCGCCGTAGGAGCACCACTAGTGGTAAAGATAGTGAACAGATGATGGCAAGCACCAGTGAGAATAAAATAGTTGATGGAGATCAAACTGAGCAGTCGGACAAGATAGCATGCCAAAGCGAGCAATCTAGCAATTTGGACAGTGGTGAACAAGACTTGGCCTCTGATAACACAGCCAACAAAAAAAATGAATGCCATGAAGGTGTTCAAGAAGTTGTACCTAGCTGCCTTGCAGCTGAGGAACTGGCCAACCAGTTGAGTGGCCAGGGTCAAAATGCCAGCTCTCTAGATCAAGTAAAGCTAGATCATAGTGCAGACCAAGTGGGTCCAAACCAAAAGGAGCGGGAGGATAGGTATCAAGGTGGGATTCAAACTCGTTTTATTAACAAGCTGCCACCTGTGTTTGCCATTCATCTGAAAAGATCCCAGCTGACTGGTAAAGTTAGAGGACACGTGAGCTTTGAGGAGATCCTTGATGTAGGACAGTTCATGGACCCCAGGTATTGACTATTGGCATTTATGCATGACAATATCTATATAAGCATGTGCCAGTTCCAATAAATTTATGATTCACAGTAAGCAAGTAGTTTTTTTCTTGTTTGTATATTTTGACTAGCTTTACTAATACATTTTGTTAGAAAATCAGAATTTTATTATGCTTTAGATATCACTGCCATTATGTTTGTAGGTGGTTAAGTGCCTCCAAATGAATTTGTTGAAATATATTGGTTTGGCTTTTTCTGATTTTAGTACTTTTGTTATTATAAGGGTTATAATCATATAAAGCTTTTAGATACTGAATAAATATCCCAGCCTTTGCACTGGCAAATGCATATAATCGTATAGATAATCCTTACATCTTTCAGTGGTATGTTGAAATTCATTGAAGGGCCTTCATTCGTTAAATGTTTTATCCTTGCACTATTATGCAGTTTTGATTAATCGTATTTGTTTATATCTGAGAGTATTGTTTGATTGCTTTTGTTTTCTGTAACCTTCAGTTCTGAGGACAAAGACAATTCCAGCTATCACCTTGTAGGTGTCATTGAACACATTGGCCCCAGCACCAGATCAGGGCACATGGTTGCTTACGTGAGACCGAATCAAGAGCAACCTCACGGTGGCCCTTCTCCATGGTATTGTGCAAGTGATACAAACATCAGACAAGTATCTCTAGAAGAAGTTCTCAAGTGCGAGGCCTCCCTTTTCTTCTACGAGAGGATTGGAGGCTAACGTCCAAGGAAGTAAATTGGTTAGATTAGCAAACATTCTTTGGATGGACAAAGATCCATTCAGTAGACGTCATGATCAAGTCCAATTTTGTTGCTTTGGCTGAGTCATTGTAGGACTGCAAATAGATCGCATTCATAATCTCCTTTTTGTTCATGAGGAACGTACTTCTTTTCCTGGAATAAGAATGAAGGAATAGGACATGTGCCATTTGTAAATGAGCAGGACTGTACTAATGATTGATAATGCTTTACAATAGGTCTAAAATACAGAACGATATTACTTGATATATCTTGAGCTTTAGTCCCCCAATTTTTTTGGATGTGCAAGCTAAGCGACATGGTTTCAGGCATATAATTTCCTAGATGGACCATGTGCAGCATGCTTTGAGTACTTGCTTGCTTGCTGCTTTGGAAGTCCCCTACAGTTTCTGGTGTTCTGATGGATCAAACAAGAAAGGATGACTGGAATCTCTGGTGAACAAATCCTCTCCAGTCTGGACGGTGTTCTGGACGGTGGATACTTGTAATGTGTTTATTTGCATCTCCACTTTGGGACCTCCAGCCTCTGGCCTCTCCGATTTGGGCTAGATTCCGCAGAAACCGGGCCAGATCCCACAATGTGAGCTATCCAGCGATTTTGAACAGAAACCCGCAGTGGACACAGATACCAAAGGATACACTTTAGGGATGAGTTGTGGTAGGAGTACCTTGCAGCATAGCCAATATAAAACCTGAATGCATTGAGCATGTGAATTATTGCATACTGTGTGCACATTTGTTTTTGTTTGTCGAAATAAACCAGTAAATCAAAGTAACCATGCTTCCACAGTGGTGCACAAATGAATTTTCCTGGCATGGTTTGCTTGTTTTCTTTAGCATAGAAACATGTTTTCGACTTATGATAGCGCTGTCCTGCCCTTTGCTCTCCTTTTCTTTTCTTCTTTTTTCTTTTTTTGCCGGGTCGGTCAAAGTTGTCAGCAGTGAGGCACCGATCTTTCAGCGCAATCCACATGAAGAAGCGGACGCACGAGGGGGCCCTGGAGCGCCATAGCAGCTCGCCGTAGGGACAATTCTCTGTTGCCATGAAGAACTGCCCTTTGCTTCTTTCTGGCAGAATAGCATGGTTTAGGTTAATGAAATAGAAACAAAAAAAAACCCCATGTTCTATCTATGATCAAAACATTTGTTTGGAGGAGCTGCATAATTAGCCTTGAGGCAAGTGTGACTGTAATATCATGGGCAGTAAAGTGAATAGGCATTCTAAAGCTGCAGTAGATAAACTGCATCCCTCCAACTTGGGCCTTGTGTATGTTATGCTCTTCTTAACCCGTTATAGCTTAGAGTCAGTCTACATCAGTAGAGCAACTCTTGGTTCGTTTTTATATGATATCACCCATCACGATTCACGGTTGCCAGACTCAATTCATTGAAGTTTATATATAACTGACCACAGTGGATATTGAGCTCTCCGTTGCTTGTGTGAGAGCAAACCATCAGCAGCAGGATAGTGGCTATTTCTCTTTTTTTTTTTTTTGTGGAGAAGAGTATTTTTTATCCGGCCTCTATATCCATTTAAATATATAGTCTTAAATCGGGAACTTAGCCCATCAAACAACCTAATGAATCTTTTAAATTAGGAACTTAGCCTCTTATAAATAATCTAATTTGAAATTCACTTCTAAACTTAGAACTTAAGGTCGTGTTACTCAGGACCTTGGTTTGGATCAGCCCAGCCTGTTAGAGGGTTGACACCTACTGGGCCGGGCCTTGATTTCCCCTCCTGGCTATTTAAGCCAAATGGATCAGAAGCATTCACACGCCCAAAAGCCCACCACCACCCAACCCGCCCAACGCCACGTCACCGTCTCCCTCCCAACTCCTCGGCCTCGTCGTCGTCGTCGTCGTCGCAGGACGCCGCGGCTCGCGCGCCGGCCGATTCCGTGCCCCTCCTCGCATCCTCCGGTGAGTTTTCCCCTCCATTTCTTCCCCCCCAAATCCCTCTGTTCGTCGCCGACGCGGGGCCGATCGCTCGGTTGTTGTTGTTGGTGATGGTGGTAGTTGTGGCGGTGGCGGTGGGGGTTGGGGTGGGGGTTTTACTTGGTGCCGGAATCCGCGGCGGCGCGGCGTTCGTGGTTCCTCGCCGGAATGTTCTTCGTGGTTTTCCCGCTTGTTGAGCTCTCGTAGTTCACCCTAGTATGACTACGGTTCGTGGCGTCGAGGTTGTTGGAATTGGATTGGTCGTCCTCGCCTAACGGCCAACCTGTTTGATGATTTGCCTGTATCGTTTAGCCTTCTTGTTTCATGCTAATCTTCGTATGGCTTGTGTTGATTCGTTGTGGATTTTATGGATGGATTAACTCGATTCTTTCTTGTGGTTCTTGCTCCCCTAGGCGGGATGGACGAGGAGAAGGCGAGCAAGGGGAGGCCGCTCAATGCCCCCTGCCTGGATTTGGACCTGAACCTGGATCTGTTTGCTGCGGCCGTGCCCGATCCCGGATGCGGCGACACGGCTTCGCCGGAGGCGAGCAAGCCGGAAGAGAAGGCGAGCAAGGGGAGGCCGCTCAAAGCCCCCCGCCTGGACCTGGACCTGAACCTGCTTGCTCCGGCCGTACCCGATCCCGGATGCGGCGACCTGGCTTTGCCGGGGGCGAGCAAGCCGGGAGAGAAGGCGGCGGCGACGACCAGCAACACCGATGAGGAGTTATGTGCCCACTTCGTACGTTTTGAGGAAGACATGGTACAGTTCATATCAAAGCTCAGGTCCTCCAAGTTCGCCGCGAGGTGTGAGCATTACCTGTGTGAGAACAAGGTGGAAAAGAGCAGTATCTTGGTGTGCATCGATTGCAGCTTGCCTTTCTGCATTGGGGACGGGACCATGGACAAGCCGCAGGGACACGCCCGGTGGCACGCCGATCTGGAGCAGCATTGTGTCGCTGCATTGTTCAGTAAACCGGACACTCTGTACTGCTTCATTTGTGAACGTTGTCTGAATATGGAGGTCGATGACACGGAATCAGAAAGCGACAGAACGGAATGCAGACACTTATTGGACGAGGAAGACGTTACTCTGATTGTGTCAGAGGTCACCACCTCCAAGAACATTCCGGCGTGCCAACATCCCGGGTGTAAGATCAATGGGAGGACCCGTATCATGGTGTGCACGGGATGCAACAAGCATTTCTGCACTAGAGCTGAGGCCAAGAAAAAACCGCATGGACATGCCCGGCTGCATGCGCGGAAGTTTGAACACCATTGGGTTGGTTTGTGGTACAGTGATCCATATAAGGGGTACTGCTTCAAATGTGAATTTGACTTGACCCTCAGTGCACCGACTGTTGAGCAGGGGATGGTGTTTGGCAAGGAATTATTTGGTCAAGAATCTGGATTAGTGAAGGGGCATGGCTGTGTTATCAGAGGGATGCCGAATCTTGGAAACACTTGCTACATCAATGCGTTGTTGCAGTGCCTATTTGTGCTTGGCAAGCTGCGGGCAAGGATGTTAGCACCAGATGCTCCTTCGTATATCCTTGGTTATGAACTGAAAGAGCTCTTTCAGGAGGTAAACAACGTTGATAACGCACAACTCCAACTGAACCCCACGAAGTTCTTTGCTTGTATTCGTGTTTTGGATGCACGGTTCATAAGCAGTGATATGCAAGATAGCCATGAATTGCTTTGCTTTTTACTCAATGAATTGGATAAGGAGGAGAAGTCAATGGTGCCTCCAGTATCTCCTACAGTTGTTGATTCCATTTTTCGTGTTCAACTGTCTGCTACCATTTCCTGCAGCCATTGCTCATATAATTCAGTTTCCCATGAAGTAATGTATGAGCTCTCAGTTCCACTGCCATCAGAGAGGCCTCCGCCAAAAAGTATTGCATCGCCACCAAGGGACATAAGTTGCATGTCTCGAGAGAAGACTGGTATCAAACTATTCCCAGAGGTTGACACGAGTAACACCGAAATTGTCAAAGCAATTGCTGAAGGCAGTGTTTCTCATATCGCTAGTTTAGAACTGGGAGATGTGGACAAAGAGAAAACATCTGAGCCTTTGGATGGTGGTAAGTTTATGCATTGTGTTTCTAAATAAAAGGAGAGAGAACATTTTTGAACAGATATGCAGGTATAGAGGGTTTCCCAGACCATGTACATCTTTTGAGGAATAAATGAAAGAAACAGAGGAGTATTGTAGTCACACCACCATTGTTTTTCTCATCATAACGAGAAAACGGGCACTTTTTTCGGAATGGAGCTCCAATTCTAGTCAAACAGAGAAAAATTTGTAAGGACTTACTAACACATGGACTGAAGAAATATCTAGTAAACCTTCAGGATGGCTACATAAAAGAAGTATGATATTTGAGCACTGTTAGCATGGCAGAGTTGTTTGTCGTAGTCTAGCAGTTAAGACCTTAGAGTGGAAGACTGTTTATTTGTTAAGTCCTTGTCTTCATACATAAAATTTTGCTCTAGAAGGTTGGTTTACTTAATCAAGTATGGTGATTCTCGAAGAAAGGCAGCTTCAGATCGTAGAGAATGGAGGTTGATGGTTGTGTGTTGTTGCTGATGCAGATAAATTATAGCCTTATATATGCTTGATTCTGCAGATTCTGTTGAAGTGGAACAGCGCTCGCCAAGTAAGGCTGATGATTTAGGGCAAAATGACAATGCTGGTTTTGAGAATACGTCCGGTGAGCCCCAAGTTAGTATAGAAGCCAAGAAAAATGCTTGCTCTGTAGAAGGTGCTTCAGAAGACAAGGGGAAAGCTCAGTTTAGCAATATGGCTTATGGCAAGGCAAAGGATAACGACTCTCTTGCATCGATTGAAGAGTGCCTAGCACTATTTTTTAAAGAAGAGCTGCTGGAATGGAGATGTGATAACTGTTCTGGAGTTTCTCACCATCTGAGCACCACTGGTAGTAAAGATGGTGAACAGATAATGGCAAGCACCAACGAAAACACAATAATTGACAGAGATCAGACTGTGCAGTTGGACAAGGTAGCACGCCAGAGCGAGCAATCTAAAAATTTGGAAAGTTTGGCACTAGAATGCACTTCAAGTAAGCAACCACATGGTTCTGATTCAGAACGTAAAGCTATGCTCGCAATGGACAGCATTACTGAAGGAATCAACACACTACCTCCTGTCAAGCACACATACTCATTGCGCAGCCGAGGTCGACCACCAAGCCATAACAAAATCACTTCTGGGATGATCCATGGTGAACAAGACTTGGCCTCTGATAACATAGCCAACAAAAAAACTGATTGCCATGAACGTGTTCAAGAAGCTGTATCTAGTTGCCTTCCAGCTGAGGAACCGGACGACCTGTTGAGTGGCCAGGAAAATACCAGCAGTCTAGATCAGGGTAAGTGGAAACAAGTAAAGGTGGATCATAGTGCAGACCAAGTGGATGCAAAACAAAAAGAGCGGGAAAATAGGAATCAAGGTGGGATTCAAACTCGTGTTATTAACAAGCTGCCACCTGTATTGGCCATTCATCTGAAGAGATCCAAGGAGACTGGTAAAGTTAGAGGACACGTGAACTTTGAGGAGATCCTTGATGTAGGACAGTTCATGGACCCCAGGTATTGCATATTAGCATTTCTGCATGGCAATATCTATATAAGCATGTGGCAGTTCCAATAAATTTATGATTCACAGTAAGCAATTTTTCTTGTTTGTATATTTTGACTAGCTTTACTGATACATCTCATTAGAAAATCAGAATTATTATGTTTTAGAGATGACTGCCTTTTTGTTTGTAGGTGATTAGGTGCCTCCAAATGCATTTTTTCAAAAATATTAGTTTGGCCTTATTCTGGTTTTAGTATTTGGCATTAGAAGGGTATAATTATATAGATTTTTTAGGTACTGAAATAAATATCCCAGCCTTCGCACCAACATGTTTTAATGGCATGTTGAAATTCATTAAAGGGCCTTTATTCGTTAAATGTTTGAGGATATGAGATTCTTGTTAGCAATATGCAGCATTGAGGATATGAGATCAAAATAACCATGCCTAACATCTAGTTTGATTGCTTTTGTTTTTCTGTAACCTTCAGTTCTGAGGACAAAGACAATTCCAGCTATCACCTAGTCGGTGTCATTGAACACATTGGCCCCAGCACCAGTTCAGGGCACATGGTTGCTTACGTGAGACCAAATCAAGAGCAGCCTGACGGTGGCACTTCCCCTTGGTATCGTGCAAGTGATACCGACATCAGACAAGTATCTCTAGAAGAAGTTCTCAAGTGCGAGGCCTCTCTTTTCTTCTATGAGAGAATTGGAGGCTAACGTCGAAGGAAGTAAATTTGTTAGATTAGCAAGCATTCTTTGGATGGACAAGGATCCATTCAGTAGACGTCGTGATCAAGTCCAATTTTGTTTGCTTTGGCTGAGTCATTGTAGGACCTGCAAATTGACTGTAATACGTTCCTGCCCAGCTGAATAGATGGTGGCCGGTGTTCTTAATCAGCTAGTCTGATCACATTCGTAATCTCCTTTTTTTTTCTCATGAGGAACGTGTTCTTCTTCCCTGGAAAAGAATGAAGAAGAACACAGGACTGTACTAATGCTTGGTAATGCTTTACACTAGGTAGAAAATACAACGATATTACTACTTGATATGTCTTGAGCTTTGGTCCCCCAAGTATTTTTGGATGTGCAAGCTAAGCAACATTGTTTCAGGCCTCTTGTTTCCTTGATGGAGAATGTGCAGCATGCTTTGAGTAGTACTTGCTCGTTTGCTGCTTTGGAACTCTCCTAGAATTTCGGTGTTCTGATGCATCAATCAATACAGGATAGCAACTTCGATTCTGTCCTCGCGGATTCGGCGGCAGATTCTAATCGTTTTCTTTCATTTTTTCAATCAATTCTGATGTCTACTGGATACTGCAGCTCGCATTGAAACTCTCACTGATGAGAGTCAGGAGAAGGGTTTACCTTTCCGTTTTTAAATGAAAACCACTCCTCATTGTATTACCGAAAACCAACCAGAAACCAATAAAAAGTGGTGACTTTTGTTTAACGTAGTAGAATACAGTTAATTTCGATTAGTTTTTATAAACCGGGACTTGGCGATATTTTTTTTAAAAAAAACTTTTAAATGAAAACTGCCCCTCATCAGTTTACCGTAAACCAACCAAAAACCAATAAAAACTTATAAATTTTGTTTAATGTATTAAAAAAGGTTAATATTGATCGGTTTTTATAAACCGGGACCTAGCGATTTTTTTTTTGAACACTGGGCAGACAATGCAGCAGTATCATCATCGCCGTCATGTTCCACGACCAACAAAGTGGGCTACGGGCATACAGCCCAGTACACCGCCAAATTGGCACGCTGGTTTCGTGCCATTTGGGCCAAATTGGCACGCAGAAACCGTCTCCGGCCGACGCCTCCGACCGCACGCACGCACGCACGGCCGCACCCCATCCGTCCCTCCATTACCACCACCCCCACCACCTGCCAAACCAAACCAAAACCGGTTACGCCAAACGCAACCGTGCCGTGCACCGGCGCACACATTGACAAACAAAAACCCCCGCAAAATGAAGAAAAATCCCCCACCTCGCCGAGATCCAAGCGACCACTCCTCCCTCCCTTTCCTCCTTTGCTTTTATTAACCCAAAGCAGCAGCAGCAGCAGCTGCTTCTCTCTCTCCCCCTCGCCTTGTCCGGACACACGCGGCGAGGCAGGCTTGGCCGCAGCAAGAACGAGAGAGTGAGCTCGATCCATCCATGGAAGGGAGGGTGCTGCGGCGGAGTGTCACGCTGGCGGACCAGCTGGCCGCCGTGGGGCCCGCGGGGACGGCCGCCGCCACCGCCGCCGCGGGGTCCTGCAACCTCCGCGACCTCCTCAAGCTCCGCGACGAGGACGACCTCGCCGCGGGCCGCCGCGCCGCGGTCACCCTCGCGTCGGCCATGGCGGCCGAGAGGTTGACGGTGGCGCCTGCGTCCTCGGCTGCCGCGGCGGCGGCGGCGGCGCGCACCTTGCTGGATATCATCCGGGATGACCAGCTCCCGTCGTCTTCCGGTGGTGGTGGGGAAGGTGGTGACCCCCTCGTCCGCCGCGCGGTCTCCCTGCCTGCTCCGGTTACGGCGACTCCTCCTCCTCCGCCGCCGCCGCCGGAGACGCCGCCGCGACAGCTGCCGTCTGTGTCGCCGCCGACGGTGGGGGAGGAGGAGGAGGAGGAGCAGGGGGAGAGGGTGTCCCTGATGGCGCTGCTGGAGCAGACGGAGCGGCAGTGGAGCGCCGGCTCGGGCGCGACCGTGCAGCAGCATCTCGCGTCTCCCTCCGCCGCCGCATCGGCATCGGTATCGGCGGCGGCGGAGGACGAGGCGGAGGCGGAGGCGGGGAAGGGGGCGGCGGGCGGCGGCTGCTGCTGCGTGTGCATGGCGCGGGCCAAGGGCGCCGCCTTCATCCCGTGCGGCCACACCTTCTGCCGCACCTGCGCCCGCGAGCTCCTCGCCGGCCGCGGCCGCTGCCCGCTCTGCAACGCCGCCATCCTCGACGTCCTCGACATCTTCTGACCTCGCCGCCGGCGACCAAGGTTGCCTCCCTCAGCTCGAGCCAAGAACCCCACTGATCCAGACATAGATAGATCTCTCCTCTCCTCTCCCCTCTGTTCTTGATTCAGTTCTTCGCAAATGCAAATGCAAAAAAAAAACTGCAAAGATTAGAACCTGTTCATCAGCTTGTTGCAACTTGCAAGAGATCAAACATTCTCTTCATGTTTCAATTCCCCCCAAAATTCAAAAACCTAGTACCCTGGATCGATCAAAAGGTTTGTTCTTGCGTCCTGTAGGAACGCATTTGATTCAACCATCAAGATCAGCAGATGGTGGGTGGGTGCCTGCTTGCCTGGGTGGTGGTAGGTTAAAAATTAGTAAAACTTTTGACTACTGGAGTACAGATTAGTAGTAATTGTAAATCTGGCAGAGTTTTTTTTTTTTCAGTTCTTGTCCAGGCTCCAGCTACGCAATGTTTGAAGATCTATAGTAAGAGCAGGTTTACAAAACCTCACGGTTATCTCGGGCGGTAACTTTTCGCATGGTTAAACCACGATGTGACTCGCGGTAATACGTGTTTTTCGTGATATCCGATAACCGTTAAACTGTGAGGTGACGAGAACCACATCCAAAACGGTTTGGTAAATAATACAGTTTTTGAAACCATGATATGCCTCGCGATAACATCGTGTTTGGTATCCGATAACCAGTCAAACTGAGGTGACGGGAACCATATCCAAAACGGTTTGGTAAATCCTTGAGTAATAGTAGAAATAAATCAATATACTGGCTGCAGTGCTAGTGCGTTAAATAACTCCAAATTTATTGCTCCAAAGCTTCCAATTATCAACCTCACTTCATTGTGCATTCCTATGGTATGAACTCATTTACTTCCACGGAGGGAGCGCCATTTCAAATGCTGATTACCCTCTGATGTCACATGATTTGGCGAAATTTATGACCAGAAGTCGAAATCTCATAAATTTGCGCGACACCGACGCAGGAGTACAATTAGTAGCAGTATAGCACTAATACTCTAATAGCATACTAGTATAATCTCATTCTAGGGGTCCTACTCATCGGCCTAATGATGTTGACCTGATAAAAAGAATTCCTTTGCACTAATCCTCCCTTTCTTTTTCTTCATAATAATGGACTAATGTGGCAAAGCAGACGCCAAAAGGTTTGGTCGAGAGCATCCAAATGTCAATGCTGGGGCCGTGACAGCCTGACAGGTGGTCATATGTATGTGACAGAGTTAAGCCTGATAGAGCACTGTCGCGATGTGCCTATATCCATCCATCTCAATGTAGCATAATTGGATAATTAGGTTCGATTTTGGGGGTATTATCTTTTGAAAAAGGGTGTGAGCAGATTGCCACCTCCATCCATTTTGGTACGAGGTTGCGTAAGAAATGTTTATTTAGATGCACCAAATGACCAAATTTTGCTCGCAAATGTCAACCAATCGTGATCGGTTTTTGGCCAACAACAAGAGCAACCAGTCCTACAATCCCACAATTTTCTAAAGGCTGATTTGGTACAAGAATTTGCTCTCTCGAAAATAAATTATTTTTCATATACGAATCTGAATACCCCTCCCCCCTCCCCTCATAATATAAGAAATTTTGACTTTTTAATTGCACTGTTTGATCATTCGTCTTATTAAAAATTTTTGAAATTATTATTTATTTTATTTGTGATTTACTTTATTATCCAAAATACTTTAAGCACAACTTTTTATTTTTTATATTTGCATAAATTTTTTGAATAAGACGGGTGGTCAAACAGTGCAAGTAAAAAGTCAAAAATTCTTATATTATAGAACGAAGGGAGTATAATTTATGTTCAGATTTCTTCTATAAAAATTGATTTATTATGCAACGAAGTGTATGCTATATATTGCTCATGAGGATCTTCCTTTTTTTGGCTGAGAAGTACTCCCTACGTCCTAGAGAAGGTAATCCAATACTAGATGTGATATACTATAGCACAACGAATCTAAATACAAGATTATGTCTAATGTATTATTATGTTCTAGTGCAAGGTTGGGTATTTTTGGGACGGAAGAAGTAGGGTTGTTCTGATCTGGTTAGTTAAGTAAAGTTCCAGCATCAGGAACAAAGTACGTAATATTCCGTGGATTTGGACGCTTGCCCGTTTACTGGTCAAGATGCAATCATACGCTCCGGCATTTTTATGCATGTGTGTGTGCATCCGCCAATGATTCTGTCGTCGCGGCGCGGGCGGGCGGCAACACAACCCCAACACCGCGTCGCGCACGCCGAGCGGAGGAAACCGTGGAGCGCGACAGCAAAAAACGGTGGCCGCGGCCGGCACGCCACGCCTCCCCGCGCGCGCGCGCGTGGCCGCCGCGCGGGGTTTTGCGAGGGTGAGATCCCGGTGCCAAAAAAAAAAAATTGGGATGGATCGCGTCGCGGGGTGCGTGTGCCGGTGGAAGACGGTGAATTGGTGGTGGATCGAGACCGCGGGATTCCTGGCGTGCGGTCGCAAGCCGGACGCCACGCCACGCGCGGCTGCGCGCATGTGGATTGTGGAGAGGAGATGGGTTTGATCCGCGCAATTTTTCTTTTTTTTCTTTCTTTAACGAAAATAAAAGAACACCGCACTTGCTGACTGACTCAGGATGTGTTCTTTCCTACGTGTTCTCAACTTTATCTCACTCATTTTTCACACGTTTTTTCATACTGTTAAACGGTACTACCTCTATCCCCAAATATAAGAATCTAGGACAAGTTAAAACGTTTCTTAGTATAACGTATCTAGACGGACTCCCTGTCCAAATACTATGTACTTGAAAACGTCTCATCCAATACTAGATTCTTATATTTTGGGATGGAGGAAGTATGGGTCTGTTCAATATAGCTAAACTGCAGCTGTACAGCAGCAACCGCTACAGTGCATGGTAAAGAAAATATATACACCGGCTATACAACGCACCTGGTTACAGCTGCAGAGTATTGTTGCCGAACAGAGCTTATGTTCTTTGCAAAAATTTCTATAGAAAAGTTGATTTTAAAATTACATTAATTTATTTCTAAAAAAGTTAATTAATTATGTACTAATAAGTCGTTCCGTTTTACGTATGTGGAAGATGCAGGAATGGCAACGGGTCGGGTCGGGCACGGGTAGAGCAAAACCATGCCTGACCCCATGCTCGTCGTCGCTCACCCAAACCCTACCCACTAGGGTTAGCGGGCAAAACTCTATACCCGTACCCATGCCCGACGGGCACGGGTATACCCGGTGGGTACCCAATGGATCACACATGAATAATAACTCGAAAGATATATAATTTAACAAAGAGAAATAAAATCAACAATTTACTAAATTATCAGTTATCGACAATAATTTGAATTACATCACAACTTATTACTAATTAGTATCACAAATGAACCATGAGAAAGGAGTATAAGAATTAAGAGATAAGTCAAAATTAGCTAATACATATGTATCGGGTCGGGCATGGGTTACCCACAGGTAAAAAATGAAACCCAGTTGTTGCCCACGATATCTACGGGTCTCGGGCGGGCGTGCCCACGGGTAAAATATCACACCTACGCCCGTGCCCATTGGGTCGGGTATCGCGGATACCCGGACCCATGGGCAAAATTGCAATCCCTAGGAAGATGAGCTCCTAGCTCTTTAAGAAGAACAAAGGCACAAAGCCACTGTGCTGGAAGTTTTCCTTTTTTCCCTCTGGTCCATTTTTTACTTTGCAAGGTGTGTGATCTTTCTCGAGTGCAATCTGACGTAACCAAGGTTTTTATTTTATGGATGAGAGTATGAGGCTGTGTATAGTGCAGATGGCGAGAGTAGCCGTCGTGCTGCTAGACGGTCCGTGTTGGATCGTTCCCGATGTGTTCAACTTGTTTCTTGATATTGATACGCGATGCTACGTTTCTCTTTAGTATTCTATGTTTAGGGTTCACAGTCCCGATACTGAATCAAAATTTGCTTGCAAGCTGTATCATTGGATTTCGCATAATCCATTAATAAATCGACAAAAACCAATAAATTCTGAATAAATTTTGTTAAAAATTAAAATTTCAGTTTGATTTTTTTAAAAAAATGACGAAAAATTAAGTGGTTTGTGTTTTTTGATCCGGTCCAAAAATTCGAACCGGATTACACTTTATTTGTGAGCCCTCAGTTTGTTTAACCTTGGTATGTGTATAATTAGGCGATTTTGACAATTGGAGAGTTCATGTTCAGGGTAATATTGATCTTTTTCTGCTTAAGTAATCAAGGTGGTAGGTAAGCTTAAGTATATACTGACAATAATGACATAACATCAACATCACAGAAACCCCATCTAAGGCCAAAATCTGTATAACATGGTCCAACCTTGTTAGCATTATTGCATCCTGTTTAAGGATCAAACAAAGAAGGAGTATAAAAATGTTTAATTAGATGGTCCAAAACCAAAAGCATACTACTACTTCAGCTGACACCCTGCTACCAACCCTATCAACCTAGTAGGAGTAGAACTGTACAAGTAGATAAAAAATCATCAATCTCGCAGGAAGAAAGCTGCCCAAAATCCGGCTGTTTGACGCTTTCCCTTGGAATTCTGCGAACAACCAAACAACAGATGACACAAACACAATGGTAAAAACAACCCTGGCAGCGACAAGTACTACTAGCTGCATTATTCTTCTCCCCATGCATGCTTCATCAGAGCAATCGGACCCATCGAGTGCAGAATTTGCAGGCCAAGTGTTGTAGTACTGTTTCCTTTTCGGGCGAATAAGGTTGTGGCTAGGTGGTGTTTGGATCCAGGGACTTAACTTTAATCTCTATATTTAGACACTAATTTAGAATATTAAATATAGACTAATTATAAAACTAATTACATAAATAAAAGCTAATTTGCGAGATAAATTTTTTAAGCCTAATTAATTTATAATTAGAGAATGTTTACTGTAGCATCACATAGGCTAATCATGGATTAATTAGACTCAATAGATTCGTCTCGCGAATTAGTCTAAGATTATGGATGGGTTTTATTAATAGTCTACGTTTAATATTTATAATTAGTGTCCAAACATCCGATGTGATAGGTACTTAAAAGTTTTAGTCCTATCTAAACAAGGTCTTTGGATCTAAACTAGTCCTTTTCCATCATATCAACCTGTCATACACACACAACTTTTTAGTCACATCATCTCCAATTTCAACCAAAATCCAAACTTTAGATCCAACTAAACACAGCTTAAAGATTTGGTTAAAGTCCAATTTACAGTACGCAACTTTTACAAAAGCCTAATTTACCCTGTACTTCCATAACCTTCACCCTTAATTTCTTTTACACTGGACAAATTACCCCCAAAGTACTGTGCAGTATGGTTTTGGTCCCATCTATTCGCAATCCAGCTAGCAACTGTGGTTTACCCCACGTGTCAATCTCTTATCCATCTTCTTATTATCAACTCCCTCTTCTTTCTCAGGACTGGATGTGACGCATTCTAGTACAACGAATATAGAC